TAAAAAATTAATTTATTTATTATTATATATAAGCTAAGCTATTATAATATCCTACAATAATATAGTTAAATATAAATTATTTGCAAGTTATTATAATAATAAACATTCATTAAAATTTAAGATGAATTTGCCATTAATAAAAGAAAGCAATAATATTAAAAACTATAATATATTTTGCATATATAATTTTTAAGAAAATTTAATCTTAGCTTTTTATAAAATATGCATTAAGAATTAATATATAGTTTAATTTTTAAATATTAATTATTATGCAACTTTTTTAAATATTATTTAGCATTATTTGCTAAATAATAAATATAAGAAAAGAAAAGAAAATAAATTAAGTTATTTATTTAATTTTTTAATAGCTTATAACTTATTTAAAGTTTTATTAATAACCTTAGCATCCTTTAAGGTTATAAAGTAAACTTTATACTTTTTTAAAATTATATCTTATTAATTTTACTTAAAGCAAACCTTAAGTTATTTATTTTATAAAGCTTTAGCTTAACCTTTATCTTTAAAAATATTTATATTTATATTAAAGAAACTTAAAAGTTTATTTTAATTAATAAAGTTTAAGTTAAAAAATATATTAATACTTATTAAGGTATATATTTAAAAGTTATTTAATAGCATTATTTTTAAAGGCTAGAAATTTAAGGATTTATAAAAAGCTATAAATATAGCCTTATTATCTTTATTGATAATATAAATTTAATATTGCGAATTTAAAAAACATAAGTATTTTATAAATATTTTATTAAATATAATAATAAGCTTATTTATTTTATTTTTAATAATTATATAAGCTAAATAAATATTTATAAGAAAAGCATAAGCATTAAGTTAAGTTAATATAAAAATAAATATTAAGTTTTAAATATTATTAATATATAAGTAATGTTTAATAAAAAAATAAATAGTTAATTTAGGTAATATAATAATATATTATATAATAAGTACCTTAGCTTTTATTAAGCGGCTATAATTTTTTATTTTTATAAAAATTTAAATATAATAAAAGTTAATATTAATATATTCTTTTAAATTAATAATATTAAAGCCCTTTAATTTTATAATATTTATATTAATAAGTATATTAGCTTTTAAGTCTTTAATTATAAAAACTTTATAAATAAATAAAGTAATTATTATAGTTTTATAATTAATATATTTTTTAAGAATTATAATAGCATAAATATATAATTATATAATTTATAAATCTTTATTTTAAGTTTATATAATTATAATAAAAATATGCATTTATAAATTAATAAAAAAGGATAATTTTATTATAATTATTATTTATTTATTATTATTTAATTATAGCTAATATTATTATAAATATTTAATAATAATTTAAATAATAATTAAATAAAAAGATATAAATAAGTTTAAAAGCAAAAACTAAATCTTATTTTAAGTTTTAAATTAATCCTTATTAATAATTAAATTATTTTTATGCTCTTTATAATATTTAATAAGATATTAAGGCCTTTTAGTTTTTTATTAACTGCTTTAAGGCATCTTTTAATGCATTATTTAAGCCTTAATTATTTAATAAGCTAGCAATCTTTACCTTAATTATAAAAGCTATTAATATTTATTTTTATTAAAGTTAAGGCTTTTTAAAATAAATAAAGTAAATATAATTTATTAATAAATTATTATTATAAAAATATTTAATGCAATAATAATAAATAAATAGTAATAATGCTAATATGCTAAAAAAGGCAATATTTAAATAATTATTATAATTATTAATAAAAAACAGTTTCTTAAAAAGATAATTAAAAGCCTTAGTGGCTATATTTATAAAGAATTCTTTATTTAAAACTTCCTTAATTAAAGGTAGTTAATATATAAGTATATTAAATTGCTTTATAAAGTTTGCAAACTTATTATAATAAGCTTAATAAAGTTAATTTTATTAATATAATTTAATAGTAAATAAGGCTTATAGGGTAAGTAAGTAATAATTTTTTAAGATAAGCTATTATTAATAATCTTTTAGCTATAGCTATTATTAAGCAAGTTATTACTATTTATCTTATTATTAATGCTATATAATATATTAATTTAATAACAGCTAAGATTAATTATATTTAGCATTTTAAATTTAGCCTTAATTAGCTAATTAAATTAGTAATTAAAATTAATTTTAAGTTTAATTAATTATATATAATTAATTATATTGCGAAAAAGCTTAAGATAACTATATTTAAAAGCATTATTATAATTACCATTATTAAAGCTATAAAGATAAATATTATAGAGCGTAAAGAATATTTAACTTGCCTTTATAAGTAAATATAAGTTAATAAAGATAAATAATGTTTTAAGTAAATAAATATTATTATTAAGCTAAGTTAAGAATTATACTTTTATAATTTTAAATATTATTTAAAAAGCTTTTTAATATTATTATTTTATTAAGTTTTTAAAGTTTAAACTTAATTTTAAAAGCAAGCAATTTAAATATAGTAATTAGCTATATAAAAAGCTTTATATTGCAAGCCTTTACATTTATAATAATAATTTAAAAAAATAAAATAATATCCCATTCCTTTGCAACTTAATAAAGAAATAAGTAATTTATCTTAAAATTAATTATAGCATTTAAAAAGAATTTAATAAAATGCAATTTTAACTTATTATAAATTACTTAAATTATTATTATTTTAAGTAGCTAGCAATTATTATTAATTAAAATATAAAAGTATTATTTAAATGCATTCTTTAAAAAATATTAAAATTAAACTTAATAAACATTATTTGCGAAATAAACTTATTTAATATGCTTTAAACGCTTAATAAAATAAAAAATATTAAAATACTTTATAATCTTTTTATTAAATTAAACGCTTAAATTAATATATTTATAAAAATAAAAATAGCTAATATTTATTAATTAAATGCTAAAATATTTATTAATGCTATTTTATATAAGCTTAATTTAAATATAAACTTAAGGAATTAATGCATTTATAAATATTATAGCAATTAAATATATAAAATTTTAATTTTATTAATTATAAAGCTATATTATTACTTATATAATAAAGTTAATAGTATTTTTAGCTATAAATAATGCTATATTATTATTATTAAATTTAAAGTCTTTTAATTTTATTTTATTATTCCTCTTTAAATATAAGAAAGAGCTAAAGTTTTAATTATATATTAATATAAGTAATATATTTTTAAAAAAAACTCTTAAGGATAATAATAAATTTAATAAACTTATTATTTAGTAATACTTAAGTATTTAAAAAGATTATATTTTAATTAATATATATAATAAATTATTAAGAAGCGATGTTTAGCTAATTAAGAAAGCGGCTTAGGGATTAAATATTAAAGGGAATTTAAGTAATAAAAGCACCTATTAATAAGTAAGAAATATAAAAAGGCTTTTTTACTTTATTAATTAATTTTATAATTAATAAGTTTTGCCTTAAGGAATTAAATTATTTTTATTAAAGGTAAGTTATAAAAAATAAGTATATTTAAGCATATTATTTTAAATTTTTATAATATATGAAAACTTAAATAGGTAATGAAATTATAAGAGTTATTAAGCATATAGTTATTTAAGTTTAGCTATAAAGTTTTGTAAAGCTATATAATTAAATAATTTAAATAAATAAGTATTAAGATAGTTATATAAAAGCAAAGTAAGTAATGGGAAATTAATAGTAAATTTATAGTAATATTTTTATTATTTTATTAAATAAAGCTATATTTATAGTAGTTATTAGTTAGTGTTTAATTTTCATAATTTAAGCTAAGTTATTAAGGGGTTTTATAATAAGAGGGTTATATTTGGTTTTTAGTTATAGTTTTATTTAAGTTTGTGCTAAAGGGCTAAAGGGCTGAGGACTACCTATTAATGCCCATAAGGGGTTTGTGCGGTGCTCCTTCCTCACAATGCCCCTTGAGGCGGTAAGCGTTGTAGCCCTTAACAAAGAAATTGGAGATTCGCACCGGTAGAAATGGAGGATGCACCGGGTTCGTGCGCTTTAGCTAATCAGAGATCACGATTTGCCTAGACAAATTCGCATACTAGAGCTAATTTGCACGCCTAACTTATATATCTACGCCTAATTTACATGCCCACTTTACACACCCAGTTTACATACCTAATTCACATGCCTACTTTATATATTAACTTTATATATTTAATTTATATGCTTAATTTATATGCCTGATTTATATGCTTTAAGTAATTTAAGCATGTAAATAAGCTCTCCGTATAGAAAATAGACTTAAGTGTGTAAATTAAGCATATATATTAAGTATATAAATTAAGGGCGCGAAATGGGTGTGTGAAATGGGCGTGCGAATTGGGCGTGGGTGTTATTGGCGCACCAAGGGCTGTAGCGCACGGACTTGGTGCATCCTCCGTTTTGACCGGTGCGAATCTCCGATTTCTTAACAAAAGCCGCAGTAGGCCCCGAGAGGCAGACGCAGCACTAATCAGGGTGGCTTAGGTGGGTGAGAGTACAACTTCAGTGGGTGTCCAACACCAGTAGGGAGGCAACACAGCATTCGAGCTTTCTTGATATGTACTAGCACGGCTGCCGGCCGAGGTGACCTTGACCGGGGTCGACATGCAAGCCGGCTCCCTCAAAGTGGCTTGCAGCACAACTGCCAGAGCCTCTTGCTTTTCCTCGCTTACCTCAACTTTTCGTCGCTTTGACCTGTTCAGTTAACTTCAACAGCTTCATTGATCCCATCACTCCCTCGCCGCTCGGCGGAATCATCTTCTTAAGCCTACATAACTCGAGTGCTTGATCAGTATAGCTGGAATAATGAGGGAAAACAAAAGGGACAACCGGGGAAGCTTCAGAGAGAGACTCCCAAAGCGCTTTCCGAGGGGATCACGAGGGGATCATGAGAAAAGCCAATCCAACGAGCTATTGGCAAACGTCGAAGCGAGCACTAACACCGCCACTGCTCCACCTGCCCCTCCAGCACAAATCGAATCCACTCTCATGCCGCCGGCGGAGCAAAGCAAGGAGGACGCCAAGCATATGGGCCTTTGGACAAGAGCAGCGAACAATCTTGATCCAAGAGACAGGGAAAAGCTCGATAACCTGATCAGATCCAAGGTCGAATGCCTTAACGGCCATGGACCAGACTCACTGGCGGACGAAGTCAACTCAACTCTTTCCAGAGCGGAGAAGCTCAAAGAGGAAAGCAAAGAGGTGACTTGGAGACCAGTAAGCCCATTCTGGTCCCAGAACTCAAATCAAAAGAGAATCCAACAAGTTGACGGGTTCTAGGTAGTTGACAAGATCATCAAAGGAGCCCTGACTTTCAAATCCCTTGGCGACGCTGCCGTAGCATTTGACAAGTCAGGCTATGCAGCCCTAGGTTGGTCGGTTGTGTCTTTCGGTTTGCAGCTCGCTGCCAACGCTGAAGATACTCGCGAATTTGTTCTCTCTAGTTCTGAGGTCATCACACGATTCATGGCTAAGTACACGGAATATGAACGAATTTTCAGAGGCCCTGAGTCCGGAGAACAGTTTGACCGTCTCTTGACGAATGTTTACAAGGCTCTCTTACTCTACGTGATAGCTCTAGATAAATATCTACGTCAGAGCGGACCAGGTCTGTCCTCGAGATTGATCGTGAATGCCGGCTTCGATAATGCTGATCTCGTATTATTTTATAGAGCGAGTTGCACATGCGATCAATAGGCTCGAGGACCAATCCATTAGCTCGAGCAAGAAGGCCGTCGATACTGCAGACGCCGAGGTCAGGGACTGGGTAAGTTCAACCTCGATTCGGCAGACTAGGACTTGACTAAATTTCCTTCAGCTTCTGATCCTTATACACACGCGTAACGACATCAACTATTCCCAGCTTCGAGGAATGCTTCAGGACCGCAATCTGTCCGAAATCCCAGAACCGTCACGAGAATGCTTGAAATCGCTCTTTTTTCGTGAAATGGAAGATCGATTCCACGATATTGAACGCGCCTCCGAAGGGACATGCAAGTGGCTACTGAGGCACGAGAGGTACAGAGATTGGACCGACAACGATCGTGGCATACTATGCATCAAAGGGAAACCTGGCTCTGGAAAGTCAACTTTGTTACATTATGCCGTCGGTGATGCTATCTTGGCATCCAACATCCCAAACAGATCTCTTTTTCTGCAGAATGAAGACTTGCCCGTTGGCGGCGAGGCTCCTGGAGTACAGGCCGAGCCGAATGTTGTCATACTCTCCTTCTTCTTCCATGACCGCGGTACAGACCTCCAGAGGACGCCACTTGGCCTTTTCCGATCGCTCCTCCATCAGCTCCTCCGCCAAGTCCCTGGCGCCATTCCGGCCACCCTTCTCACAACGTTCCAGGATCGGGAGACGAGGATGGGCGAAGTGGGTGAGAAGTGGGACTGGAAATGGCGCGAGGTACGGCACTTCTTTGAGATATCGCTTCGGAAGGTTCTCGAGAGTCGCCAAGTCTGCTTGTTCATCGACGCTCTTGACGAATATGGCGAAGATGATGCGAACGAGCTCATCAAGAGCTTCAACTCCTGGATTCAAACGAGTCCGCCCCAGGCGCAGTTCCACATTTGCTACACTTGCCGTCACTACCCGCCTCTGAGCTTGCCCGGGGGAATGGTCGAAATTCGTCTCGAGGAGGAAAACAAGGACGACATTTCAACATACGTACAGACCCAATTGTCCGCTTGGTCAAATAACGAGACCCTGGCCACCATATGGATGGACATTACGGATCGCTCTTCAGGTGTCTTCATTTGGGCACGTCTCATCGTACCACGCGTCCTCCGCCTTGAGCGTAGAGGGGAGAATTGGAAAAAGATCAAACGAGAAATCGAAAACACTCCTCAAGCGCTGGATGATCTGTATAGAGGCCTCGCGAGGAAAGTGGCGGCTGAGCCAGGCACGCTCAAACTGATCGAATGGATCTGCTTTGCCATGGAACCTTTAACATTAAACGAATTGCGATGGGCCATGATCGTCGATCCCCACTACTCAGACGAACCTGTCTCCCTCCAGCACTACGAGGACACGGAGGATTTCGCGACCAGCTGCGACATGATGGAGAAAAGGCTAAAGGCTCTCAGCTGCGGCCTTGCCGAGGCCGTACCGTCATCTCACGTTGTACAATTCATCCATCAGTCAGTCAAAGACTTCTTCATGAAAGAAGGCTTGGTGATCCTGCACAGAAGTCAAAGTCCGGCCGGGAGCGAGGCCAACGAGGCAGATCTGAAATGCACCGCGCATAACCAGCTGTCTAAAACCTGCATACGCTATTTCTCAGCAGAGGAGATCATCCAGTCAAGACTCCATCCTGAAAGCCCAACATGGGAAGATGACTTTCCCTTGTTGCGTTATGCTGTAATACATTGGACAGCACACGTACAGCAGAGCGAAGAGAAAGGCCCTCAAACCGATCTCCTGCGCTATTTTGGCTGGCCATCAGAACAGGTTGTGCAACGATGGTCCAAATTTCATTGGTCGATGGCGGAGGACTGGGACTGGCAAAATGGAACCACCTTGCTGCATGTAGCATCACGGTATCAGTTGATGGGGCCATTACTGGGGATTCTGCAGAGCAAAGAACTACTTGAAAATAAGATCGACGCAAGCGACGATGAGAACCGGACACCGCTTTGGTGGGCCGCCTACGAAGGGCATGAGGCTGTCGTACGCCTCCTACTCGACAACGGTGCAAATATAAATGCCGTGTGCGGCGAATATGGCCATGCTCTGCGTGTGGCTTCCTTGGAGGCCAACGAACAAGTCATACGTGTCCTTCTTGATTATGGAGCCGATATAAATGTACAGTGCGGAGGTCTCGGCAACGCCTTGCAAGTGGCTTCGTGTAACCGCAGCGAACAGGTTGTACGGTTGCTTCTAGAATGCGGGGCAGATGTGAACGCACGATGCGGATATTATGGCAACGCTTTGCAAGCGGCTTCATATGCCGGCAACGAACAAATTGTGCGCTTGCTGCTCGAAAATGGGGCCGATATAAATGCAGATGGAGGACGCTATGGAACAGCCCTAAACGCTGCTTCATTTCGCGGCCACGGAAAGGTTTCGCAGATGCTGCTTGAGAAGGGCGCCGATGTGAATGCTGGAGAGCACGACAAGGCTCTGGTACTCGCTTCCTTCAAGGGCCACGAACAGATTGTGCGGATGCTTCTCGAGAACGGAGCAGATGTGGACGCTCGGAGCCAAAATTTCAGTAACTCAAATGCTTTAGACAGGGCGTCACTTAGAGGCCACGAAGAGATCGTACAGATCCTCCTCGAGTACGGCGCCGGACGGGAAAGGTCAGCACCCTGAGCACTAACGACCGCTTTTGTCGCATGACGAATGCAAGTGGCCACGAATGGTAGTATCATAGTGTATTGCGTGGAAACAGGGAGAATGCAGCTTCACAGTCCGTACTTCGCTTTCATCTGGTCCCATTTCTCATCAGGAGCTGTTTGAGACATGTGCATGTTACTGTTTGATTAAGAAGACTGTGGGAATTTACACGTCATACCATCACAGATGAGTATTCGTTAGGGACCTTGATTTTTATTTCCTAGTCATTGTTGTCATGTCTGCCTTGGTGTCCCTCGTCCTCTTCTTGTGACTTTAAACTGCCGAATGCAGCTTTGAGTGGTGCGGGTTCACTGGGATTCGCTTCCAAGAAAATCACCTGATATGCTCCCCCTTGTGGCGTCCAGCAGAGAACAGATCCATGCTCCTCAGACCATCTAGATGGGGCAGCACACCTCGTAGGGCGGGTGCTGGGGAAAGAGACACGGTCAGTCTCGGTCAAAATGAGCAACTAAAGACGAGTCGTGGCGTGTTACTGAGGGATGAACTTACGTCCTTGCAGCGGTCGCAGAAGGCAATTCCCTCGATACACTCGGTGGTGCACCACTCCGCATCGCTGTCCGCCTTCGTGCAGCAGCGATAGCCGGCGTTCTCGGTACCCGCAAGGGCGAGGTTAGCCATGCCGACAGCAATGAAGAGGGAGATCTTGATGACGTTGAGCTGCATTTTGCGTAACCGTCTCGGGATAGGTGAAGTGAGGGAGCTTGTTCTGATGACTGGTGATATAGCCGAATGGAATTTGGTATTTGGGCAGATTTGTTTGCGCTTGTCTTTGCGTGAGACCTGGACGATTGTGGGATAGAAGGATCTAAGAAAGAAGAATCAAAAGAAAACTCAAAAATGGCGGCAGTCTGCAAGTTGAAGTGGAGTCCGTTGTAACTGGAGGGGTAACAAGTGACCCAAAGGCACAGTGACTGAATCCATTCACTGCGGGCATTCACATATCCCTGTTTGATAGAAACAGTGAGCTTTGAAAGTTCCCGTTTGGCCTCTAGCTTTCAGAGCCCTGAAAATCTTGAAAAGGTCTGGTATAGTTGATATCAATTACCTGCATTTGTTCCCAAACTGTGACCTCTTTGGGCACGAGCCTACGGCAATCAAGTTGAGGGGGAAATGGCAAAAGCGGGACCATTTACCCACATTTTTAATTGCTTCAACTGTGATATCTTCGCTGTCAGCAAGTTATCTAATTGGATATCGATGTTGCTGCCTCAGCATGCTTTACATTCGCTCAGTCTTGCACAAGTTCAACGAGTTACTACGGTTGGACGTACCAGACTCGTTAAATCGTTAAATGTTGAGGATTGAGAAAGCAAATAAGCACTACATAAGTAATTGGGATTTGGGCCGCCAGGTAGGGGTGGCAGACGCGGCATTGATGACGATTGGGACATTGTGCAGAATGATGCTTCGTGACATCTATACGTATATATACAAACAATAAAGTCCTACAAATTGGTAATACATGATGTTCGATTTGTATCCCAAGTTCTCCAGTATTTTATATCCTACATCCCTCATCATAAAGAAGCCACCCTTGGATACTGCAAAACATCCCCCCCAGGCCGTTTCATCTCACCCACAAGGCTATCCCGCAACGTCGTAACGTCTTCGACATACTCAAACCTCGCAAAGTCATACTCGTCGTCGCCCATCACGGCACTCCCGCCCCTGCTCCGGGTGCCAGAGTCCGTACTTCTCGACGGGCGCGTGACGTCGCCCGCGACCCTGTCGAGGTCGACAAACTCGCTGATGTGGTCCATGTTCCCCAGCATGACGTCGTCCTCCTCCTCGCGGCGGTCGCGGCGCTTACGGCAGGCCGGGGCCGTGGTGGTTGACACGAAGCCGACCGAGTACTTGCGTGGGTCGAACTCGCCGCCGCCGATATGATGGTTCACCACCTCCGCCGGGGCGCTGGCCTCCACCGACGAAGCTGACCAGCTTGCCGAGGATGGCGAACTCGAGCTTGAGCTTGATGGAATACACGACGCCCTTGAGCATCGTCTCGAGGATATAATAGCTCGCCGCCTCGAGCCCCAGAAGTCCCAAGTCCATCGCGATAATCACCGCATTAATAGCCAACAACTGCCGCATCGTAGTCCGCGTATCAGGCTGCAGGCTCGTACGCAATATACGGAACGTCTCCACGACATAGATAGAAGACAGCACAACCTCCTGGCAGAAAAACCCGGTCATCTGTATCTTCTCCATAACATCATACCCCTTAGCAAACGCGCCCACCGAAGGGCCGTGCACCGACGACCCGTACGTGAACACCGTGGTCGGCAGGTGGAACACCACCGCGTCGACGGCGATCATCCACCCCGTCCAGCGCACGATGCGCTCACCCCGCGGGCCCTTGGGCACGATCAGGTGCAGCCTCGACCACAGCACCAGCGCCTGGCCCGACACCATGGGCCACCAGCCCACCGTGATGAGCGTGATGGCGGCGTACCGAGAGCGGCCGTCCGTCACGTCCAGGAGGTCGAGGGCGAAGCCGATGGTGTAGGGGATTATGGCGAGGGCCGAGATGAGGACCGAGTAGAAGTACAGCCCGCGGTAGTGCTTGAACGTCAACAGCGTCATGCACGCTATCTCGGCCGCGTTGTAGGTCGCCAGCACGCCGACCGTGATGACGAAGACCCGTAGTGACGGCGCCTGGTCGCCTGAGTCTGGGGTCAGGCCCGCGCCTGGGGTGAGCCAGTTGGATGAGTCTGGGGGCGAGTCCGGGAGGGCGTCGTCGCCGCTGCTAGCTCGTGCGAAGACGGCCAGGTTGCTGGGGGACATCGGAGACATGTTGGGGCGGCGCCTGGTGTTGACCAGTTAGGTCGGTAGGCTTTGTTTGCGTGGTATCTGTTGTTGGGTCAGGGGGTGGCGAAGGGGGTGGTGACGCGCTGTGAGACGGTGAGACTCGACGCGCTCTGGTCACCGGACGTCGGGAGCACAGCTGCGGAGCGCGTGTGTACGCAGGGCGAAGGTGCTCATTGTCTTGTTCGGCTGAAATCAATCACGATGGCCTTGCTTGCCGCGTCGGAGCGTGGTTGATGCCAGGTTAGGGGAAGGGGGACAGGCTCAAAGACGGGAAGATGTGAGGTTGAAACAGGAGTGAAAACTTATATCAGCAGCAAGGCCACAAATGCAGTCAGCAGCCAGCCCATCCATCCCTCACAGCCCAACTCGACAAACCATACCGAATCGAGCCCGGGAGGGATGCAAACCGGTGATCATTGCGGTCATCCCCGAGCCGTCCTCCCCCAAAAATGGGCGCCCCCAGCCGACCCAGCTGCCGACAGCCTGCAGAGGCGAACCCAGCCGGCTGGCGCAGTGCGACTCCAACGCCCACAAACCGCTGACGCTGGGTCCCGCTGTACGACCAGTAGCCCATCAGCCAAGAGGGGGTAGCTGCCGATCCCGTCAGCTCGAGCGTCGAGACAGCGAGACAAAGAGGGGACGATCCCGCCGTTTCGTCGATCCGAGGGCTCGGCGCGCTACCCACCACGGGCTGTAGGCGTGGTTACATTGGCTGGGGTGAACACGGTCTGCCGACTGGGCAGGGTCGAGTTGGCGAGAGGCGCCGTGGCCGCAGTGGCCGTCTTGTCGTCAGGCAGGATGCGTGCTGGCTGGCGGTTGGTTGGGCACTCGCTCAATACACCACTCCAAGTAGAGAATGTGTGTCCTGCAGTGCATGCTGTCTCCGTCATGATGAGGGATGACTCATGCAACCGCATGTCTCATATGCATCTCGTTCGAGGCTTTGCTGCCATTGGCGCATTGAATTAGTTCTAAGGCGACAGAGACAGAATCGAGTTGATATCTTCTGTCATTGCCACCATGGCTGAATCGGCTAGCGAACAGCAGACGCATGTTCAAGCCTGCCGGCCTCGTCTGAAGCACATGACATGGCACATGCAGTGGACGGCAGCGGAGCGACTGCCGCGGCCCTGGTGTGATAGTGTTCATTTGACATAGTTTCTGTCTAAGTATGGTATATACGCTTGTAATGCAGCTGTATCCAGAGCCAGGCAAGCGCCTGGCACTACTCACTCATGCGACTAATGCCCGAGCCCAACCGCGGCAAACAGCTCATCGTACACCTTGACGACCCAACCGTGCGCCGGACCTCCCCTGGCAACAATGCCCAACCCGCCTGCCGCCCAGACGGCAGTGGCAGCAACCGCGGTGCCGTTGACCCACAGCCATATTCTCCTCCTGCGCTTCCTGCGGCGCACGTCCTCGTTCCTATCGCGCGTGGTGCCCACGGTCTTGATGTCGGCCGCCCAGCCCGCCATCTGCGCGAGCCCGATCCACTTGGCCCAGCCCCAGACCATGTGCCCACAGCCGAGGCCCAGCAACCCAACATAGGCGACATACGAGACGGTCGGGTGGGACGCGAAGCCGTGCGCCACGTACGCCAGGCCGATGTTGGAGCTGTCGCCCTCGACGTGTAGTGGCAGCAGGCGGTTGATGGCGACGTGCGCCGACAAGAACGCCGCGAAGCCGTACCCAGACGCCGAGACCCAGGTCAGCTGCGGCCAGGCGGACCTCGAGCCACCATCCGAGGACGAGGAGAAAGAGCGCCCCGTGGACGACCTGGTAGGCAGGACGGCCGGGGTGGCGCCGCCGTAGCGCTTGAGGTTCTGCGAGCGGCGCACCAGGCGCAGGGCAATGCCCGAGGCGATGTGAGCGGCTATAGGCAGGGCAACGAAGAGGGGCTCCGTCATGGGGGTCTGGTAGATCTCGCGAGCGAGTAGGAGATAGCCCTCGGAGGCGGGCACGGAGCGGGTGACGAGGGGTATTATGGAGGTGTTTGCGATGTGCAACCCGGTAAATATGGAGAGGGCGTAGGTCGAGTACCGTTGTATGCGCGTCACTAAAGAATTGCCACGTTAGTCGACGCAGTGTGGCGTCAAAGAGACAAGACACTCACGATAGTATATGGAGCCGTGGCCACTGCCACTCAGGCCAAGAGACGAGGTGCGGGCATGGCCTGGCCCGTCGCGAGATCCTATCGATCTTGCAGTGTCCTTTTCCGTGTCTGCCTCTGTCCTTGTGCCATCGCTAGACTCCTCGGGCAGCGGTGGCAGGTCCTTATCGGTGTCTGGCATCGGCTGTGGCTCGAGTTGCAGCAGCGAGATCAGCGTCTCCTGCGAGGCGGTCGCCCTCAGAGACCTGGAGTCCATGCTGGATGTGCTCCCGGCCTGGGTGCCACTCCTTCTCTGCTCTGCTGGTAGACGCGTAGCGTGTGGTTATGAGGGTATCATGGGGTTCAGTTGTGGTGGCATTGGACAGGAGAGAAAAGTTGTTCCATCAGTTAGCAGACCATGTAGTCTACGTAACAGATCTGGCCCAGAACTGTTGAGAAAGTTGACCGAGGCTTTAGAGCCTATTGTTCGCCCCCCCACCCCTGTACCTCTCTGACGTTGACACTGGGGTCCATCCACGCCCAGGTCTTGGGACCCACTGTGGCCCGCCAAGCTCATGCCGCATTGCCCTGTGAGGATGCTAGAATTACACACGCGACAGAACCCTGACCCGCTTCCTTGCAGGGTCCCAGCATTCAACCATTCGGCCGGCAGAGCTCCACCATGACTGCATCGCGTCTCTCCCTTCCGTGCATCGGTCTCGAAAGCCCACCACATTTGACACCTCTAACGACACGATCAGCAAACTTCCTGCCCGTGGATAGCTGCTGACAGCAGCAAGCAGTCAAAATGCCCCCAGTGAGACCACCCAACTCGACACCTGTATCTCCCTTGGCCCCCTTAAAATCCATAAGCTGACCGCCCAAACCCAACAACAGCGACACCAGACACTCCCGCCGGCAGCCACCGCCGCCGCCCGCGAGGCCCTGCAGTCCTTCTACTGCCAGCTCTGCCAGAAGGGCTACAGCCGCCACAACGAGTACGAGGCCCACCTGTCGTCCTACGACCACTCGCACAAGGTGCGCCTCAAAGAGATGCGCGCCATGACCCGCGACCCCGCCGCCGCCGCCCGCGCGCGCAAGGCCGAGGCCAGGGAGAACGGCGTCATCAGCATCCAGCTCGGCGGTGGTGGGGAGAAGCCCCAGGCCGCCAGCGGAGGAGGTGGAGGCGGCGGCGGGTTCAAGAAGGGCGGGTTCAAGAAGTCGGGGTTCAAGAGTGCCTTTGCGCCTGCGGGTGGGGACGGCGAGGCTGAGAAGGAGGTCAAGGCCGAGGATGAGGCTGTGGATGTCAAGGTCAAGAGCTTGGAGTTGCAGCGCGCCGGCGGTGGAGGTGGTAGCGGTGATGCTGAGAGTGATACCGAGGACGAGGGATACGAGATGTACGACCCGAACTTTCCTACCGACTGAGATGCCGAGTATGGGAGGACCAACCGAAAGTACGGTTCCGATATTGAGCATACGACTATTGACCAATGTCTGATGGATAGACATCGTCGACGAACTGGTCGGGTACACCTCGAGGGTTGGGCGGGGGGGGGGGAATGAGTAGGCAGCACGTTGTGTCCAGAAAGGAGGCCGACCAGAAGCACGCCCTCCGACACTACAGCTGACGAAGTGGGAATTTCCGATGTGGACGACTTGGAAGGGGAAAACGATGCTACGGAGCGATGGGCGAATGCATATGCCATTCTAGGGAGTGATACACGACTACAGACTTCAAGAAGTCCTGTCGGGCCATGGGAAAGTGATGGTTGGCATCACGCTATGATGGAACCCACCCTACCAGGAAAATTGTATTCCTCGAGTATTCCTACGGATTCGGAAAATAATTTGGCTGGAACTGCGACAGATCCTCCTCCAGCAGGCCCATCATATACCGATTCCCCGAGAACCAATCGCCCAGCTGGCTCGTCTGGTTCATAGCCACCGCATGGTTTACTGGCGACGCACCAAACGGCGCCCCAGCAGTCACGGGTGAAGTCGGTAATGCGCCACTCGCAGCAGCTGCAGCAGCAGCAGCTGCGGCGGCGGCGGCGTGGGCCTGGTGAACTTGTGCCTGGTGGACCTGCGCTTGGGCCTGCGCGGCCGACAGGTCGCCGTCGACGGGCATGAAGCCCAGCGCGGACAGGTAGACGTCGAACTCGTTGCCAATCGGGGCCATGTCGGTGTCCTGGGGCTCGGACGAGTTGGCCTTTGTCTTGGCCTCGACATACAGCGTGGCGACGTTCTGCAGCACCGAGAAGAGGCGGTGCAGCTTGTCGACGCCCTCGGACACGGCGCACGTCGGCTGGAGCGACGCGATGAAGTCACGTAGGCGCTGCAGGTCTGCCATGTTGGAGGTCTCGATGATGTGGCAGAAGATGACGATGAAGGGGACGAAGGGCGCGTAGAGGATTGTCCTGGACGGAAACGGGGAAGTCAGCAACGCCAACAGAAAAGAAGAGAAATGTAAACTCAAGCATGTCATGGGCGCCCACTCACCAGTGTATGTACGAAGCCGCCACCCACAGGTTGCTCCCCATCAGCTTCATGCACTCCTCGTGCGTCTGCATGGCCAGCCTCGCCGTCTCGATGCACTCGGGCGTGAAGGTCGAGAAACCGTGCCCGCCCACGCCGGCAGGGATGGCCCGATATACCAGCGTCAGGCTGCTGAGGAACGAGACCTGGTCGCTCTTCATGACCATCTCCATGACGGTGGCCTTCCTCGCATCGGCCCAGCTGCCGCCCTCGGCGCCGCCCACCTTGAGCTTGCCCATCTCGCTGCTCCGGATCAGCAGCGCCTGCTCGGCGATCACCTTGAGCCGGCCCGCGAGCCGCCGCGCCGTGTCGACGCGCTGGCCCACCGGGTGGCCCAGGCTGGAGGGCGAGTACAGCCGCTCGTAGATCTGGCCCTGGATGTCTGCATGCGCGATCCACAGCCGCAGCACCTCCTTCCACATGTCGGGCGCGTTGACCTGCCCGATCACCCGCGGCAGCGTCACGTCGAAGTCCTGGATCGTCGGGGCTCGCCCGAGCCGGAGCGCGAGCCCGCGGTCCAGCATGTAGCTGAACCAGAAGAGGATCGCCTTCTTGTCGCTGAGCACGCTGCTGCTGCCGTTGTCGTGCACGATGCTCGCGCCGCCGCCGCCGCCGCCGCCCCTGCTGTTCACCTCGACGGTGCCGCCTGTCACACGGTGGTATCCCAGGTCCTGGCACAGCTGGGCGGCGGTGGTGTTGAGCTGCCAGGCGAGGCTGGGGCGGCTGACCTCGATGGCGTAGCTGGCGCCCAGCAGCAGGGCCTCGATGTTCTCCATGCTGGCGCCGAGGAAGAAGCGCAGGTTGGCCAGCCCCGTCTCGAGGTTGTCGCGGCACAGGCGGTAGTACCCCGTATACCGTTCCTGCCCCGCGCTGTCCCCGCTCTCGCCCGCAACCACCGCCTTCTCCTGGAACAGGTAGTACAGCCCCATGTTGACGATGATGAAGTTGGCGTGGCTGAAGTCCTCGAGCGCAAAGTACACGCGCCGGCACGCCTCGGCAAAGTTCTCCACCGCCATGAAGCAGCACACGCTGATCAGCGTGAACGTACCGGGGGGCGTCTCCTTCACCTCCCGCAGCACGGGGATCACCGCCTGCACCGGCGGCATCGGCAACTCGCGGAACCCCCCGCGCGGCAGGGCCCGCTGGTGCGCGAACCGCACGTCGTTGCTGCTCCCACCACCCCCGGCGCCGCTGTTGGACGCCCCTGACGAGCCGCGCCGCCCCTGTGGCCCACTGCCGCCCCCGCCCCCGCTCCCCTGCTGCTTCTGGCTCAGCCCGACGATCTGCTTGAGCGAGGTCAGCGCGGCGGCCATGCTGGGGTTGAGGTCGCGCAGCGAGGTGCGCTCGACCGCGTGCTCGAGGAACTCGGACGCGAAGACGGTGTGCGCCGTCAGCGACGAATTGCCCTCGAAGGCGGACGAGTCGAGCTCGTTGGCGCTGGCCCCCGGCGTGCTGCTGTCGTCGTCGGCCTCGTCCCCGCGGTCGTCGCCCGAGATGTCATCCATCTCGTCGTGCTGCTGCTGGTGGTGGTGGGCCGCCGTCGCTGTCAGCGGGGAGTCGTTGCCGCCGCCTGTTGCCCTGCGGTCATCCCTCCGCGCCCCGCCGCCGGTGTCCATCGCGTTGGACGACGACGAGGACGCTTGTGGGGGTCCCTCGTGGAGGGGGAGGTCGGACCCCCGGCGGAAGTTGCTGTTGTTGCTCAGCTCGCGGAGGATCTTTTCTATCGAGCCGAGGCGCTGCTCTATCTGGTCGATCTTGCGCTCACTGGTCTGTGGTCAGCCATGGTGGGTGTCATGAAGGTCTTCGCTACGAATGACCTGGCCCGGGATGAGGTGAGGAATATGGCTGGGGGTGGATTTGGTGACAAGGGATGATGACGAGAGAGACGGACTATTGCGTAGATATCAAGACCCTCTGCCTGGCCTCCCGGGGCTTCTGTCCCGCGCCAGTTGAGCTGCAAACCCGGTTCGCTATGCGACAGTTCGAGCATGGCGATTCTTTGTCGCACCGTATCTGGCGGGCCGTCTCGTCAGTCCCACTTCATAACCGCGTTGGCTGCATGTTGGGTCCCGCCGCCCTGGGTCTGGCCGCGACCAAAGGGCGTCCGCGGACGAGGAGGCCATGCACATCATCTGCAGCGTGGTGGTGTACTTACTTTCCGTATCCGGCACTGGTCACACTGTGAGAGGATCACCCGTCAGCAAGGGGGTTGGTCTGGTTCGTCTGAGGTGGTATACCGGTGGATATCCAAGGGGGTCCTCGGACTCCCGAGGATTTCATGAAGCGAGGAAAGAGAGTCTGGGCAAAAGGAGACTTGGGCGGGTGTGTATATATATGTGACAATTCCCAAATCAAAACTCCCATTGGCAATCGATGCACATGATCCATCATCATACGTACTGCTCGACTAATAGCCGCATTGGCCGGGTCCGAAGGTCCTCCTCCGAGTCCCAGCCCTCCTCCTCCTCCTCCTCCGCCGGCCGGTGCCCCTGAGTCGCCCCGGCCGTGATCTGAGGGGGTGCTACCGGTGCCCATGCTGCACGTCACTGCGCTGGCTCATACGGGAGGTGATGAAAGTTGGGTTTTATCGGAAAGGACACCAGAGGAGCAGAAAGGGCCGAGACGGATGGAACATTTAAGATTCAATGCTTGAATCGGCGCTTTCATGAGCTTGTTTGCACGGCCACGGTTCATTCATCTCCCCAACGGCCATCGCTGAAGGGTGCGCATCTCAGGGTCCGGGCACAGGGTCTCGGCACCCGCGGGCAGCCGGAGGCACCGCAGCGCGCGCGCGGGGCCGAGAGGGGCTTGGTGGTCTAGTCTGTGTTGAGTGAATGAGGACAAGTGGAGAATCTACCAAGAACAACAAGGAACTACATAGTACAACATTATTGTAATTTAATTGGTAACATAGATTATAGGAGGCCCTTTCAAGGTTTTCCAATAAGACACTTAGTTTGGTTGCAGGAAAATATTCCGTAGAGCCCCTGTGAACGTCGTGTAACTTTGTGTGCTCCTGGTATAGACGGCAGAAGCGGTAGTGGAGTAAGGTTACCAGAAACCCACATTTTAACTTGACCAGTTGCATATTGGGATACTTTCATGTGCCTGCTCTGTAGTGAATGGCTTGAGCATTGTGTAAGCTAACAACCTTCCTAGTACCCAGTTAAGTACCTTACCGTTTATATGATGACGGGTTTTAAATTCTCAAGGTCATTGCGCTGGACCCGATTCCAATAAACCGTTTTCAATGCTTAGTCATGGAAGCAGACAGTTCTGGCTAACACGAACTTCTTCAGCTCAGCTCACCTCGATCTCCTTCCTAGACGTCCTAGCATTTTGAAAACGGGATGGACATTGTTAGTTGAGCGCAAAAAGCCATTATTTTTATCAAATTCAAAATTTCCCAGTCCGCTGAACCCTTCTCAACTTTGGCAGGTACTGCTCCAGGGTCCCTTGATCTACGCTCATCCTCCTGCAGCATGGAGGAAATGCAAGTAGTCGATTCAACATGGGAACATGTCTTTCTCATTCAGCTTTTAAAGACCACATCACATTATGGAGTTTAGAAGATTACAACCCGGCTTTAAGAACATTCATAATCTGAAAAAGTCATCAAAAACTTTTGTCTAAATCGCTGCTGATGACTTCCATGCCAAAATTTGCTCAGGTCCAAAATTTGCTCATGCCTATGTTCGGCATCCCGCCTTCAGTGCCAGTGCCCTCACCGGCATTCAGCACGCCAACACGGCCTCAGGAGTGTCTAGGATGATGGGACAAAGCCTGTGTGTGAAGCTTTCGTGTTCGCTGACACCTGATATGGGAAGCATTCCGCCGGTTTGTCCTTCTTCGCAGAGACCCATGAGTCCTTGCCCTGTATGGTAGGTTAGCTGTCAGTTCCAATCCTCGAGCCTATGTCTGTCTTCCGTGAACGAACCTGTTCATTCTTCCCCCAGTACACCTTAAAGTCCACGTAATACTTAGTGGGCTTGCCGGCATCATCCACGTCAACGCTCTGGACAATACCCACGTACTTGGTGCCTTTCATTGGGTTAGCACAGATTCAGAACCAGACCTGGAGTGCCTGACAAATGGAACATCATACCCCAGTAATCCACCATGACGTTGTCCTCCTTTTGGAATGCCATGATAGCCGTCAGAGAGTGGAATAGGCTGAGATGATGCAGTATGCTTCTGTAAGTGATTCTGTAAATGATTCTGTGAAATTGGTCTTCCGGATTGATTGATTGGTTGGTTGATGGAAAGTCTGTCTGGTTGTCCTCCAGCCTCGTCCAAAGGCATGTCTTTTATACCTGGTCTGGTTGGCAGTGAGTCGACACTTGGACAAGTCACGAAATCTGTCAGTCACTTACATCTAAAAACATCCGGTTGTGGTCACTGCATGAAATGTGATTAGCCAGTGACTAAAGCGACCAGAATGTTGAGTTCGAATGGACGTCACCGTCAAGTAGGCATCTCGACTGGTCCGCTCTATCTACCTAGGTAGCTGGCCAGCTCCGTCACGCAGTTTTAGTGACCATGCCGGCCTCTATCACCCAGGAGGTGCTGGTGAGCGAAAGCAGTGATTGGGTAGTGACGCTCGGCGCAATCGTCCGCATGCATTAACATGAATGAGGCTCCCGCCCTTCGATGAACATGAGATGCCTGTAAGGTCTCATAGCGGTGCGAGTAATGCTCAAGACGGTTTGAACTCGGGGATACTCAACGTCAAGACACAAACATAAGCAGCCCGCGAATTCCAAGAATGAGACGTTAGCAGACCCGGCACGCCTACTCTGTTAACCTTGACCTGACGACGATAAACAACTAGTCCAAGCTGCCTGCCGTTTCTACGTTTTGACAGCCAGATGCTATCTTCTCGGCGCATTCAGTTCAAGAGCGACCAAGCCGACGCCTGCTGATGTACATAATGAGCCGATGATTTCCAGAATACTGGTATCCATACTCTCCACATAATCACCCTGCGGCAGACGCACAAGAGGCTGAGTGTGACTGCGACGAAGGTGGAGGATGGCAGCACCAACTGGAGGCAAGAAGAAGTATGACCTCGGCTGTTCCTGGGGATTACTGTCAGCGGCCGATGGAGTGCTATGGACGGCCCTGCCAACAATATACGGGTATGAGTTCTTTGCGAAGGTTGGCAAGTACAACATGCTTATTTCACCAGTGAGACATAACTTCCGGCCTGCCTCGTCCGACTCGTCCCGACGATGAACACGTACATGAGCATCGTTTCGAGCGCCAGATCTCTCTGGGTGATTTGTCGTGTCGTTGAGTTATCTGCTGGTATTCGCCTTGTCGCTCTACGATTGGAGGGCACGCTGGCGGCTCAGTCTAGAAGCCTTGTGCTGTCCACCACGGCCCGGGCGCTTAACAGACGTCGTCAACACCTGGCCAGCATTGAGTAGTTATTCCCACCCAATCTCAACTTCACATCTAGAATGTTTCGCCTTCCAGCAAGAAGCCCCATGAACCTTCCTCCAACAATGGCACTTAAGTTCTTCACACCGGGTATCCTGATCTTAGGACCATACCATCAATGGCACCCCCACCAGCGAGTCACCCCCACCACCGGGTTTAACACACACATATACTTTACCAACTTCTTGACACATGCTGAACCACTGCTGTAAAAGTCAAGTGTGCCGGCCAAAAAACCGTAGTAACCGATCTGCTCAGATGAGCTACTCAACAGTATATGAAGCTGTACCCGTCACAACCCTCCCCACTCCCCCTAAGGCCCTTCTTAGAGCCCCGGGACTGCCGTCGGGGACTAAGTTGTGGTTCTAAATCATTTAGCTTTTCACGAGGTCCATCTAACACACTCCATAAGAAGGTATAAAGACTAGAACGGTACGGAGCCTAGAACTCAATGATGCATCTGCAAACAGCCAGCCCTTCATGGCACTATCGTTCAATCCTCGCTTACGCAAGTGTTTCTAAGTGAATGTGCTCACCACCCACCCAAATAGATTGGTCATGTGGCTTTATTACAATGATCTAAATGTATAGCTATCTTATGGGAATACTTGCAATGACAAGAATAAGTCTAATAACTTCCGACTTGCTGCAACCAACAACCTTTGGACGAGTTACTTGATCGGAAACCACTGGTTAAACACTCCAGAAGGGTCGAACTGCTGCTTCAGCGTCCTCAGGCGGTCCAGGCTGGAGCCGTAGATGGCCCGCAGCTCCTCATCGCCGTGGGCAAAGTTGATGTACCTTCACAAATTGTCAGTGACACCGATGCACGTGTGTCAGTCATTTTTCGCAAGCTCTAAAGCAAGACTCACGTGGGGTTCGCGGCCGCGCTCGACGAGGAACTCCAGATATCCCTGGCCTGCGCCCCAAACGCCTCGGCCTGCGCGTCGAGCGCCGCGTCCTCGTACCAGGGGATGACGACAGCCTGGGCGAACGCCTCGCGGCGCTTCTCCTCCGCGAACGCCGACGAGCCCGCCGGCGCGGATTGTGCTTTCGTCAGGTTGTACCGCTCGACCAGGACGGCCGAGTTCGCGGCGCCCGCCTGCCCCTGGAACCCCTTGTACAGGTCCCAGATCTGCGGCCACGTCTCGGGCTTCATGTTGTTGATGGTGGTGCTGTGGGCGGGCTTGCGCCCTCCCCGGGTGCAGAAGCCGTCGTTGGCCGCGTTCCACTGCTGGTAGGGGGTCACGACGCTCGAGTTTGTGAGGGGCCCGATGTCGTACAGCGGCGCGTAGGCGGTCCGCCCGCTCTCGACCGTGCCGCCGCGGAGGAAGCCCGTGACGACCACAGTGGGCGTGTTGGTCCCGTCGGCCGAGTTTGACAGGACCAGGTAGACGACCTGCTGCGGGAGGAGGGGCAGGTCCTGGATGGCCTGGGCGACGGCGGTGATCTTGGCCGGGTCGAAGGTGAAGTTGACAATGAGGGAGGTGCGGTCGTCGGTCGGGAACGCGCTCACCTTGGCGGAGGTGACGATGCCAAAGTTAGGCCCGGCGCCGCGCAGGGCCCAGAAGAGGTCCGGGTTCGACGTGGCCGAGGCCGTGAGCGCCTCCCCGCTGGCGGTGATGACCCTCAGCTCCAGGGTGTTGTCGACGGCGAACCCGTGCTCCCCGAGGAGGTTGCCATAGCCGCCGCCGAGGGCTGCTCCCAGGGCGCCGACGCAGTTGCAGTTGCCCGTCTGGACCAGGACGCCGGCGGCGTCGGCGGCCGCGGTGACGTCGCTGATGAGGGCGCCGCCGCCGATCGTGGCCGTCGTCTTGTCGGCGCTGACGTTGACCTGGTTCAGTCCGGCCAGGTTGATGAGCACGCCCGTGCTGCCCAGGTCGAACTGGCCTGTTGCCCAGCCATTTCCGCCATTCTGGGCGACGAAGCGGATGTTCTTCTTCACGCAGTACTTGACCTGTCGTAGTCGAAATCGTAAGCTTGGCACTGTGAATGTATACGGTTGGATCACTGAGCAGGAGGTTAGAGGCTGGCCGACATACCACTGCACTAACATCGTTCTCGCTGGTCGCATTGAAAACGACAGTTGCTACAGGCGCGTCAACCTCACTCCATCGTTGCCGTACCTGGACAGCGACGGACGAGGCCGGTGCCAAGCTCTGCAGATCGTCAGCGACAGATCGCGCACCGACACAAGCTGCAGCAGCCATGGTCGCGGTCTGCAGGCCGGTGAACAGGAAACGAAGGAGGTGCATGGCTAAGGTTGCAGTGGCGAAAGGCTCTTCAACAAGGTCTCAAGCTCTGTGACACGGTGTGTATGTAGCCAAGAAGGCCGTGTATGTCAGGGCCCTATTGGATCTTAAGGATCTCGAGGTGGTTTGCCGAACCTCGTCCTGTCAACGATTCACTTGTTGGGTCTCCCTCTCAGCTGACATGCCACGCCGGAAAGGGGAGACCCTTCATATGCTACCCTAGGCATGCCGGTTGCCTTGGCGATGCTTATTCGCCCAGCTTCTGCAAGGGTTCTGCTAATAGTTGATTCCAAGGTCCTTTAGTCTCTTCATGTCCCGATATGCAAGGGTGCTCCGTCCCCCGCCGCACAAAAATGTCCCGGAGTATTGGGTCCCACAAGAGCAGTTGGAGGCTTGTACGATAAAAGCCTCGCACACATATTTGGTCCCGGAGCTGGACGGCCCTTCGGATGCTAGAGCCGCAGGCATTGTACCCCAGGCGCCCGAAATTGCGATATCTTGCCGGACAAGGGCCGCCCAGTATACACAGTAGTACCCCGCGTGGATATGCGTGGCTATGCGGGACCCTTCTGCTCAGTTCTTGGGCTTGTCTCGTAAGATATACCACATTAAACGGTGATCCTACACCCAGCCACCGGAAAAGGCGGGTTTTATCGTCCGGAAAGGGCTTCCCTCCCAACATGACATGGGCTGCACGTTCTCATCGCGACAACACAAGCACTGGGCGTGCCATATGCCATTGTCTTGTAGGTCCCAAGGCCTCGGATGACAACTTGAAGTTGACAGTTTCTCTGACCAAAGCCTAGACTTGGCCGAACGGTTGCAATTTATCCTCTCTAGTTTTTATCACTTACTCAGACAGTCTTATTCCTTTCCCTCATTATTCCGTCAATGCTCACACAACCCACAATTATCGCCTTGTCATTCTTCGCATAATCATCCGAGCATGGAAAAGCACGTTATCTGAGCGTGCGTCGACCCTTGCGAATTCAATCTGGACCCAAGCCTGGCACCAAGACCTTCCCAGCCAGGGTCAAAGGGGGGAAAGAGTGAATAACCAATTACGAACCCCCCTAACCCGAGTCAGCGTACGCCCACCCAGCTTCTACAGTACGCCCACCCAGCTTCCAGCGTTGGCCCACCCAGTACAAGGAGAATCACCTGCATCCGCATTAAAATGCAAGTACTGCGGGGTTCCTAATAAGCCAGGGTAGCTATTTTCCAATTTAAGCAATACTTTAAAAATACAAGCCTAAAAAGCCTAGAGGGCCCCAGAGCCCCCAGAGCCCCCAGAGCGCCCAGAGGGCACCAGAGCGCCCAGAGGGCACCAGAGCGCCCAGAGCCCCCAGAGCGCCTAGAGGGCTGCAGAGCGCTTAGAGGGCCGTAGAGCGCTTAGAGGGCGCAGAGGGCGGCAGAGGGTAGAAGTAACTTTTAAGTTGCAAATAGAGGGGTAGCTATGGGACCCCTCTGGGATAGCTATAGCTATGCTTTATTAATAACCCCGCAGTACCAATATTTTATAGCATATGCAGCCAATTTCCTTGTACTGGGTGGGCCAACGCTGGAAGCTGGGTGGGCGTACTGTAGAAGCTGGGTGGGCGTACGCTGACTCCCCTAACCCCTCAAAGACTTCCTCACGATGCCGCCGGTATTTACTCCTTTTTGCCCATGAACGCGATCACGCTATCATGTAGAATCCACCATCGCATCTCCATCGAAAAGACCAACTTTATTTACGATGATTTTCCCTAACCCCTTCTCCATAGTTCCCGTCCCGTTACCCACAGGACCCAGTCCTCGGATTTTGCCGCAGGCGACCTGCTCCTCATGGATCCGCCCGGTTTGCCTAACTACACACAACGTCGCCCATCATGGTGACCATGAATCATGACTACACCAAGGGCCAGATGATCGGTCTGGCCGTTGGGTTCATGATAATTCCCACAGTCTTCTACGAGCTACGCGTGTGGGCGGAACTGCTCGTCAAGCGGTCTGCGTGGGATGATTAACTTGCCTCACAGGAGCAGCACTCGTAAGTGTTACGGGACTCTTTCCCCCATCGTGTTGAATCCGGAAGAAAGCTGAGCAAAATGCCTGCAGGTGGTCGCCATTACGTGTTGCGCGTTACAGCTAGCCAGTGCGTACATCGCCAATTCCTACTCCGGGAGCATGAAGTCAACCGTCTGAACAGCTGCGGTCCATCGCCATCTTGGCCAGCATCAGCCTCAGTATCCCGATGGCTCACCAATCATGGACGACCCCCGGGTTGATTTTCTTCGAGCAGGTGAGCTATCTTCAAGCACCTCTCTAACCCTCCTTCAGGGCCCAAGCTGACAAGAGCCCGGCGGACCAGACCAAGTTCGCTCTCAACATGATATCCATCCTGGGGCTTGGTCTCGTCAAGTCTTCCATTCTCATCCTGTACTACGAACCTCTTTCCAAGTAAAAGGTTCCGCTACGCCGTCTGGGAAGCACTCGCCTTTGTGATCGGGTGGACTGTCAGCTTCTTCTTCTCGCACCTATTTACCTGCTACCCCATCACCGTTTTCATCGAGCCCTATTACGGGAACTCGTGTGTGCAGACGGTTCCCATGTTTGTCTCGTTGCTGTTCACCGATGTCATTGCCGACTGGGCGATATTATTATTGCCCGTGCCGATGGTCCTCAAGGTGCAACTGCCCTTCGAGAAGAAGCTCGCAGTGATCGGCATGCTGGGATTGGGCGCCGCGTAAGTGTTCCTGTGTTCGCTTCCTTGATTCGGATGCAATTGGGAGTGGTGTTTATGACTTGGCTAACGCATAACAGTGTATGCGCCGTCAGCGTCACGAGAGTGATTGCTACCTTCGCAATCGCGGAGGAATACGTCAAGCACCCGAACGACGTCATGTGTGAGTGCCCGGGCTCAGGGCAGCAGCTAGATCCCGCCCCGGTCTCCATGCATGGGGCGCACCTTCTAACCCCCAACTACAGGCTACACCGCCCCAGTCTTCTTCCGGACCAACATCGAGCTCTCCCTGGCCATCGTGTGCGCCTGCCTGCCGACGCTGCGGCCCATCCGGTCGCACTTCTTCCCCAAGCCGGTCGCGACGTGCACCTCCGACTACGAGTACGGGTCCTCGGGCCGCATGGGCGCCATGAAGAACAGCCTCAAGCAGAGCATCCGGAAGCCGTACGAGGAGCTGGACGAGCTCGAGCTGACAATGTACGACCGCCAGGCGGTGGGGGCGGACGGCCGGTCGGCGTCGCCCGAGGGGAGAGACATCATCAAGCAGACCACCATCCAGCAGACCATCGGGGCGCCCGACAGCTCGAGCACGGCGGACCTGAGGGGGAATACCTTTGAGGCCGTGGGCCGGGGCCCGTTGAGGGCAGAGCGGATGGTGCCTTGGTACTTGTGTTTTTCCCAAACCGTGCTCGACCAATGTGCTGGTGATCACTTCATATGTGGCGCTCCGTCCGGCGAGACGGAGGTGGAGAAGCCAAACAAGACAGTAAATTATAATATAGACAGATAATAGGTCCCTGACTGCGGCGGCAGTACTGCAGCAGCGGGGTTGCATGGTGGTCACGCTCAGAGACTATGCTTTGAGTGTTAGTATTGGTCCCTGGTCCAATTTTGAGCTCGCCAGGTTTTCACAATTCATTTTGAGACTTCAAATCGAAATACCCACAATCGCGGTACTTTGGAGAGAGGACAATGGTAGGTCGCATCGCGCAGCTCTCCGAGATGCAGCCACGAACACGTTACAACCACTCTTCCTTTAGAGCGAAACCCTGCTCATAATCGGCGGTGTTGCACTAGAGTCCGTTGTCCTTGAGCGAGAGTTCCAGTCTCCAAGTCGGAATTTCGGAGTCAACTTCTTGCACTCCAGAATATGTCAGCGCCTAGAACAGACGACTTCGTAATCTCACTGACTGCCTCAACTGCCTCAGTCTACTCTGTGCCATAAGCCAAAAAGAATCTTTTGAGCGCCAACTTGTCCAGATGTCTACTGTAATAATTTCATGTCAAGATGCAGGCAAACCATCCTAGCAACAAGACCCGGCCGTCGAGCTATGTCTCCAGAGGATCGAAAAGGCACCCATCGTTGGCACACACAACATGACAAAGACAAAGGCAATTCAACCGCGGTTACTAGCACATTTTGCATAGGTGGGCATAATTCTGTCACAGCGCAAGATCGTGGAATGCTCCTTTGGGTCCCGTTCCGTACTATGTGCGTTCTTGTTAGACAGTTGGTTGGTTCGACATTAGAGAGTATTGTCCGAGCCGGAAGATGTCCCTATGTTATGACGAAGTCACTTTAACGGTAGTCAGAAATCTTGTTCCGGGAAGTTCAGTACAGAGCGAGGCATTGCTCTGACACTTTTAGCAAGGAACTTCCTCATGGCAGAGTCTTCTTCACGAAGTGTCAGCACCATTTGCAAATATCGAATGTTCCATTATTAGCAAGCGAACTGCAAGCCATGGCATTATTTGACCTCTGAACGTGGGGAAGAGGCCTGGGAAGGTTGAAGGTCTCGGCGAATTGGCGAGCATGGAGCCACCCATTACCGGTAACGCCTTCATTGTAGGATGACAAGAAGCGATACAGTCAGAGGCTGGACTTACTGAACGTATCTGCTTCAAGGATACTCTATCTCAAACTGGAAGCAGCCACAAACAATCGTGTGTCTGCCTGAGAGTGAAGAAGTATATTATCTAAACAGATAGTTGTGTGTTGAGAGGCCTCGCATGGACCCACTGTTGTTGTAAGCTGATGCATTGACTTTCGCCGTGGCTCAGTCCGGGTGTGGAGGAGAAATGTCGCGAACAGACGCCCAAGCCAGGACTCGGAGTTGACAAAATCCTTCAGCTGAGCAGATCACAGTGCTGCAGCAGCTTCAAGCTCTGAATGGACGCTTCTATCCAGCGGTCGAGTGGTGGCTGTGGTTAATCAACCCTGCAGTCTTTTTGGTGGGCAAATTGGAGGCCGTCCAGCCCCTCCCACGCAAGCCCATGCCTGCACGCGACTAGTGGACTATTCCCTTATCTCCGGGCTGTCTGTCCGTACTTTCGACCACACCAACTCTTTGTCGACGACAACAAAGCATAGTGCACTGCATTGCAATCTCGTCCTTCGACCTGGATTCAACCGGGCCAGGCAAGGCCACGAGGTTGCCGACGAAGGGCAAGACAGGACGGGTCAGGAAGGGACAGGGAAAGACGCGCAAAGATGCATCCTAAACGCCCACGCGCAGACGATGACGACGACGACACCGTCGCATCCGCACCACGACAACAACCACAACCGCGCCCAAAACGGCAGCGCACCGTCCAGCCCACAACCTCCTCGCGCGCCGCCCCAGCGCCATCACCAGCGCCGCAGCGCGAAGACCTGATCTCCCAGCTACCCTCCGAGATCCTCATCCGCATCCTCGGCTACCTGTCGCTGCCGCACCTCCTGTCCGTCGCCCCCGTGAGCGCCCGCTTCCGCCGCCTCGCCCACGACAATCAGTTATGGAAGGCGCTGTACTATGCGCGCTTCGTCCTACCGCGCGCCATGCGCATCCCGGGTTTCCGGGAGGGCAAGCTTGCTGAGAGGTTAAAGGACCATAAGCTGCATTACAAGGGCAAGAGGACGCTATGGGCTAGCGGGCGTTCCGGCGGGCTGGTCAGGGATGCAGGGGCGCCCGACGGTTGGAAGATACGGCTCACTGAGGAGGAGGAAGGGCTCAGCAGGAAGAGCGACAGCGTCAACTGGAAGAGGCAGTTCAAGATACGCCACAACTGGGCTCGGGGCAAGTGCGCCGTCGAGGAGTTGCGGCTGGGCCCGGAGGCGGAGGACCAAGGCGAGGTCCCAAGCGACGACCCTTTGGACGACCTGGATGGGAGCAAGATGCTAGTCAAGGTCGTCGAGGGACTGGCTGTCACGGTAGACAGGACGTCTGGCCTGCGAGCTTGGGACCTCAAGACAAGGGAGGTCGTGGCGCAAGCCAGTCTGGAAGACGACGAGGTGGGAAGCGAACCCGCGCAGCCGAGTTGTATCGCCATCGACGACCGGAGCCTCGACCAGGACACGCTGGACGTCTCGGTCGGCTTCGTGGACGGGAGCTTCGGGGTCTGGGCGCTGAGCACGCAGGCCAAGACCATATCCCGGAGATATCGGCACGAGAAGTCCAGCAATGGCGAGCTGATAGGCATGGCATATTCGCACCCCTACCTGTTGACGGCCACGCGAGCCGTGCTGATATCACTCTATACGTTCGACGTGCCACCCAAGACCGTGGACGGTGAGGACGAGCGCGAGGCAGGAGACCCCTCTGCGCAGTGGTCCTCGTCCAAGTTGAAGAGCGCCCTGAGCGAGTACACGGATGAGGACACAGCCGCCGAAGAGGAACAGGCCCAACTCCCTGCGCCGTACCTCATGACATCGCTCAAGTCGTACAGCTCCAGTCCACCCTTGGCGCTGTCAATAAGGAAGACAGCCAGCGCGACAGTTGCATCGATAGCATACACTTTCTTCACCCGGCACGGCTGGTCCATCGGCATCCAGGATCTCCACATCACTCCTGACGAAGCCTTGAAGAGTGCTCCCGTAATAACCACGCGACTCGCCTACACAACCCCGACCACCATCAGCACGCCGACCCACGCTCTGGGAGCACAGGCTGGCCCCTCACAACTAGTCACGCCGTCTCTGCGAACTTCCGAGTCAAACATTGGTTCAACCCAACACCACACGTCGCCATCGTCCTCACCAACACAACGCGACCATCATCATCACCACCACCAAAGCCAAGGCCCCACAACCCTCTGCTACAGCCACCCCTACCTCCTCGCCACACTCCCGGACAACACCCTGATCCTGCACCTCTGCACCTCCACCGCCTCCGCCCTGTCCATCTCGCCCGGCATCCGGCTGTGGGGCCACACCTCGGGCATAAGCGACGCCGAGATCACGGCCCGCGGCAAGGCCGTCAGCGTCAGCAGCCGCGGCGACGAGATGCGCGTCTGGGAGCTCGAGGGCAGGCCCAGCGGCGTGCGCAGCCGGAGCATCGAGGTCCGCGCCGCCGCCGCTACTCCCCCGCCGCAGGAGAAGGCGGGGGGTGGTGACGGGGCACTTGTGGGCGACTGGGAGGAGAGGAGGAACTGGGTCGGGTTCGATGACGAGATGGTCATTGTCCTCAAGGAGGCGAGGGGTGGGAGGGAGAGCCTTTTGGTGTATGACTTCACGTAGTGGGTTACGTGACCTACCGCGGGCGGCGACGGATCTTGCTGTGATGGTCGTAGCTGATATATTTGTCTGGTTAAGGGCTTAGATGTCGTGGGCTTAATTGGCGCGCATATATACACGAATACTCCTGTAGGATAGAGTAGAACAAGAAGCCCAAGCAATATCCATTTCCTCGCGCCCAACTTGTGACCTGTGTACTCACAGTTCCCACGCACAGCTGCTAACGGCCCTCTGCCGTTCGCTTTCACGGCCGCCTCACTCTTGTGCAGCAGGCTCCGCAAGGCGCTCTGGCCAACCGACCTCCCTCGCCCAAGGACTCAACGACATGTCTGCATCAAGCCCCCGCGCGACAGCAGCTCCCATCATCGCATGCAATGCGTCCAACGCCACGGCCTCTGTTTTCCCTAAGCGCCTGTTGCCGCGGCCGGGTCAGGTCAGCTTGCCTGTGGCTGAGCCGAGGGCGCCAGAGACGGGTGATCTCGGGAAGGAGAGGAGGGGTTGGCCACGCGTCTTATCCCAGGACGGACGGATTATGAGGCCTTCTCTTGGATTGTATCGCACAGGGTAGCTGGTGCCCAGAGCTAGGTAGTTAAGAACAAGTGAACACTGGGCGAACAGGGACGGGACCTGTGATCTCAAGTATCTTCGCCGCTCTTGATTTATTCATACGTTGAGAAGAGTACATGGAAAGTTCCGATCTATGAGAGAGACTAACAGTCCAGCTGGAATGCATTCACATAAATGAGGCTGGGACGAACCCTTTTCCACACAGAGGGCTCGTCTCATAACATGGACTTTGCGAGAAAAGCAACGCGAATTTGTTGGGCTCGTCGTAGAAGCCCCTCAGATAGCCAACTGAACCCCAAGCTGCCAAATCCGTTTGCGAGGCGGAGGCGGAGGCCATACGTATACAGCAAACCCCTCCCAGAAGCCGTCCCAGATCTTGAAGCTATTTTGGCGGAAAGAGGCTGACCGCCTTTTCCCCAGCTCCTTCTAAGACTTGCGGTCAGTTCGGGCACGCACACCCCCGTGAGCAAATATCAAGCCCAGCCGCAGACCATAGCTCCGAGTAGAAAGCTAGCCGCCTTTTAACAAGGCCTAGAGATGGCCACAACTGCACCTAAGCCCGCCCGAATCATGCCAGGCACATTCACATCCTTCTCCAGCAACTGCCTCGTAGATGCGCCATCGCATATGAACTGAGATCCGAACGAGATGAACTTGATCCAGCTCTATGTGATTAACATGCACCGGACATGGCCACAGCAGCCAACGGGCAGACATCTCGAGGCGAGAAAGGCCCAGTGTCACGCAAATGCAACTCGAAGGGCAATAGAAACAATGTACCATCCATCGGGAATAGGTCTTGTCATTGTACGCAATGACACACCACGGGTCGTATGTTGCGTGCGCATCTTGTTCCAAGCCACTGAGACCGTGATCGAAATACAGCTCGCAATTTCAATGCGAATGTACCTATACGTAAAGAAGAAGAGCAACAGACTCGAATGAAAATGAGTGTGACACCGTTATCGAACAACATGAACTGCCGCTCTGGGCCCCTTCTTGTAATACCCTCACGCATATGCTCGCCGCGACATAGGCCACCCCGGACCTACGCAAGCTCCCCGAGTAAAGCAGACAGCTTCGGAACGGCAGGCCGGACAAGGATCGATCGGGAGGCATAAGGGGCATGTACAGTCTCCTCTATAACCCATGCGAAAAGCAAAGCCCACTGCACCTGCAGGACTGCCTGCCACTCTTCCGCCCGAAACAAAACACCAGACCACATCATCCGATGATACAACTCCAACTGCATAATTCCGGCAAGGTTTAGAATGCGCTTTGGGAGGAGGGGAAACCGCCGACTGGATAGAGTGGGGCATAGACTTTCTCGCCCGCTGCAGGTACGCTCGCCCATCCGACTCGGGTTGGGGGGCTCGTCTCCCTTCCACTTCGTCCGCCTCTTTCCCCCCACGCCGGGCCGTCGAGAGAGCCGAAAGCTTCGATGTTGCGGTTACAATTGCTTCCTCTTTGGCTTAATTTTCTTCTTCCTTCATGGCCGCTTGCCGATGGCATGTGCATGTTTCACTCAAATTGCGGGCTGGCGGGGAGGCTGTTCGCTCTCGTAGAAAGTCCCGCAGAAGGTTTGCGAGCAGTCGCTGTGCCGCCATCATCATTATTTGATGGGAATATGAGAAGAGGTCTACAGATGGCCGGCCAACAGAATTCCACAATGTCACTTGGCTGTGTGGTGCTGTGCTGACATCGGAGTGTTCTCTTGAGCTTTGGGCTTAACTGACTACTGCTTTCTACACTGCGACAAAGCCAGACTGTGACGCTCACTGATTGATGATCTCGCAGAGATTCAACCACGGCGTGATTGAAATTTGGCAGGAGCAGAAACAACAATGTCCGCGATCGCAGAAACCGTCCACGTTCGGCACCTACGCTCGGGAGCAATTATCTCGTCATCGCAACGGCCAGATAAACTCTCGGGGTCTTACTTGGCAAACCACGTGCCTGAAGGCGCGAGACAGCCCACGGAACGAGAGGGATTTTCTCCCGGCTTCAATGGACTGGTCTAGCCCTTGACGATCACTACTCGATCACCACTTGGTCTCGAGCAGAATACCGTAAGGTTAGCGCATCGAGAAGTCTATCAGGAGCATGTTGAGAGTGGAAACCACTTGGCGGATGGCCGGCAAGCATGGGCAGCAGCAGTGTGGGAAGACATGTTCGCACATGCAGTCTCTCTGCCTCGTCCGCCCTTCCAAGAAACCCAATTACCTAGCGCTTCCCAGCGCTGGGGGCCCCGTTTCGGACCGCTCGGCCTAGCAGGGCACTTGCCTGCTGGGCTGCAGGGCGCGCAGAGAATGGATGCGGACAATGCGTCGCACCGGGTCGATCACTGCTCGATCCCTGGGCCGGCAGATCTTCGACCCTGGCGCGACCGCTGGGGTTACCTGGGGCATCATGCAGCCTCACTTTGGGTTTAGCGGGCATGCGGCAGCCCAGAACCCGCCTCCCGACGGGCTGCAGGGCTGCTTGCTCGGCCTGCTGTTCCCTTGGGCCCCACCGCAGCAGGGCAAACAGGGTGCAAGCTGTGGGTGGCTGGTGAGCAAGGTTGACCGGCGACGCAGAGGGGAGCGCTTTTTTGGCGAATTGACTCTGTCCAGGTGTCAAAGTTCTCGCCGGGAAGAGCTCCAATTGACCAGTTCATCAAGCTGCGACGAAACATGTTTGTGCAGGCGACAGGTCCTTATGGCAAGACCATCGACGCGTAGCTTGACCGCAGGCGACGCTCCTGGCCATGGCATCATGCAAGCCGAATCGTGTCGCTTGATGATTCGAGACCGCAAAGGCTCGAGGCAGCATTGCTCCCTGCCTCAAGCTCGCGCACCACCGCGTTCTGGGTTTGTCCGAATACCGGGCTCGGCCCAGAGAAAACCTTGATCGGTACCTGAGACTCAGGGTTGTATCCATCGGCTTTTGTTTGGAGCTGAGCGTCGATGAGCGCAAAGCAAAGATTGGGTTGTCCTGTTTCGCTGCGAGGGGGTGGGGCTGTCACCGTGGTGTTCCGAAGTCAATTGAACAGCGATCAGGCGATGGCACCACACTTTGAGCCCTGAATGTTACCGCGTTATATTGCTTCTACGATTGGGATGAACTTTAGGTGCCGCGTGGCGGGGCGTGGATTTCCCGCAGCAGGTGGCCTCCTTCCCAGGGACAATCTTGTCACATGCTTGTTGGCAATCGAGCGATGAGGCTGCAGCGATCTTTGTTGCGGCTGCAGCCGTTCAGTTGCTCAGCTGTGAACCAACGCAGCACAGCGATGTGAAACGCACGCCTGATGAACTGGTCCTTGTCAAGCCAGCCAGGCCCAACGCTGGCCGGTGGACGGCCAGATCCGGCGGCCGGTACCAACTTGGAGCTGTGGTACTCTGGACGAATTGGCCAATTGGTGGAGAGAATTGAGAGGCGCTGACCCGTGGCGGAACACAATGTAGCCCTTGACGCAAACACAAAGCCCAATTGAGAGTGTCCGGCGTGCTTGTGCCGTGGATGGTGGTGGGTGACGAATGTTGGACCCAAGACGTGGCTGCTCAAATCATTGGGACGGTCAGGACGGATCGTGACTGTGGAATGAGGAGCGAGGATTGCAGCAGCATGGCGCCTTGCACTGCAGCTGGCCCGGACTAAGGATCGTGGAGGATCTCGAACTGTTGGCGGCGTCGAGCGTGTTGGCTGCAGGCAGGCCGCAGCGATTTCCAAATTTGGAGGCTGAGATACTGCAGCAGCATGGCAAGCATGGGCAGTGAGATCCATCCCTCCCTTTCCGCATCCATCGCCCTGCATCGTGAGACGGCCGGCCAGCTGTGAGACCCGAGCTGCTGCGCTGCAATGCTGCACTTTGCTGCAGCGGGATGATGGCGCAGCAGCCGAGACAGAACAGAACAGGAGATGCGACAGGTCTTTGGGGGGGGGGGGTTGCCCGATCAGTCAGTCTGCCCATTCGCCCACCCTCAAGCAGGCTGCATTGATGACCTGCGATTGCCCGCCAGAGGCTGGAGGGTAGGGCCAGCGGGTGGCGAGGCGGCACCGATATTTTGCAGTCGCATCAAGCGCCCCGCATTATTGCATTGAATCGCACGCGCCCGGCCGCCCGCCCTGCCTGTGCACATTGCGACACAATTGGACATCGAAACCATGATATGTGATACTAGAGTGATGAAGTGGCTGATGCGCCGTCTGTCGGTCGGGGAGATTGGATGAAGAGAGGCATTGGATCTCAATTGCCAGGCAGTCTACAGTAGAGTCTAGACCGGATTTCCTTCTCGGGCAGTCAGACTGTGATTCAACCCACCTTCCTTCCTCAATGAGGGTCAGGCTGGCGGCAGAGAGAGGGCAGTAGCGGGTCGATCAATATGGCCGACCCCTCCTTCCAACCGCACCCGAAAGGAGGGGTGATAAGATAAGCCCAATTGGCATGGTCTGAGTACGGGCTACCTGCCTGCCTGGACAATATGCAATGAACAATCGCATTGGCATGATGTTGGCATTGGCAATTACATTGACCTTGACAATGAGTGATAGATTGACCTTGTTAAGTGGCTGGGCGGTCTGGGGGGACACGGAGGCTATCGCGGGATGGGAAACGGTGCAATTGATGTCCAGGCGCGCTTACTGCCAAATACCAAGACCTAGACCCCCAAGATCTACATTATATTGCGAGACATTGAGGGCCATGTGAAGGTGGATCCGCCCACCACTAGATAACGGCGGCCCAGGTGTCGTGACTGTCGCTTGTCTCGGACAGGACATCACGAGAATCAATTGATGCCGCCGTGGTTGCGGCAGATGACGGGATGATATCAGATCAGCGGAGATAAGATGCCATCTAGCTAGTAAGATGGTCTAAGTACTGCGACTTTGCGACTTTGCGACATAGATGACCTCGCGGCCTCTGAGGCCATCATCGCAGGTGCCCGCTAGCACGCATGCTCATTGATATCCCACACGTTTGGGGAGGGATCACCGGATGAGGCCCTAGTGTGGGAGACTGGGTCATGTGGCTGCTGGGGCACGTCGCGATGGGGGTGTGTGGCGATTTTGGCGACAGTGCCGCCCTCTTCCCAGACGGCTAGCGCTGTCGCGATTGCCATTGGCGTATTGGGTAAGTGTGTTCGTGATCTGAGGGGCCTCATGAGTCGTGAATGTGTGGGAGTGTGGGATGGTTTATTGCTTCTTCGGTTACCTGCTTGATCGGGCTCTTGGTGTGTGTGTATGTGTGTGTCACCAAGCACACTTGAGCCACAACCGAGTAGGCAGGATGAGACTTCGTCTTGCGTGGACTAACCTCGGCGTCTTCGGAACAGGCTGCGTTACTTGTGAAGCTTGTGCGTGCAATAGCGGAAGGGTGACGACGAGTGAGGCGAAGGGGGGTAGGGTGTCGCGTTACACCTCGCCAGCCTAAACTGCACATAGCATCGTGCCATTAGAGCGAAGCGAAAGCCTGGACGACTGACTGATTGACTGGCAGACTGCTCACCCGCGAATCCGCTCTGAGCAGGCTGCTTGGATCGTGGTACATGTGTGTGGCTGATGAGGCGTCCTAGGCAGAAGGTATTTACGCGTAACACTCGGAGGCTACCTTCAATCGCGAACTGGGGCCCTGGATCCTGGGGATGTAATTGGGCGCAATGATTCATCAATGGCACATTGAGTTGACTCAACAACGAGTCCATCTAGCTGCTATAGTAATACAAACCACTGGTCGGTCAGTAGATTGCACCGTTTTTGTCGCCCCCGGGAGTCCCAGGTCGCCACGGCCATTGCTCCGGCTCTCTGGCAACGGCGGTGGCGCGAATGTGCCTGGACCAATCTAGGTTGGTAGCTTGGTGGGCTGGTGCGCAGTCTGTTGTACTGGCAGCCAGGCCGGACAGAGTTCAGGCGGTCCTTGAACCCAAAGTGGTCTGCCCTGATTGTTATTATTCATGCGTCGCAATTGACGCGATGGCATTGGGTCAGCAGCCTGGCCTGTTACAAAGATGGCTGACAAAAACACCCGAACGCCCTTGCGCGGCGTAGACTACTCGTTGCATCTCGGGCGCCGTGGGCGATGGACAGATTAAAGTCCGTGTCTTGGAGAGGGCCAGGCAACTGAATTGCTGCCATGAGCCCTTCTCTCCGTGCGATATTGGGCCGACGGCATTGGCGCGAGCCCAATGGAGCCGGACTAAGGACTTAGTCGGCGATAATCTGGGAATGATGGCATTGCTGACGGCAGCACTTAGGAGCTGATGATGATGGGGAAGAACAGCAGCGAGAATGGGCAAGAGTGGGCATTAATGGATTGGGCAATGGGCAGTGGGCATTGGGCGGAGGGGGGAAGCAGGGCAGAGGCACAGGTAGAGACAGATGGAATGGGAGAGAATCCATCAGGCTGGATTGGATTTGTGATGCAGGCTGGCCATGGCTTGATAGGGACACCCCCTCCCAAGTGCCGTCTCCTGTTCTGGACCCGCTGGCATCACGTACCCGCCGACTGTGACATGTCAGACGGTACATGGTCGTGACTTTTTGTCACTGCCGTTCACAAGGCCGTGACTTTCCCTCTCTGTCCGTGTGGCCTGTCTCTTCCTTTCCCTTCCTCCCGCGTGGGCGTGCGAGGATTATGAAGGTGCATTATCAATCATTATCGATTAGACCGGGTATCGATAACGTCAACTCGACCAAACCGGCCCTGGGCTCAACCGAGTGTTGCTGCCGTTTCAATCAGGCGGGGCTCCTGCGAAACGACAGGCCCCTGTTGCTCCGTTTCCCCAAGCATGTTCCTGCTCCCGTTCCCGCCCCCTGCTTGCTCATTCTCTCTGGTCGTCGCGGCCATGCAGGTGCCATGCTATCTATGTGCATTGGGTCCTTCTCTCCCGCAACGAACCTCGTCTACCCCTTGTCTGTGCCTCGTCAATTGATTTCTCAACAACTGGCCCCCCAAGCCTGATCTTCGACTCTCCGGCCGGTATGACTCACACCCATCGTAGTCTGCTATAGCTGAGTTCCCACCACCACCCACCACCACCGCTATTATGGCAACAGCAGCAGGCGACAGTCCCCATCGAAGCAGCCACCTAATGCTCCACGTCAGCCCTAGCCATCGGCCAATTCCCTCGTCCCGACGGCTCGATGTTTCTTGTTTGCGCGAAAGTCAAGCAACCTCCAAAGGTGGCAATGCAAACCTTCCCTAGCAGACCCGGGCGGACCTGGCTGCATGGCTGAAGGGGCCTGAGGACCTGCGACACGGACACACACAGCACCAGCTCACGGGCCACAGCCATTGGGGGAACCTGTTTCGAAGCCTGCCAGGGGCACCGCATCACTGAGCGTGGGCTGCTCTACAGGGCCCGGGCGGCCTAGACCTGCTATATTGTTGTACCGTCTCCACCGTGGGACACACTCAATTGCTCCCGCATCATCGCATTTACGCCCTCGAGCCCCGAGCTCATCCTTGGGCCCCGTTCATGCCTTGGAAATTGCAGGCCACCTGGCACCAATTGGCTTTCGGGAGTCTCGCATAAACCACGCTCTTGTTGGTCAACCAGGTGAGTTCGTTGCTTGGATGCCAGAGCTGTCACTGAGGTCGCTGTGCGAGTGAGGTCATGTCTTGAGCTAAACCCCTGCGTGGCAGAGATCTCGTCTTCGCCCGCCTCCTGAAGCTCATGGAGCCTGGGCCCTTGGCCATCGAAGAGGCAGTGGGGTGAAAGATGGGTTATTCCCGCTTTACCTTGCCCTGCCCATGCCCCGACAGCACCATCAGGCTCCCAGTCTCCCAAGTCGGACCACCGATCAGATTGTACCTCTCTGCAAGCACCGGCCATCATGCCAGCCTCGAGCTGATGTCCGACCCATCCCAGGATCGAACTGGTGCGTGATGCTCCGAGGACGTGAGCCTCTCTGATATGCTACCCGGTATGGCCTACTCAGAAGTAGCAGTCCGGCCCAAGAGCCATCACAACTGGTCGTGGTACAATCACGATGCACCACACACCTTGGCCCCTTCGGATGTTGCCATGAATGCGCTTCAACCTGGCGCACTGCCTTGGACCAGCTCCAAGTAGAGCCACCCCGTCGTCCCCCTCATTCTCGTGTTTCCCATTGTGCCTGGCAAAGTACGCTGCCTGCTGGACTGCGTCCTCACCTGGATAGTCCGCGTCATCCGCTTCAGACATCTGCCTAGAATTCCGTCTGTTTCTTCTCACGCTCCGTCATGACCAATCCGCACCAATGCGACCAAACGTGTCATGGAATCGTGGCCATCAGGGCTTGGTTCGCAATCGGTCAAGTTTTGCGCATCGTGCATGTGGAGGGCTGGAAGTACCTACATTGGGCACCCTTTCCTTTACTGCCTGAGCCTCGTCGATTGGGGTGACACCCCTACTTTTCTTTGTCACCGCTGATCCACCGGAAACCCCATCAACTTACAAGGCACTCTGGGGTAGAAGTGAAAAAAAAAAATTACGCCCCAAAACTCGCCAGCCTGGCGTGACCCAAAACGATTTTTGTTGTGTTGCGCCAGTGGTGAAATTGAATGGAATGTTAGCTTCACTGCGCTATCCTCTGCAAGCGCAGTCAGTTCCCGCCATCGCAAGGGAGAGGGGCACTATTCCGCAGCCTTTGGCTCCCTACGTCCCTACCCAGGTACGTGCACCACAAGCAGGAACCGGAAAGCTACCGCGAGCTTGGGTTGTTTCACGCGCAAAGTTTCTTCACTTTTCAGGTACCTGCACCAGCCGCTGCCGTACAATTGGGTACAGGCTCCGCTGCCAGTGGCGGAAACGAGTCAACAGGCGGATGGGCTCAGGCAATTGATTGAATGTTCTGGCCGACTGGTCCCAGCAATTGGGAGGATGCCTGCGAAAAAGCCAAAAGACAGAGGCATAAATCTCATGAGTCCCTTGTGCCTTACGCCACACGCTGTCCACGTCTCCATGACAGACTGTTGGTCACCTTCGTGCTTGTTACGGTGGCACGCATGGTTGGGTACCATTGTGGACACCAGAAACTTGTTCTCGAGGTTCACATGCCTCAGCTCAATTCCACATGGGGGGGGCTGTTGCTCCAGCTATTGTTGCCTGGCCCAGCGGCCATGGACCGTGTTGGGGACTGACCAGTGGGAGCAGATGACCCTGCCTCTGGTCGACTGACACATCCTTGCGACAAGTACACCGCATGTACCGGCGACAAGCGTGGGATGACAGGGATAGCACGATGACACGACGGGGCGTCCCTCTAGCGGCCAGAGTGTGACTCTTTGCGACACCCTCCATGACGACCAACCAAGAACAACAGAAGCCGCTGCCGGTGGTTCTGAAGTGAGCCTTTCCTGCAGGCATATGGCAGAATCCGATGTACCTGTACTAGGCCGCGGCCATCGCAATGCTGAATTTAGGTCAACTCACAAGTGTTGGCTTGATTTGACGCCCCCCCCCAAATCCATCTCATTCAGGCCGTCTGCTGCTCCGCCCGGCCAACTCTCCATTTCCATCAACATTCTTCTACTTTCCTCTCTTCGAACACTTTTACTTTGCGATTGATTCTTCTTCGATTACCCATTAGTTTGTCCAGCTGACCAATTCAGTCCTTCCTGCACTAAAAACGCCCACTTTCTGCGAGACACCCAAGCCAATTCGCCACAACCGGACCTGGCGGCGTCTGCCACCACACAGCACACTACAAAACGCTGGCACACCCCCCGGTCTCAGCTTCGCCTGCCTTGGATTGTCTTTCCTTCCTTTGCCAATTCGCAGCACTCAAACCTGCACCATTCAATTCGCCCCGTACCAGTGAGTTATTGCACTGGTTCTGCTGTCGATAATCGCGAGAACGAGCTCAACTGTTTTCGCGGCCACGGAACGGAACCCACAACCTTACCCTGAAATACATCCCACCTTCGCCAAGACCCACGATCAGCGCAACCGCTTGGCTGTCTAACACCACACCCACCACCGACGACCACTTCTTGAACCCTCTCAGCCCAGTCACTCGGCTCGTATCGCGATACCACAGCCTGCGTGAAATCCGGTTTCCCTTTTCACGTGTGAAAACTCTGGTGTCGGATCCAATTTGGACTGCTGCCTGTAACACCTTGCAACCTCGTTCTTGGTTCGATCACGTCGCCAATCCTTAGCTGGCGAGCCACCTCTTCGTGCGAAATGGCAAGTCGTCACCAGTTTGACGAGGTTTCTACGCCAAACCACCAAGGTGCATCGAGGAATCCCGACGAACCCATTGCAGGCCAGGGTCCATCTGTTCCTCTGGCATCTTCCAAAATGCAACCCAAGAACCCACTGGCAATCAGCAGCATGATATCTCCTCCAGAGCAGGCGCCTCTCGACAGCTTTCGGCAGGTGTCAGAGCACTTCCAGCCTTTCAACATGCAGCCGCCGACAAAACCGAAGCAAGCCAACCCACAGCAACCTCCCTCGCCCCCGATTTCGCCATGGACCAAGGCGGACAACCACGTCAACGCCACATCGAGCGCTTCGGGTGTCAGAGACCCCATACTCTACCCTGAGGCACCCGCAAGTCCTTCTTCGCCCCTCTTCGACGAACGAAAACTCAGTCCCGCTGAAGTGCACAACGCCGTGTTTGAGCACATCGCCGCAAGGAGAGCCGCGTCCCTCCCTCACCATGTTGCGCCTCCGAAACCGCAGGACTACGAGGACTTTCTGTGTTTCACGGAGAACGTGTTTCCGCTATACCAGCGAAACCCTCGTGCCTGGCTGAGAAGAAACCGCGAGCAATTGCGTGAAGATGCTAGAGCTCGTGCCCGCCGTGGTTCTGGATATGCGAAACAGGCACACCCAATCACCGTCAAGCCTCTGATGGCGCGTCCTTCAAATACTATCATTGCGAAGACGACCGCCCCCAAGCATACGTCTCCCCAGAGAAACACCTCCAAGGTCACCAAGCCATCGGCAGGACCCAGACCAGTTCGCGCCCAGACAGTCAAAGCAGCCCGACGTATTAGTTCCACGCCTGAGCCCCGCAGCCGTCTGGTTCCTCCCAACCGCGAGGACAAGGATTTCAATTCCATCCCAGACTTCTGCCCGCCCCTCAGTTCTCTGCCCGACAAGTCAAACCTCATGAGAGTCGATTGGAAGGGCGCTCCCTTGGACCTGAGCAAGGACCCGCACAAGCATCTCCTTCATCCAGATGAGCTTCAGCTGGCGGCCGGCCTAAGGTTGGATTGTGCAACCTACCTCACCAGCAAGCGCCGCATCTTCGAGGCCCGTCTGGACTACTACCACAAGGGCAAGGAGTTTCGCAAGACCCATGCCCAGCAGGCCTGCAAGATTGACGTCAACAAGGCCTCCAAATTGCACACAGCATACGAGAGAGCTGGCTGGCTTGACAAGAGGTGGATGCAGGACCTGCCTGTTCCTACTCCCCGCTAAACGACTTCACTACCACGAGTTGCAATGTACAACCGGGCGTGTGACTTCCTTGCCTTCGCGCCTACGGTTGCTGGCCTGGCTCCTCTCATCCTGCTCTGGTGGGATCTCTCCCACTTTCCTTGGCCCGAGGCATAGACCTTGGCGACAATTTCCTTTGTTGGTTCGCTCATCTGCAATATCATTTGGTAGAGGACCGTGAGTCCGGCGCTTGCAGTTTTGTCTGGGTTTTTTTTGGCGACACAACTTTGTCAGCATGCAATGCGGTCCTGCTCTGTTGAGGCCCCCATACACGCGATATACACAACACGGCACACGAGACAACTACACAAGATACCCGGAGTACGAGACCATAACACGCCGACGTCACAACACATCACAAACAACGCAGCAAGATCACAACATCTTGATCGAGTTTCAACTCACTACCCCTCTCCACGTTTTCTCGGATCTCCACTTTGCATATTTTCACGGTCACGGGCAATTCCCCTGTTGGTTACGGTCATGGTTTACGCAAGGTGTTCTGCTTTTTGGTTTACGGTTGATCCTGGGTCCCAACGCCTGCGCGGACCGCTCAGGACGTGCCCGCTCGCTTCATCAGATTGGACTTTGCATATGACGGCGGCGTTCTCCGACTGCTTTGGTAACCCACTTCAGCTGTCTCTATGGTTTTCCTTTTTCTTTTCAGCTGTGGTTCACGGCAGGGAGTCCTTACAGAGAGTGTTTACACAGAGAAATTGATGGAACTGTATGGACACCCACCATCAAGAATACTGTCATCGTCATGTTATACCCCCCATATACCCCCTTGAGTTTGATTACAACTTCACTTCAAGCCACGGAGGATCAGACGAACGTCGATCCTAGGCCTTCAATTTTTTTTGAACACTTCTTTTTCCCTTTGTCCAGCAACCAGTCGACTTTGCTCATAGACGGATGTCGTTTGGTGATGACGATCGCGGCGGTATCATGCTTCTCATGAAGAGAGCACGATAATCCCATCTCTGCAGCGAGCTGAGCTGAGCTGAGCTGGCAATATGCGTGATGGGATTGGTACACACACAAGGGTTTTTCGGACTTGGCCTTCCGCTACGAAGGAGAGCGCAAGATTGACAATGGATCTGGCGGAATCCTGCTGGCAAGCGATAGTGTGCAAGGACCTAGCTATACAGCGCCTCAGTTCATAGCTACTTCTAGAAGCGGAAACCGAGAAATGGAGAGTTCGAAAACCCAACGCTTGTTACTTTGTGGTGGAATGTGCGTGGCCGTGACTTGGATGAACAAACTTGAAATTTGCATGCGTACGCGGGTGGTTCTGCCCCAGTGATGCTTGTGATACCAGGAATCCAGGCGTCCGGTCGTCAGAATCAGCCCTATGACCTGTCAAAACAGGTCCCTTGCGGATTCTGGAAGGCAGATAGATGATCGGCCCCCCTTCCCCGCGTGTCCCCAGGAACCCGCAGCGGGATGTAATCTCGCTAGTCCTTTCACCTGTAGTTTAAATTTTTCAGGTGCTATTATTACTACCACCCATCTATTTCCCGTTCTAGCCCCCGCCGCCGGCCCCCCCGGTTGGTTTCCTCCCCGACGCACACCTAGCCTCATCTGGGTTTCGTCTTGCTTCTCCCCCTGGAGCAAAACCACTACCACCAACCACCCGGCATGTCTTTAGTAGTGCGAGGGTGGAGGGTGCGCTGGGGCCCCGGGGAAGGCGGAGATTATGGGCCGCGCGGAACGAACCCTCCCTCGCCGGCCTGTTTCTTTTCCTTTCCGGTGTGGGAATTTATTTTCTTCTATCCTGGGACTTTGAGTCCTTTTGCATTTGACCAGGGGTACCTTCTACGCGTGTATCAGTCTCGTCCCCGGATTCAGCTGGTATGCTTTTGGATGATCTTGCAGACATGCAGCTCACTGTGATTGAAACCATGCATGTTGCGCATCTTCGTCATGGGGAGAGCGGGAGAGTTCCGGATGTTGGCTCTCTTTGTGCGGGCCCCCCCAGCCCCCCAAATCCCGGTGGCGTGAGGGAGCCAGTTTCGTCACCGCGTATGTACGGCTGTGTGCGCACACGAAAACCTACCTTTCCGTGTCCATCGAGGCAAAACTTTTTGCGTGAATCAAACAAATCTTAGTCGGCTTCCGGCCTTCAGTTTCATGCCATTTTGGATGATCCCGGAAGCTCGCGCGGGAGCACTGCCGCACCGCCCACCGGTGGCGGCACCCGCGCCGCGCGGCAAGCAGCCCACTCTCATCGGGGGCGGAGCTGCCGTCCCTGAATGGCGACTTTTCCCCGGCCCCACTTGGGGATGGTCCAACTCGCGTGCTGCGCCTGGTCATAAGCCCGCCACGCGAAGCCAGCCAATGGGTTGGGGCTGGGTCGTCGACGCGTTTCCTGGGGATGTTGAACTATGACGAGGAGGAAGAGGGCGAAAGACTTGGACAGGATCCTGGCAGCAAATACTCGCGTGTGTCATTCTGGGGCCGTTCTAGATCGCGTCTTGGTTGCGGGCGCGCGGACGGTCTGGGCTTGTTGGGTTTGCTGGGCTGACGAGTTTTTGGCAGGAACGCTTTGGCTTGAATCAAGATTTTGCTGGAGGGGTGGATTGCTTTTTGTGGTGTGCTATGTGGTGCGTCGTCGTCACCCAGCCGGCACGATTACCCGTCTTTACGTGGGTGGCACAGAGTTGCGAGATTCTCGTGGCAGTGCCGACTTTTTGAAGGGGATTCCGTGCTGTCTCCGGAGGTCATCCCATGCTGTCGAAAGCCGAGTAATGTCTCCTCGCCATCACGCTACCCCAGGTTAGTCCTCCTGTGCCAAGCATGATCCCTTCGAGGGTCCTGGGGCCCCGACCGGCCAAACCGATTTCACCTGGCCAGGTCCCAGACATAACCACAGGCATTGTGTAGGCGGTTGGCAGCGTAATAAGGGTCTCAAACTCTAATTCGTACCGGACGGTAGGTGCCGAGCAGGCGGGCTCCTGGGCGGACGGCCTCAACTAGCCGGCCAAGCCTCACTGGCACGGGGCAAGGCTCGGCGCCCTGGGCCATTCGCCGCCATGACGGATGCCGGGCCCGCGTGACGTAGGGGTAGCCTCCGAACTCTGGTGCGCGGCTGAGGCTTGGGTAAGGCTATGGGAGTTCTGTCTGCGTTCGAGGTGTATATAAAGAGTCGTGATTTCCTCATACTTTAGAGAAAGTGGAAGAAAACCATTGCTCTCTGACATCCAGCCTCTCGTTCAAGAAACTTGAGACACAAAACGATATCATAACACACTGTCACTTCAATATCACGAAATTCGAAATTCGACATCATCTATCACTGTGATCAACAAGTCACACCGAACGAGTGCTATAAAAGAGGTTGGTCCGCCCAGTAATTAATTTACCGTCTAGTACCATCCGCTAACAACCGACTAGCCAGGTCTTCACACAAAGTACAATACGAGAGCAAACTCATCAAGACATCTCAACCACTCGCACAAGCCAGAATGTGTTTCGGACTTGGACGATCCTCCCGCCGCCGCCCGGCCTACTACGGCCCACGCCCAGTATTTGTCGAGAAGAGGCACTACTATGGAGGACGTGGGGGACACTGCGGGCCACCACGGGGGTATGGCCACGGGCGGCCCATGGCGGGCGGTGGTGGATTTGGCATGGGACGGAGGAGGTGCTAGTGTGTTGGCGCGTTGACTATAACATGTTCGAAGAGCGATAAATTTGCATTGCGCACTTATTCCGGATTCTTTTTCCTGGCCTTCTGAATTCCTCTGTTTCACTTGTGTTAATGACATACCATACCGCACCTGTTGAATTGATACAATTGAGCATGGGAGAGTTGACGGTCCTTCCGCATTTTTCTCTCTTCTCTACAGACGTACAATATTGACGTGCCCACCCCCTTTATCAAACTTAACAACCACCCGATGTGATTATTGCCTGGGATCGTGACTTTGGATACAAGTGTATAGAACAGTCGCATTCAACACATTGGCCGTGTATGACTTGACATAGGATTGCCTACCACATCACGTGGGACGTCGCTTGTGTAGATCATTTGAAGAGCCTGGAAACCCAGTTCACATTCTATTCAGCTAAGTAACATGGGCGCAGGCCCCTCGAGAGGTTGCTACTAGTAGCACTGCGCCGGATCGCACGTCCAGGCAAGTTCTCATGCTTGAAGGGAGACGGACTGCGACCCGACGCTGGATCCGACACTCGTGTGGGATGGAAAAAAGCCCCTAGTAGCGAGCCACCTTACCGTCGCTAGCATGACCCAAAATCCTTCGGCGATTGAACCTCAGTCGATAGCTCCATTTTGGCGTACGCCGAGGACACACTGGGCAAGGGCAACTTTGGCGTATAAAGCACCAAGTCTCGTTCTATACCTAACAGCAAAAATTTACTCACACTGCAACTTCTAACACAATTCATCTAAAGCACAAAACACCATTCTCAATTCTCTCTACAAAAGCGCAAGGAAATCCACCCCACAAGACAACACCAACATGAATCTCCTGTCGGCTCTGGCCTGCCTTCTCGCCAGCTCGGCATGCGCCGCAGCCTCGCCCCCCGCGGGCGTCAACGACAAGGATTGTCGTGCGGTCCACAACGTCACCAAGAGCGACGTCGACAGGTTCCTGGGCTTCCAATTTGACCTGCCTACCCTGTGTGGGGTCACAGACCTGCCCGAGGAGGCGATCGTCGACCTGCAGCTCTGTCACAAGCGCGGGCCCGCCGGCGGCGGCACCCGCGGGCCGGCCTTCGAGTTCAGCTCAGAAAGCTCGGCCGCGATGCGGAGGATGAGCTACGGAGGAGGTGGCCCATCCGCGCACGGCCGAGGGACACGCCAGACGAAAACGTCGACCCGGCCCGGCCTGAAAGTGAGCTGTAGTCCTTACTGAGCACACCTCTCCCAGAGCGCTCGAATCGCCCGGAGACTTCGATGGCACTGATTACGAGTTCGAAAACTGGATGCTGGTTGACGCAGATGGCCTTTGTGGAGTTGGCTTTTGGGTCTTCAAGTCGTGATGTTTTCTCGGGGGTGGTTGAGCTGATTGGGATGAACGGGGAGGCCGAATTGGTTCTTATTTTGCCAGCGTGTTCCCAGAGTACATGGAAGAACGGAGGCAGAGTCTCAAGCCGTCAGGTTGAGCCTTGTTAGAAGGGTATAGGAAAGGAAAGGCCATTCGCTGGGGCTCGGATAAGTTGACTCGAGTAGTGTGGTATTCCACCGCAAAATGAGAATTTGAAATTAACTAAGTAGGCAACCACCTAGTTGCCTCAACGATTCTAGACTATGAAGGTTGTGGTGATGTTCATCCACGAGCTCAGTAATGGTCCGCTTTTGTGCCCAGTGACCAGGTCATACCTTGCCTCCAAAATCCCATCCGACTCTCCTCTCACAGTCCCGCGGCAATCGTGTAACCACCATCGACAGCAAAGTTCTGGCCGTTCAGGTACTGGTTCGTCACGGCGAACAGCACCGCCTGCGCCATGTCGACGTCGCGACCAGGCCGGTTGGCGGGGAACTTGCCGTCGTACTTCTCCTTGGGGATGTGGCTCTTCTGGTACTCGTCGGACTCGCCGGCCGTCATCTCGGAGGGGAACACGCCCGGGGCGAGGCTGTTGATGCGGACCTTGTGGCCGTTGGAAGTTACCTCGGAGGCGAGCATGCGCGTGAGGTGGATGGCGGCGCCCTTGGAGGCATTGTAGGAGAAGTGATGCTGCGCTTTTTGGATCATGCCCGAGATGGAAGTGATATTCAGGATGGTGCCTGACCAGCCCTCGTGGAGGTCTGAGGACTTTTCCAAAAGGGGAAGGAAGGCAGCTATGGTTCGGGGTCAGTGATTGTGAACTGGAGGAGTGATGGGAGGTCGCTTACCAGATGTGAAGTAGACGGCAGCGACATTCGTGCTATAGACACCGGTCCAGTCCTGGAAGTCGACGCCTTCGGCGTCAAACAGGTTCTTCTTCAGCTGCGTCGTGTCATCGGTCTCCGTGGTGACGGTATTGCTGCTGATGCCGGCGTTGTTGACCAGGATACACAGGCACTTCTCGCGGGACTCAACCTCCTTCACCAGCTTGGTGATGTGGTCCTTGCTCGTGACGTCGAAACCACTCAGTGGTATGATGTCGCCCTCGATGCCCTTGCCGTACGTCTCCTTGACCTTGTTGAGCTTCTCTCCACTACGACCTGTGATGTAGACCTGTGCAATGTCAGTCTCCGACCGAGTTGCCGTTTGAGGCGTCTTGCGTCAGTCACTGACCTTTGCGCCGTTGACTGCCAGGGCCTGCGTGATCATTAGACCGATACCGCTGCCACCTCCAGTGACGAGGGCGACGCGACCCTTCAGGTTGAACAGGCTGTTGCGGTTGAAGTCGCCATGGCTGGCAGCTGCGACGCTTTGGGTTGCCATTCCGGATGTTTGTGTCGTGGGTATCAAGGGAATGGTGCGATGAAGACGGAAGTTGTTGCTGTGCAGGTTGTTTGATGGAGTGTGAGATTGTGTTCTTGGGAATGGCGTAGCAGAGGTCAAGAAGCGCGATGGTGCCTGAGACAGTACAGTAATAAACGGTCTAGCCCTGCGGAGGGGCAGGCGTGCAGTCGATGAGGTAGTTGAGGGAATCATGACGTTGAGCATGCACCAGAACAAACACAGAAGGAGAACTCGATTTTCTACATACGTGCTACTGTAACTCGAAATACAAATGCAGGGACCAATGCCATTCAAAAGAAATATGAAAAGCTACCTTGTGCAGGTGCATTGTACGTCGCCCAAAATGGCGGATGAACGGTGATGACGAAGGGTCGTCAAAAGGTGAAGTGCCAATGACGAAATCAAACAGCACTCGGCCGAGACCCACAGGAGGAAAAGCTCCGGTTGCTCAAGATCAGCCACGCCGCTCATCACTGAGACCGTAAACCCAAAAGTGATCTGAGAGTCCTCAGATTCCTGTTCTTTTTGTACTTGCTTCAATGGACATCAAAATTCTCATGTTCAAAGGTTCAGCCAGATGATCGATCGTCAATGCAGTTTCTGTGATAGGCGTGCTAATAGCCGTGGAGGTTCACGCAATTGCTTCACCCTGTCACCAGAGAAAAGGATTTCAAGCTGATTGATCGATCTAAAAATAAACGCACCGTGGTACTCTCTCTGAAACGGCCGTCAGTTGAGATGTTTTTGCAATGCCTGATTCACACATTCTTCGGGATCGCACGTCTATGATTGTTGTGTAACATGAAATTGTACCATCATGGCCTTGGGAATATTACACTAGACGTGCCTATGAGGCGAAGAAAAATTGTTGACCACTGCTACAGCTGCAATTTGTTACTGTATTGAGACTGATCATCAATGGGCAATGGCTGACACGAACTTCTGAAAACAAGGTGGTTAGGGCAAGGTCTTCGTTCGGATCACTTCTAAGCTGTTTACATGTATCAAGATTACAACAGCAGTCACTTGATGATCACAATACTGAATCACGCCTATGCTGTGTGAGAAGGGAGGACAGTATCTAGGTAGAACTTGAAGTGCGAGGGAGGGCTTGGATGCGACTACAAAGGCGAACAGTCGAGCTCTCGAGTTGAGGCACGAACCTGCGCTGGAAGAAGGCGATGTACAAATTATTAGCCTGCACTGATTAAACGTCTTAAGAGCATGTGACGTCTGTTTGCAACACCCAGGCTTCGCATGTGCGTGCAAAAGAACATCGCATGCTTGCGGTCCTTCCCCTGCCTTTGCGTCTCAAAACCCAGCTTTCGATACCACGAAGTCCGCCGCTGTGCCTGCGTCTTGCGCGTAGGTCAGATGCTGGAGGAGTATCAAGTCGCCAAATTGGCAGATGTCATCCCCATTGTGGCAGACTACAAGAACCTTGTCCGGGTCTGCGTTCTCCACGCCTTGACTGCTGTCTGTTTGGAAGTCAGCGGAACTGTGGGTGGGCTCGGCACATTTCAGAACGGCAGTTGGACAAACCTGGATCCCCAAAGATCACAACTGAGCTGACCGCTTTCATTGTATCTGCTGGCAATAGCTTGGCTGCGTTGTGTACGAGCTGCCCACCTTGGGAGTACCCGCTCACCACGATCTTGGAGTTGGGACATGAGCTCAACGCCTTTGTCACAAGCGAGGCCCTATTCACATTAGCTCATCTGGCCCGAGATATGCTTCTCGACTGTACCCGGATGGCAACTTACATCTCTTGACTCCCCTCCGGGTCGCCGCCTTCCAGGTAGTCAGCAACGGTCGCTTCATACTCGACTCCCTGCACCGCCAGCGTGTGCGAGCTGCCCAACGCCTCCTCCAGGGCCTTGAAGAAGGGCGGCCCAACTAGCGCACCGACATTCCCCGGTTCGTCAGTCCCTCTAGCAAAGATCACAAGCACATCACCGCACTTCCCCTCATCGAGGTCTTGCCGCGTCGTCTTGAAACCTTGAGCCAGAGCAAGCGCTTCCTCCGCCGCCACGCTCAGTTTCTGAGCAGCTTCGAGGGTGACATCGAAGGGGAACAACTTGGAAACGAGAGCGAGGATGCTGTTGACGTCGAAGCGGGACTGGAGATCGAAAGGGACTGTGAGTGCTTGCGCGCTCAGAGCGAGAGCGGGAAGCAGGCCGGTGGCGAACTTCATTATGGCGGCGTTGGCAGCGGACCGGCTCCGGCGAGCGTGTCTAACTCTGACACGGAGTCTCGGAGTGCATGACGGAGGCGCGCAGACCTGAAGGACGGAGTGCCATTGTATTTGTATGCTAACCACACCTCATCACACAGGTGAAATTCGCTCTAGTCGGGTCTCCTCTCAGAGACCACGGCCAATTTCAGCGTTGGGCCATTCCCTCCCCTATCGTGCGGGCTGAGCGCAGGAATAGGCCTCCTGAGCGATGCTGTATGGAAAGATCCGTCCAATAATCCCACGAGGGGGCCGCCAATCAGCTTCTTGAAGGGGCAGAAGCTCTTGAATCCCTGGGTCTCCACAAGGGCCTCGACAGGCGCCGCCCGTTGCCAAAGGACGCGGGCCACAGACAAGCTCCACTAAGAATAAACTGACAGGCGGTGCCTACCGCCTGTGATTGGGCGCAGGAGGCCTGCAGTAACTTCCCGTGCCTTCCTGGGGGCTATTTGGCTGCGCTGGGTCCTGACAGGTCATTTGCGGAGGAGAGATCTGCGTTAAATCTAGCATCCCTGTACCGCCCGTTGAAATACTAGGATCAAGGATCACAGCGACCCGGCCAGACCTCGCCATTCGGCACTTGAACGTTGCATACGCAGTGGCACCTTGACTGCAGGACCCGCGCAATACCACCCATCTCATTGCTAGGATCAATGACCTACACTAGGACGGGCTTCACGCATGCTCGTTGCTGATCAGCTCCGAGTCTACCGATGAGCTATTAGGGGTTACGATGGGGGCTGCAAGTGTAGACGGTGATATGTGACTGGCTACTTGACAGGCAGGTGGTCTAAATGGAGGACACTTTGAAAAGCATCCACAGAAGCGCCAGCGTCCAAGGCTTCTTTGGAGATGTGCCTCGGAAATTAGATCTGACAATACCGCACTGTTTCTGGGGACGATAGAGATTAAGTTCCCACTTAGACTCACTACGAGGTCCACCTCGTGGATCACAAAATTACGCGGACCAAGGCCTAGGAAATCAAAGCGCTAGACTATTCCGAGATGATAATCTACTTTCACAGCGGGTTGCAACAAATCAATTTTTTGCTCTAATCGATCTTGATCACAGAGTCATGTCTGTCGACGAATGGCCAATAAGGGTTCATTGCATGTGCGCACAAGGGTAAAGACGGAACAGCTGTTGCTAACACGAGGAGGATTGAGACGGCATCCCACACATGCCGCTGTACTATCAAGACCCCCCAAAAGATCGAAATACTCGAGAACACCCCGGACAATAGATCGCAGCCCTATAAAGCTGTGCACCTAGGCTTTCCGCTTGAAGATGTCTGGCTTGGAGTACAGCTGGTAGTTTTCCAGCACGAACTCTCCGTCCTTGAGCTCGCTGCTCCCTGGGTCTCCGGCCCACGCGAATGTTAGCCCATCGTCGACGGTGCTCCCATCCTTTTCAACATGGATCGAACACGCTGCTGGTTTGTATCGGTGTGTCTCGTACCGCTGGAGCAAACCCAACTGCCGGTCATTCTCGGCTTGCCAATACACGCCCTGGACTGTGTCCCCGGCGTCCCCAGGTACTAGAGTCGGGTAGCACCCCACATCTTCAGTTTGAAACCGTGGATCGAAGCCTTGTGCAGCTCCGGATCAGCCGAGCTTAGTGAGATGACGCGGAGGACATCGGGATCCATGAGGGACCCGTAGAAGAATAGGTTCTTAGGCTTCGATTCCGGATCGGGCTGCCGGTACAGACGCATTGTGGTGTTCATGTGACCAGGGTTGGATTGCGGCACCCCCGTCGTGATCTCGTTCAAAGATTCCACTTCTTCCTTGAAAGCTTCCACTTTCGCCTCAAAGTTTTCCACTTCTTCCTTGAAAGCTTCCATTTCTTCTAGTGTTGGGTACTTCAGCGGGGGAGGTGCCCTATCTGGCTGGTCACGCGGATTATGATCCATTCCTTTGGGCTTTCGGGTTTTCTTCTTCTTCTTCTTCTTCTTCTTCTTTGATGAGTCTTGAGTGAAAGCAACGACGTTCGTGGAGAGCTTGAAGTTCCCTCTAGTGGCAGCTAAGTTCCGAGTCGGGTTGCCTGGTTGTCAATGCACATAGCAATGCACGGCAATGTGCTTTTTGATTCTTTCCAGGAGCAAGGGCTGGGGAGATCTTGTCAACCTGTAGTGGCCCATTTCTTTGCTTCGATGGATGGCATTGGAGATGGACGTTGGCGTACTCTAAATAGTATCCACTTCTCCACGGGTCCATCCGAACTGTTTGCGAATGCCTTTTCATGGCGTTCCAGATGCAAATCAGTCCAGAACCGCGGTTGCCACCAGAGTGGCTATGTTTATCAACGCCAGAAACTTATTGAGGCCGCTCGTCCGACGTGGTCGTTTGATCGAAGCACGGAAGAGGGAAGATCCAGACCAATGGCGCTTTCCAAAGGTTGATAAGGGTGCTCTTGGCTCATGAAACCTGGGAATCCCTGGGTCGCCACATGTGCACAGCAGACTTGGCTCCCCATGGACAATGTGACACCCTGCGGTCTTGGAATATGCACAAAGGCTTTGGGTACCGCCTGATCGCCTCTCAATTAATGTCTAGTTCGATGCCGTCCCGTGGGTGCCCTGGGTTCCACCAGCGCCAAGAAAGGCGTTGCCCAGAAGCGAAGGGCAAGACAGGAAGGAGGAGAGTCCATTGCGTCGGGTCGCAGCTAGTCATAGTGGGGGTGTTTCAAGAACCCCTCTCCAGATCCAATCTGTTATCGTTGTGGAGAATGTCTGTTGGCCGTACAATCAATGCACGGCGGCGTTGGATTGTGAGCAGTTACAATTCCTATCGCTCTGCGGCGCGACGGACGCCGTGAAGATTGAGATGATAACGCATTCAAAGGGTTGTAGCCGGAAAAAGATGGGCACCCCCACTGTTCGTTCGGAAATATTGCTGTTGGGCAAGGGATATGCATCACGCGTAAGCGTTGTTCCGGCTGAATGTGTGCATGCTCCGCATACTTGATTGGTGATAGGTCGCGACAAGACGTGCCGCAAGGATTCTGTGCAACAAATGCAGACCTCCAGATGCATCGCCTCTTTTCTGCTGAATGGCCTTGGCTGCGGCTTGGGCTTCGGTCCTTTTGAGCACCTATTTTCTTGACGGCCCGACGCAAGCCGTGTAATGGCAATTCTCGAAATTTGAGACAATCGGTACGGCTTGAAATCAAGGACGTCGAATGGTGAACTAGAAGCAGGAAACTTTGAAGTGCGTAATTGCTGACGGTCGCGGTGTCGAACCATCGATGCCCTGGCCATTGCTCCACATAACCAACACCCTGGAGATGATGAGGGCGGACATATATCTGCATACGTAATCGAGCCAGACTGGATAAAGAGCGTGATCAATGTTTCCCCTACATAAGCGACAACGGGCAGAGGTGCCATCATCTGTGTTGGATGCTGTGCGAGACATGTGTGCGAGAATACGACCACTTACGTTGGAGCTGACTTGAAGGCTGGAAGAATCTGGTTTTTTGCTTCAGAGACCTATTGAATAGAGGACCCTCTAAGAGCTCAGCACTGAATCGTCATGAGTATTGGATATTTATCACTTTACTGGGAGTAGCTGCAAATAGTTCGAAGAAGAACTCTCCCGGGCGCCTGGAAACAGAATTTGAATTCCAAGGTAAACGTGCTCATTGTTTTTATAGACGTGGCAATCTAAGCCACACTGTCTCGTCGTTGGTGTGATGCAGGACTATCCTAAAATGTCATCTGCGCACTCACTCGGCACCCAGGTAAGCTTGCACGTGCTTACTCCTAATAACTTCTTTGCTCGGCGAAAAGGCAAAGACGGAATTATGTAAGATGAACCTCAGACAAAGTCGGTACGATACTGAGCACGGGCATAGCAGGTACGAAAGAAGACTTAAAGGGTCATTATCACATTGTACGTGCCAGTGAGTATCGTCCTAAGAATGCATGGGTGCCTAACGATGCGTAGCGGCGCTGATCAATTACCTATTCTGATGTTGATTCCACATTTTAACAAATACAGTGGAAGCGGATTACTGTAGCATCACATGAGTGTATAATGCTGACAGCCTATAGCAGTTAAGTTCCCCAGTTGCCCTTCCCCTCACAACAAAGTAGACTCTTGCAAGCAGCTAAACTCTGTTCTATCCCCTTCAATAACCACTCGAAGTTCATCTGAAATAAGGATCCAGTCAGAATGTCAGACACTCAGACCGAAGCTAAAGCTCATCTGAAAGAGCATGGCTGGGCACGAATCCCTTCGGTCCTCAGCAAAGAGGAGGCGGCAGATGCTCTAGACCGGCTTTGGAAAGCCAAGGCCGCCGTGGAAGCAGAGGGCGAGGAGACGTATCTCGAGTTCCTGGACCCGAACCCGAGCAACGTCCGCGTCTTCTACCTGATGGCCGTCGACAAGATCTTCCGCGACCTCATCTCTCACCCCACGGCTATCGAGATGGTGAAGTCGCTCCTTGGCGACGGGTTCATCATCTCCAACTTCACCGCCAACATCGCCCGTCCGGGCTCAAAAAGTATGGCTCTGCACTCGGACCAGAGCATTGTGTTCCCGGATCCGTGGCACGACATATGGGCTTTGAATGTCATCTGGTGCCTGACTGATGTCACCAAGGAGAATGGAGCGACGCTTTACATCCCTGGATCAAACAAGGTGAGACCTCTCGATACAGCCTAGCTGGTGGCTATATTTGTGCAGGTCTGAGAATGGACACGAGTTATCTAACCTACGGTAGTGGGTGACGCGTAAAGAAGTACCTGAAAACGCGCCAGAGCTCCTGGTTCCATTCGAGGGCAAGGCCGGGGACATAATCATGATGGACGGGCGCGTATGGCACACGAGTGGCTCCAACACCACCAAAGACCAAGACCGGGCCTTATTATTTGGGTACTACACCAAGGGGTTCATGCGGCAACAAGTGAACTGGACGGCGAAATTGTCCAAGGACATCCAAGATACGCTCACTCCAGAGCAGAAGCAGTGGCTTGGCCTAGGTGTCGTCGGCAACATTGGGGTCACGGGTGATTTCAGGTACATGTCTGTGCAGTATCCGCAAGCAGAACCAACACAGTAAACATTCTTAAAACTATGGGCCTTGGATTCGACGAGACCGTTGCCACATTCTTTGGCCGCCCCGTCCGCCCCGGTGTTACGAAAGGCTCATACTACCAGATCGACTAGTTGAGCACCACTGGCTTTGGGCCACACCCCCAGAAGCTGTCATTTCATGCCAGTACCATAAACCGTATGCAGATTCATGATTGAGGTTGACGGTTCCATTTTTGTTTTTGCTTGATCACTGCTTCCCTCCTGCCCTTCTCTAATATGGTTGATGGGTTCATGGAGTTGGAAGGCGATGATGGCCGTCGGATGTTGGAAGAACATCGTCACTCAATCCAGGTCTTGGTATCCAGTAGCCATGTTGAGTCAGTAATTATGCGTAGCTGCTGGTCGACAGAATACATACGCGGCCTGCTTCTAGCGATGAATTCCATGTATTTGCTCTTTCAGTATCCGACTGGCTGTAAGCCTCGTGTAAATTTTCTTCATTTTGTGGTTCAACCTCCTGGAATGATTGTCAATTTGTTCCTCCTTGACGTCCACTCTGAAACTATTCATTGGCTCGAATGAGCGTGCACACATCGTCAGATATCTTAAGCATGATCACGCCACTGGTGAGAGCTGCGGTGAAAACAAATATGGGCATGTCTTTCCACAAATCACTGAAAACGCATTCGCCCCATCCAAGCTGTGGCGCCGCCCACTTCGGTTGCTACGGGCGGTGCAACCGTGGTGCACGGCAGTGGAGGCCGTGTCGCACTTACGGGTAGTAATAGGTCAGACAGGCGGGCCGACGGACCCGGTAAATTCAGTGTTTTAGATTTGCCCAGAACTTCGCTTACGGAGACTGGTCCTTTTTCGGTCGCTTGCGCAGCGAACTCCTCCGAAACAACGATATTTGTCCTTGAACAACACGCAAATAATGCACCATGTGACTTCGGGGAGCTCTATGAATTGGCCGTGCGTGGTTTCCTGCCAAGTGAGTCTCGATTGCGTTCAGGTGAGTACGCCTTGCATCAACGCTGGCACAGCTCACGATCTGTGCTACAACTATGGAAAATACCGCGACAAAATCCAACGAGGCGACCTAGGGAGCTGAAGGATACTTTCATGTGGACCAATCCTGAACTTGAAATGTGAATGGCGTCGGCATTCGGGCTATGGGGAAAGAGAGCATCTAGACTAGAAAAGAGGGAAAGAATTACTCCAGGCACCTCTGCAAAGCTCGCGTTGTAGCAGTGCACTTCCTCTTTAAGCCCTGCGGAGAATGGACAGCCGAAGCTAAGCACGGGTCTCTCCGAATCCTACACACTTCGAGTGGAGCCATTCGTATAATAAGTATCATAAAGCTGAATATGAAGGAGATCTTCAATTCTTTTTTTTCGGTAGCGGGATTCTAGTCTGACAAGCCCCTTTGCTCCTCAAAGACGAATTAAGGATGTTGCTGACCGTATCAACAGTGGTTGCAGCTTTAGCTAGCTTGGCTATCGCGCAAACCACGACCTATCAAGCCGAAAACGCGACTTTGACAGGCGTTCAGGTTGCTACTGAGGTGACTGGATATACCGGTAAGTAAAATGTATCATTTAAGTGTGATACATGGCTTCTAATCTGTATTTTCCTCAGGCACGGGATACGTTGGTGGCTTTGATACCGAGGGTGATGAGATCAAGTTCAACGTCACCAGCGCCACTCAGGCTCTTTATGACCTGAAAATCATTTACAATGGTCCCTATGGAGACAAGTATACCACTGTCGTGCTGAATGGCGCTGGAGGTGGCCAGGTTGCTTTGCCGGCTACGACCTCTTGGGTCACCGTGCCTGCTGGACAAGTCCTCCTCAATGCCGGATCGAACACGATTCAAATTCAGAACAACTGGGGCTGGTAAGGAATTATTGTCCTGCGGTGAGGAGCGACTGAGACCAGACCATGCTAAATGATACAGGTATCTCATCGACGCCATCACTTTGTCGCCCGCCGCGGCACGAGGCCCACACCAAATCACCACAACTCCAGTGAACCCAAATGCCGACGCCAACGCGAAAGCACTTTTGAAATACCTCGGCAGCATTTACGGGAAGAATATCCTCTCCGGACAGCAAGACCAAGCCTCCCTGGACTGGGTCACCACCAACGTTGGCAAGACTCCCGCGATCCTAGGCGTCGATTTCATGGACTACACAGAGTCCCGCATCTCCCGCGGAGCCTCGAGCACAGACGTCGACAAGGCCATCGCCTTCGCTGCCAAGGGCGGCATCATCAACTTCGTATGGCACTGGGGCGCCCCGGTCGGACTGTACGACACCGCTGAGCAGCCATGGTACTCCGGTTTCTACACCGCGGCGACAGACTTCAACCTCACTACCGCGCTGAAGGACACCACAAATGCCAACTACACCCTCCTGGTCAAGGACATCGACTCCATCGCGGTGCAGCTAAAGAAGCTCGAGGCGGCTGGTGTCCCGGTTCTGTTCAGGCCGTTGCATGAGGCTGAAGGCAAGTGGTTCTGGTGGGGCGCTCAGGGCCCCGAGCCGGCTAAGAAGTTGTGGAATATCGTCTACGACCGAATCACGAACTACCACAAGATCAACAACTTGCTGTGGGTTTGGAATTCGGTTGCGGCGGACTGGTACCCGGGCAGTGCTACCGTTGATGTCGTGAGCGCGGACACCTACACTCAGGGTGACCACGGCGTAAGTTTCATTCTCAAAAGCCCTTGTTCACTGCTCTGTGTGATTTCTGACATGATCTACTTCAGCCCATTTCAGCGACTTACAACGCGCTGCTCGACCTAGTGAACGACACCAAGATCATCGCCGCAGCCGAGATCGGCTCGGTCATGGACCCAGCGCAGTTGAAGCTATACCAAGCAGACTGGGTCTACTTCGTCGTTTGGAGCGGTGACTACATCTCTGGTGGAACCTGGAACACACTAGACTTCCTCAAGTCTGTCTACTCCTCAGACTATGTTCTCACGCTTGACGAGATCCAAGGCTGGAAGAACGGTGGGGGTGCTGTGACGAGCACGAGCAGGACCACTGCCACGACAAGCACGCGTTCCACCACAGCACAAACCTCTCCGACCGTACGGACGAGCACTACCACGCTTCCGACAACATCGACTACACTGAGGACGACCACCTCGACCAAAGTCTCGTCGGCTACTCCCACGGCCACTGGGGTCGCCCAGCAGTGGGCCCAGTGCGGAGGAAATGGCTATGCGGGTCTGACTGCTTGCGCAAGTCCTTTTGTCTGCACAAAGCAGGTGAGTCTGAGATACACGTGTCCGATTTATTTAATCTCGCTGATCAGTTCCCAGAACGATTGGTATTGGCAATGCATCTAAGTCTGTCGTTAGATGGATCACGGGGACACGTTTGTGCAATCACGTCGGCAAAGAATTTGTCTGGCCTCACAAAACAGGATGACCATTTATCAATTTAATGTGGGTCTCCAATTGCTCTGTCGTTGAAATTACGGAGGTCGTCAAATCTGACGTCCCCGTGTAGCTCGTTTGTGATTAGCAGAGCGACTTTAACGAGCAGCCTTGTGTGTAGCATGACCATGCCATGAGTTATCCTGATACAGTAGTCTCCTCCCATCCTGTCTCTCCCAAGGTCCCGTGAATGTACTCCTCCCCGACCGTCAAACAACATTTGGGTATGATGATCAGCTGCATGATGTCAGCAAACGCTCTGGTAACCTCGGACAAGAGCGTCAACTTACCTTGTGAGGCCAACTCATCGCATCCCCTCACCGAGCAATCTCCCCATCGAGCAGCAGTCTGCGTGAGGAATCGTGTGGTTTGTGTGCAGGTGGGAGCTCGGAAATGGTGGTGGCATTTGCGGAGTTCCTTGTGACTGCCGGATTGTGTTCGGGGGTTGACTGCTGGTTGAGGCTCACGTCTATTCCCAGGCCCTTCTCCACGTCCTTCTCTTTTCTGCCGCCCTTCATCTTCTTCAAGATTCCATCTTCCGTGTCGAAGAGGAAGCAACCAATGACGAAGATGCCCAAGCCGACCATGACAATTGGCCACAGGAGGGCTGGGAGGATGATGAAGATGATGGAGATCAGAGGTTTCACCCAGCGGCGATTACGGTACCGCTCGGGGACATGTCTGTATGGTGTGTCTCCGTGGTATGCGAGGATCAGTGCGAAGACCGCGGTGATTAGGGCGAGAACGCCGTAGACGATGAGAAGGACTGTGGGCCAGCTGATGGTGTTGTGACCTGTAAAGTAGTAGACACGCACCATCATGTTTTTGGTATCTGCGACGTGTGAGTAGATGCTTCAAAGCGTTGATCTGTGGGGACCTCATCACTTACTAGAGACAATGTATCGTGTCTCGTGAGGGTAGAATTTGAGGTCGCGTGCTTTGCTAGGGCTTGCGCCCTGGCGTGCAGGTAGGTAGATTGGGCCGGCTGAGAGTGCAGTGCTTCGGTCAAGTAGATGACGAAGGGGGGTTGATATCAGACAGAAAGACAGCTGCAGAAGTCTTTGACAACAATTGAGATGGTTGCTGTTTTCGTTGAGGTTGAAGAATGAAGGAAGGAACGGAAGAAAGCAGAAATGGGAGGTTGGAGGGCATGGGCAGTTTAAATATTCAAATGGGACGACGCCTTCCAATTCACTTGGTCAGTAAGTAATTTACTTCAGGTGGTCTGGGAGGTACGGAGGTACCTGTCAGCTGATCTTGCCGCCGTGTGACTGGGAGGCTATGCCTAAAGAGGAAGTGTTGACATGGGCTGTGGTGTTGAATGTGAAGTCCAACAAGCGGCCCTACAAACGGCCTGACAAAAGACCAACCAATTATAGTGACGAAAGGTTTTGAATTCTTTGCACAAGATGATGTGAATTCATTCCAGGACCGGGGCGTTCAGCTCTTTATATACCTAGGTAATTGTACTGTAGTTCTTGGTTGTGAGAATGGTGAACGCTGCTTGTTTCACGGTTTCCTCCGTAGCTTCTTGGGGGAAACTATGATGAGTGTAGGAATAAGAGACCTGCTGAAGATTGTCAGACCAGGACTGGTCGATGCGCTGGGGTGTCAACAATGCAGTCAATTGGTCATCCAGATTTTACCTAGAATGGAAATTCCGCCCCTGAGCAATGCTGCCTTTCTGCAATCTCTAGCCATGAAAAACCAAGCAGGAGTTATGGAACGTGGAATGATCGCAAGGATAGATACTACAACACCATGCCCCTCACATGAATGGGAACGTTTGAGGACCGACAGGTCAAGCTTCGACCCCAGCAACATTTTGAAGCAGACTGGGTGATATATGGACAACAGGTTGCAAAAATCTGGTCTTCGGTGGTTTGAAAACTCTCCTAAAAGGCATGAATAGATGCATACATGTCTAAAGCCTTTTACCATTTGCTCCATGTCTATGACTCTTATTCTCTCAGTCGTTGCTCCACACAAACTTACAGTTGTGACGTTCTGCCTATTCGCGCATTTACCAGTCAACAGTGCCAAGCAACTTCTCCAAAGTTGCATGCATCACGTAGTTTGCAGACGTAGGTATGTGGGCGATGTATGACTCACTACATAGTACGGTCGTCTAAATTATTGTCTTATGTGGTACTTAACAAGAACCTTGGTCTCTCTGAATCCTAACAACATTTGTCAATCATCAAGCCAACGCATGAGAACCCAGTGTGATTAGAAGCGGTTTGTTGCCGCTTGTCCACTTATCCTAACAGACTTTGGTGTAGCCGTGAAGTCGGCTGCTTGTGATACGTTTCCTTTGCCTTCTGGCTTATCCGCAAAGTTTCGACGTCATTTGAGGGTACCTGACTCATTCTCCTTTGCTTCAATCAGCCTCTGCATGTGTCAAAGCGATTGCGGTTTGTGTTCTGGCCACTCTGGCCTACTGCCTCTAGTACATGTGGTCAACAGAGGTCTGGCAATGCGACAAAGCACTACACATGACCGTGCACTTGTGTTAGCTCGTCAATGTGAGTGACTAACAATGGTCATTGACTTGCCTCTTTCAAGGTCAAATCTTTCGTAATAAGGGGCTGATTGCTCAAGGGTTGCTACATCCAGGCGTGCCTTGAACCAGGCACCCAATATTGTCTGTTTCATTCCAAGACAAGTATCAACGGTGGCTCCCCCTACTGGTCACAAAGCAGGAACACGAAACATGCAGTTTTCTGGCAATAGATCTGATGGCCCTAAAACAATGGCATATATTTATAATAGTTGCTAGTAGCCGCGGGGAGGCAGTGGTTCAGATTCGACAAACCATCTCCTATTTCCTTTAACCCCAGGAACCAAGAAAGCATTCAAGCACAACACCACTTTTTTCAATATGACCAAGTCAGATCCTTACCCGACGCAGTACATTCATTTCCCCAGGTCATGGAATGAAAAGTGGTCAAGCGAGGGTGTGACAAATTTGGAGAAAGCCAAAATTATGCTCCATGACTTCATCAGCAATGACGAGTCCGACGAAAATGAGAAATTAGAACTGTGGGAATTCCTTAGTGCTTCTCATGCGGATGGAAATCTTGAAACCGTCACATCTCTCGCCACTGCCGTTCAGCACCTAGTATTTCGGAACCGGCACTCTTCTTTTGATTCCAAGTGGCTGTTGCAAAGGATGCGATTCATATTGCTCAAGTGTCGGCCAAATCTACCCTAATCTGCCGTTACGGATAGTCTCATCAACTTCTTCTTCGACGTTTCAATGACCTGAGGTCGTATGGCCGGAGTCATCTAACCTGCAGATTCGCAAGGTCGAAGACGCTCTCCTCAAGCGTGCTCAGGATTCCATCTTCGACGGAATTATCCACCTGCACGGTGCCGAGATCACAAACGACGCAACGTTGATTGAGGAAGCTGGAGACGACTTCCACCTGATCCTTGGCACGGACGGTGCCAACTCTTGGGTCCGCAGGCATTACTTTTCAGAGGAGCAAGAACCTTGCGGCAGGAGCTTTGCACTCGGAGTCGCCCTTGATCGTGGCGATAGGGGTCTGCCTCGTTCACAGGCTTTAAACGTTCTCCTTACTCTCTGCCAGACCATGTTCCTGCTCAACTCAAGTCACCAGGACAGTACAGGTTACTTGAACATGCTTCTCACAGAACATGAATACGATCAATGTATCTCGCTAGACGGGATCCCCGCTGATTTTGGGTCACTAGCTTGTATCCGTACAGGCGGAATCGTGCCTCCAGGGTTCACAAACGGTCAGATCTTTGCTCCATATGATGAAGGTTCCAGGTTGTGGGAGTCTATTTCCGACGGGCTGCGACTATTTGGATTTGAGGAAAGCGACGTCAAGAGCATTGTACGAATTCCCATCAATCTCATGGGTGTCAGCACCGCCACAAAGGTGCTCACTCTCGAATCACGGACAAGACGCCGCCCTCACTGTCTTGTATCACTGGCAGGAGATTCTGCGTTGACGCACCACTTCTGGCCTGGGCGAGGCATGAACAGTGGGATCAAAGCAGCGATAGCTTGGTCTAACCAGGTCTCGGATCTCATCTTGGAACGAAAGGAGGGGCTCGTTGGTCTCGAACCACACTCTTTGAACCCCTATCTAGATTTCATGAAGTGGCTCAGGGACCGAGAACACACACAGCGAAGCTTCGTCGTCCAAAAGGCATCCGCTTCTCCTGAAAGAATGGAAGAGAATATGAGCAAAGCCCACACACTGTTATACGACCCTGATCGAATGACAACAACGAAAGTGGGCGAAAAGGTCTCCGAGTTCGCAAGGCAAGGTCGACTGACAACAACGAAACTGAGCGACAGAGTCACCCAGCTCGCAAAACGTCTCGCCGGGCCCAACTCGAGGCGCTGGCCCCATCCGCCGACCAAAGACTTAGCTGGAACGGTTTTGCAGATACTGAGCCAGCTGATGAGACGCACCAAGGCCGAGATGTATCATTCTGGTCCTTGGCCGATCGAGAAGATGAACGGGCCTGAAGTCTATCCCCCGAAGCTGCGGATCCCAAACTTACCTCGTTCGAGGCCTGGACGCGACACTTCCGGACTCCGTGTCCCGCAGCTCCTTCTGGCCTTCATCTTGATGTTCATCGCTGTATTGTTGGAATGGTGGCTGGAGTCCTGGTTGTTTATGGCACCGATAAGACAATGAAGCATCTCTCTGGAACAACCAAAAATGGAGAATCTCTTTTCTTGTATAATGACCACATACCATGACGTGTAGGATACACAGAAAGCCTGGTAGGTTAGCTTTGGAGCAAGGACCCTGGAACATACGCCTGGCATTGCACTTCGGCTTGCAAAAAAGGTACCAGGGTGCGCGAAATCATGTGGTTGCCAACCTTGTTGTAGTCTCATAAGTTTTCACGACACAAGTGATGCTGTCTCGACGTCCAGCATAAACTCTTCTCCGTTTCATGGTTTCGTTTGCAACAGTTCCCACAAGAAGAAACGATAATGGGGTTTTGCGTGTATATGAGCTCATACTAATTTGGACAGCTGGAGCTCGCTCACGCAGGACCCGTCGAAGGTAAATAGGGATGTAGCCAAGGGAAGAAGTGACGCACCAACCCCATCAAAACACACAACGGCGTGCCACGAGGGAGCCTGGCACCCACTCCACGCGTCTTGTTAACAACACCGACATTCCTCCCACAATACCGGCCCTCCTCATCATCGGCCGCCTCGATCATGCCAGCCGCCAGATCCAGGTAACTTATAAAACTCTCCTCCTCGTCGAAGGTCAGCCTGTGCCCGCGCGCCATATCCGGCGACAATCCCGCCGGCTTGACGAAGATGACAGAAAGCCAATCCGCATGCGAGCGCAGCATGGCCTCGGCCCGCCGCAGGTCCTCGTACACGTGCGACGCAGACGCGAGCAGGACGCGGCGGGCCCACCACGGCATGTCGCGCGACAGGTGGTCGTCGATGGTGGCCGAGCTGAGCAGCACCAGCCGCGGGAGGACCTGAGCACCCGACGCCCTGAGCTCCTGCATCGCCTGCACGACGGCCGTGGCGCTGTCGAGGCTGAGGCGGCAGCCCGGGACGTTGTCGTTGGTCGTGACCACGAGGAAGACGGCCCTGGTGTCGCGGATGCACTCCTTCATCAGGTTCACGTCGTGGATGCTGCCTGCGAATATGCGCACGTTCTTGTTGTCGGCCACCTCGGGCACCAGCCGGCGCAGCTTTGATTCATTCCGGCAGTAGGCGTGGATGGTATTCTCCTGGGCCGACTGCAGCAGATTCTGTATCAGGGCTGTCCCGCAATTGCCTGTGCTCCCTAGGACAGCATACTTCGCCATTGTTCTGTTCTGGGTTTGGAATTGGGGTCTTGTTAAGTGACACTGACTTTGTGGGCAAGTGGTCGTATAAGATACAAGAGGGTTCATCAGATTAAAAGCCCATGGGCTAGTGACGGCATCTTCAGTACTGAAAGGATGAAATTACCCTGGTGCCGTTCTTGAAGACATTAGGAATTGGCTTGGCTGGAGTCATTCGCATCTTCAGACTTCGGAGCCATCTTTTTTTTTTTCCATGCTTGGTCTGCGGGCTTCGGGATCCGGAGGGTTTGGATGCTGTGTCACGTTCCTGGCCTATCGTCAGTGCCTGCACATCTTTGAGCTGGAACTTGTTATTCACTCTCATCTTCTCGCCATGAATACCCTTTCGTAGGTCAATAGAAAATCATTATTCACGTCTTCTAATGACCTGCAACATCAGACTGTATTCCTGTCCGTACGCGGTCTGAAATGCGCTCTGCCGAAGACCGTTCTATCGTCCTCTACTGGCTCGATCCTGCGAGTGGCCATTTGGAGGATGCCCGTTTTCAAGAATCGCCAAACTTGCAGCCTCTTTGGGATTGAAAATACCACAGTACTGCTATAGAAATAGTTTTTGGGGCAGAGGTCTCATGGAAGTATTGTTTGGCTCCGCTCTCTGATCTTAGCCAGTCATCTTATACGTATATTCTACGAGTGAAGGCACACCACCACCCCCACCCTTCAAGCAAGAACGATATCCTGCAAGTCTGGGTTCGGCCCAATAGCTTCACCTCCCATAATTCCATGCACATAACATTCACCAACAAATTTGAACTTGTTGTCGCCTCGAGCTCTCAGGACGACCGGTGCGTGGCAGCCATTCAGCACGAAGACCTTGTCTCCGGCCTGTGAATGCTCCGAAAACAGTCCAATATACCCGCTCGCAGTGCCACCCAGTCGGCGGTTCTTTGTCGCATTGACCATGGCCGTTCGGACCTGTCGGAAGGTATTGCCAGCCGATCGTGGCTTGCGTGACCTCAGCTTTTCTTCATCAAGTCCACCCCTGCCTTTTGGCAGCGTTTGCCGACGTGTGTAAGTCTGGCCTGATATCGAACCTTTCTTTCCAGTGGTCAGATCAAGGACATAGCTGAAGATCTCCGCGAATGAATCCGGGCATTTTAGCATCCTCTGTTCGTCCCTTCCGGCCACCAAGGTCTGCCAGAATGCGGAAAAATCTGTATTGGGGCTTGGGTAGTCTTTCAGGTTGGTAACAAATTCAAGCATTACTTGTAAGGTCTCATTTTCTGCAGTTGGGCTGAGGTTGGGGTTTTCGAAGACTCGGCTCAAGGTCTCCAGAGTGTCGAAGTGCAGCGCGGCCACTCGCAATTCTTTCCAGGTCGGGCTGCGGCTGTCAACCTTAGCAAGAGCTGCGTCCTTCAGCAGTCGTGACTTGAATCCCTCATCGGCTTGATACGACACGTGCGAACTTCCCAGCGCTGTCGTTCGTCTGGGCATCCTCCAGTCAGTTACCCAGGAGGGCAAGTCGACGGCGTCGTGATCCACGGACCGAAGAATCTGACCCAGGTCCCCGTTGTTAGTAATGTGGTGTTCCAAAATGTCTTGATACAACTGCGTGACATGATATCTATCGGAGTAGTCGACTCGGACTTTGGTGTCATCGGGCCTGCAGATCCCGAACATTCCGTAGACCTTGTCCCGGGGGTCGAAGCACAGGGCTTCCCGGGAAAAGCCCAAGAGCCTGAGCAGTGAGAACTTGGATGACATGATGCTCTTCTCAAACCTACCCAGGTGAGTTGCCTTTCTGCACAAATCTTTGCAGTCACCTGCCGCTGCGCTTGTAGGGAACTTCCGCCTCAACCACCGTGAGACGCCGGTATCCACAAGTTGCAAGCAAGCGACGTAAAGCGATTCCCACGTGATCACACTGCTTCCGCAGACAACCCACGACACGTCGGAGAGAGTGACTTCTTGAATGATCCAAAGCCGTTCGAACCACGGCCTCGAAAGCAGCTTCCAAAGTGCCTTCCAGTCTTCCGAGTCTGGACTTGGCAGATCCCTTCCCTCGAACTCGGTTGGGTCGATGGTTTCTTCGGTGGAGAATCGCAGGCGCACGTGGAGATCCTTCAGCAGTCGGACTGCCGTGTCTGAATCATCGGCCGATTCGCCTAGCCAGATGGCTGTATTGCGCGCGTGTTCGTAAATTCTCGACATCAGTGGGACTTGCTGTCCCTTCTCTTCATTGTTCTCCTGGTCTATGCAGATCTGATCAACCCACATGACTACTGCCCGGTCCTCCTGACGGAAGTGACGCAGGGCAGATTCGAGAGTCCTGGTGATCATCTTTACGTGGCCGTCACATTCGAATTTCGCATCAAATTTTGGAGCGCCCCATGTGTAACTCAATGCCGTGTAAAAGACTGGAACGGAAAGATCGTTCATGGAAAGGGCGAACGGCAATGGCAGGTGTTCTTTGCCAGTGATTCTGAACTCGACCGAACAATGGTGTAGTGCGCTCTTCAGCTGATCGGATGGTTTTCCGGGCTTGATTTCGGACACGGATCTCATATCTATCGGTGATGGGTTGGTAGAGCTTGCTCCCTCCAGATTCCCCTCTTCTGACGGAATTTGTTTTCGTCTTTGCCCAGTCATTGATTTTTTCCCTGTGGGGCTCTATGATCCATTCGTGTTTTTCGTTGATATCAGTAATCTTGAACTTTTTGTCGGCATCTGCGTTAATAGAACTGAGTAAATCTCTGTTTTCCTCTCCCTCTTGGGCGAAGAGATCCATTCTAAGACACTTGAGACTGGCGCATTTGGGGGTGGCAAGGATGGGTGTCCGAGTTCTGACATGGAACGCGCACAATCGGGGAGCGCTCCACCTCATCATGACCAGTAAAAACCTAAAGGCGCGCTGGCAAATCCGCTGACTAAGAAGTACTAACCCGCTACAGCTAATCAGAGCCCACCGTTTAACATCACCTCACCCCAAAGTGTCTTTCGTAAAGCCCTTTTAAAGCTCGTAGAAGCTATTTTTCTTATAACCAAATATGTAAAACCTTACTTCAATCAGTTAACTAATCATACCATTCGTAAGGCGGCAATCCAATTCGGCCGCGCTTCGCCGGGCTCAAGTGGACAGCCTTGAGATTCTCGTGGCGCGCGCCAGAGGTGCGTTTCAACTCGTAGAGCCATGGTGGTCTGCATGAAATTCAGATCTCTGTGGAACTCCATGTTGGGAAGGATTCAGTTCCGGGATGAGTCAAAGAGCCAAAAACAGCGGGTTGAACATAACCTCGGAATTCGGTCGGATTATGCCGACAGGGATCGGGCGATTACCGTTTCGGAGGAACGTGGTGGCATGGTAGACTATATTCCGCAATCATCACTGGGCACTACCTACTCAGATGTGTCAAAGAAACTCATCTGAAAGGAATAAATAAATAGGCAGATCGGTTTTGCTGATATCACACTGGCTGGGAACCAACCTTTAAAACGGTAGCAAGCAAAGTGGCGTTACAATCTGGCCGGCCGGACTTCGGGAAATGGAGAGCAAGCCAATTGCTCCGAGACCATGCCAGGCAAATCGGGAATGAGACCAACGAAACGAGCTTCAGCATACCAAATATTACATTTATTCGCATCTTCACAGTACCATTGCCAGTGTCTGCTTGTAAACTGAGATTGGACGGCTCGCGTCAAATATTGCGCTTTAAATTAACTAAGCCAGTTGTATCACTGGCACAAACTGAATATTGCGTCGTCTTCACTTGTTGTTTTGGTGGATATGTGCCGGAGACTCTGCGATAAAATCTGTAACAGTGCCGTGTGAGACGAAGGATCTTGGCTTTGGGCACGCAAAGGCAGGCCCAACGAGATAACATGTAGGTTGGTTGATGGCTTGCCACGGCGGAAGTGCCCTGATGTCTTCTGCTCACGAGCTCGCACACTTTAGCACCGTATTTATGAACTCAGCTCATGCGCGTGAGGTCGTATCAGTCAATTTCACAGTAGCTATGCGTAGTCAAGTCTGAGCTTTGCAGTGCAATTTTGGTATGGAGCCATTGTGAAGGATATTCGTGGCTTGCCAGGGGCATTTGACCCTTTTGTGATGACTAGGACCCTTGTGCCAAGATAGCTAAGTGAGTCGTGTGATTTCTCATTTTTGTGACTCTTTGAGCAATCCATCTAGCCTGAGTCCACACAAACACAAACTCTACTTCGTCTGCTCATTTGATAGCATGCCATCTCGCACAAGTCGTCGCGGAACGCTAGACTCTGGCCTTTACGCGGCACCACCGTCCAGTGTCAATATCTTCCCGTTCACCCACTCAGCTTCATTGCTCGCCAAGAAGCTCACGACGCGAGCGATATCAACCGGATAGCCGTTACGGTGCAGTGGAGATGCGTGAGCGGCCATCTAGTGCGTTCACAGATTTTAGCAGCCAGCCTCTCATTCCGCTGTAATATTTGTAGATGGGGGACTTACCTGCTGGCGCTCCTCAGCACTATACTTCTCTCCGTTAGGGATGTAATGCTGGGAGACATCGTGAAACATATCCGTCACAGTACCCCCCGGGGCAACCGCATTGACAGTGATCTTCTTGTCGCCGCAGTCCTTGGAGAAGACGCGCACAAACGAGTCGATGGCGCCCTTAGACCCAGAATACAGGGAGTGCCTGGGCACGCTGAAGTCTTTGGCGGTGTTTGACGACATCAGGATGATGCGCCCTCCCTCATTCAGGTGGCGGTAGGCCTCGCGGGCCACGAAGAACTGGCCGCGTGTGTTGAGGCTGAAGACGCGGTCGAACTCGTCCTCGGTCACGTCACCGAGGTGCCCGAAGCTGACCACGCCCGAGTTGCTGCAGACGATGTCTAGACCCCCGAAATGAGCCACTGCATCGTCCATCAGTTGGGCCGTCTGGGGGACCTGTTGTGTAGAGTGTCATTACTCGCCACACAACACCGATTCGCTGTGTTTCTTTCCGAAATTCACAACTACTCACTTGTCGAATGTCTGCTTTGAAAGCGACAGCATCAGAGCCAAGCTCTTTGATGCCGGCCACCACCTTTTCAGCTGAATCGGCCGAGTTGGCGTAATTAACGACGACTTTGGCTCCAAGACGGCCCAGCTCTGTGGCTATAGCTGCGCCAATACCACGGCCGGAGCCCGTCACCAGTGCGACCTTTCCGTCAAGGCGATAGGGGACGTGGGAGTTGGAACTCATTTTGTTTCTCGAGGCTTTTCAATCTTCGACTGTAAGATAATTGGATTTGGCTTTAATTTCAAATGACCACGAACATCCTAGATACATATATTTTTGTATCGCGGGATGTAAGTGAGATGACAGAAGTCGGACTCGTTTCACCCCGAATACATCGGGACTCCACCATCGGGATGATCACCCTGACCGGGTCAAATCAACGAGCTTTCCTAACCACATGACCATTATCCTTCAAAAATACTGATTTGATGACTTGGCCTCTTTAAAACGATTAATGGCCATTGAATCTCAAAGTGGGCTTCTTGAAAATGTAACTAGCTCCCTCCTGAACTGAGTAGCCTCCTTTACGACAAAGTCAAGATCTGTTTAAAACTTTGAGGCAGCGGATAGTATTTGTTTAAGCCGGGTCCAATCTCCAATCTGTCACACCTTTGCAGCACTAAAACAAAGAAATATTTGACTTCAGAACCTGGGCGTACAATTCACTTGCCTTGTTGCTGGACATGAGCTGATTCCATCCCCGACCATCACCCCAATGTTTGACTCGATCCCAACAAAACTCCAACCAGAGGCATCAGCGACCGAGTAACGTGCAACCTGCTCCACCAGATGACCATATCCCGGACACCCTCAAGTCCGATGGCTGCCGGATCAGTAGTGCTAGCAGCCTGCAGCCTGAACAACTCGCCGTTGAGCGGGCCCATAAAGACCCAGGTGAACGGAACCATAGCGACCGTAACCAGAGCCGCTGCTGCCAGTGCACCGCGGCTCTTACTCGTACGCCACGCCGCAGACAGGTACAGCAGGCAGGCTCCAACCCCCATCGTTGGCAGCGCCAGGTGGCCGTAGTGGTACATGCGCGTCCACGCGCAGAGAAGCTGTGGCGCGTCGGTGGCCGTCTCCAGGAGGACAGGGACTGCGATCCCAGAGAGCGAAAGCATGGCGCCTATTGCGCGCACGTTGGTATTAGCCCAGGAGTAGATTGATCCAGTAACGGTCGCGAGGGGCCTCACCGGACAACACCGAGCCGCTGATCACTGCCGCGCAGAGCGAGCGTGAGCCGGACATGTTGTTCGGCTTCGCAGTTCCCAAGAAAGTCGCGAATGAGATAGTAACGACTGAAGTTGATCTTTGCTTGCGACTGTACCTATTCGTGATAATTCTTGGTGTTCTGCTGTGTTGAAGCGCCACCCATCCGTGCTGGCGGAAGAAATTGGAGCAGCTACACATTGAGATATGGCCCGAAACATGACCCCATGCACCGAGTTCCGAAGCCCGGTAGGGAGCGGAACTGGACCTCTTGTGACCTTGATCTTTTCAAAATTACGATCTTTATTTGAGCTCACAGATACTTCTATCATTAATGCAGACGCTCCACGCTTCGGTATGGCATACGTCTAGTGTCAGACCAACATGTGTAGATGGAAATCATCTGTCCCCACTGATAGCGTGGCAGAGAACGTTGCGGGAGAAAATCACCCTCGGGTGTGCGATGATACATAGAAACCGGAACAGGCCTGCGCAAAGATCCACGTTGAACCTAAGGCCCCCGTGGAGGAACTTCAACGGCAAACCGAGCATGGTTACTGGGATCAAATGTTAAAATCGAAAACAGGTAAATGACATTCCGAATCGAAATCACTTACTCAGCATTCCTGACAGCCTTCTCCGGATCTTCACGAGCAAACTGCTTGCAATAATCGACACCGTAGCCGTAATCGGAAGTACCCAGTACATCTCTAAAATGCGTCGCCTCGTGGACGATCGCGCTAAACGTAGGTCCATCGTGAGAACGTCTTCTTCCGCGACGGAGGCTGACCAACTTACTCCCATTGGCTACGATGCTGTCCAGAAGGTGGGACTACCGCCTCGTTGAAGTACACGCTGCAGATTCTCACATCTCCGTATCTGCCACCAATCGTTGCAATAACCACATCGCTAACGCAGGAGCAGTCATAGCTGAATGTTGTCGCCAGATCAGGCGCAAATTTCTGGTGGAACGTGGGTCTCAGTATCTTGTTCCCGTATCTTGTCTCACAACCTCTTCATAACATCGCGTAACTTACCTTGAAAGCAGTCAAGACTCGGTTATACCTTTCCGTACTAAAAGCACCATACCAAGTTGTTTGGACCTCGCTGCCACTGGGGTTCGCTTCCAGGTGCTCTATAGCCGCGTATGATTTGTTAGTGGCTCGGTCAATAGCCACCTCGAGAGTGGATACCTGCTCAGGGGTGCATGATGTGAAGGTCACGGCGCCGCTGCCGAGGGGGAGAAGACCGAAAATATAAGAAATGCGCATTTCAATTGAAGTCTGGCAGCAGGTTTGAGATTTGGGTATTCCAATAAAGATTTTCGGGGAGGAGGGGATGTTCAGCGATTTATCTAAAGCAGCTGGCTTGCTCTCGCTCTTCCAAGGTTGTCTCTTGGCACACATCTTTTAGGAAGGTACTGAGCAAGTGGACATGCCATTCACAGTAATTGCTCCGTACATAGGTGCATTGATCCCACCACGGATTGCTTGGCGGGCTGGCTCTTCACTGCTCTCGGTGCTGTGATAATGAATGCAAGTGTTGGGGAGCATTGTTATCTCCTCAAAAGAAGGCAATACTGTCAGAGGTCATATTCTTACTGTATCTTGCAAGACTCACACAGATATAGATACGATAAATCAAGATCACCGCGTCCTACCAGGGCACAGTAACAACATTATCCTTCCCTTCCATGGTCTTGCTGTACTCATCCTGCGAGGCCTTGATCATAGTATGAGCGCCCGACTCGCCATCCTTCCCAAGCAGCGTCAACCTCACAGCATTGCTTGCCCCCTCGGAGATCGGCCCGGGTGTTTCGTTAACCCCCTCCCCGTAATTGTTGATCTTGGTAGCCTGTGCCAAGCAGTAGGGTAAGTACATCATCAACATTGAATCACTCGGCTGAAAGCTAGTGATCAAACCACAGTTTAGAGACAGGGCGTGCTCACCCTGAAGCCAGGATTCGAAGCATTGACCTTCCAGTCCGGGAAGCGGTGGTGGTAGTACAGCATGACCATGTTCTCGGCGGCCTTGCTCACCGAGTAGGCCGGGTAGGCCTTGACGAAGCCGAAGTCGTGCGCGACCTTCAGGCTGCCGGCCCCGGAGCTCATGAAGACGACGCGCGGGTTCTCGGCCTTGGACAGGAGCGGCACAAAGTGCTCGACGCTCGCGGCCGCGCCGGCGGCGTTGGTGGCCACGGTCAGGGTGATGATCTCGCCGATGGGCCGGCCTGCGTACTCCTTGTCGCCGGAGATTCCTGCCTGGTGGGAAATTAGATTTGGTTCCCATCGAACTCGAAATAGCGGGGGGCTCACGTTTGCGTGCAGGACGTCGAGCCTGCCGAACTTGTCGCCCACCAGCTGCGCGGCGGCTGCCAGCGACTCTTCGCTGGTGACGTCGACCTGGATGGGCTCGACCCCCTCTCCGATGCCCTCGCCCTGCAGCTGCTTCACGGCGGCTTCCCCGTCGGGCAATTTGCGGCAGCCAATGAGCACGTGGAACCTCTGGCCGTGATCTCGGGCGAGTTGTCGCGCGACCTCAAGGCCGATCCCTCCGTTCCCGCCGGTCACGAGCACGATCTCCTTGTCAGAATACGCCATGTCGCAACGTTGGAGTAGAATTCTTGCTTAATTGAGGTGTGATTAGAATATCCAGTGCTTCAAGAATTCCAATATGATATTGTTGCCTTTTGAGCATCGACGCAGCCGGGTCTTTGCACCCTATTTCCGAGACAAACGCTTGTGTCCGGCGGAGAGGAGTGCGGAGCAATTCGGACAACAGGTGAATTTAAAGGTGTCCGTAATCGCCGTAAGCAGTCAGCCCACTTCGTGAGTGTCGCACAGGATCTAAGAGGCATAGATTGCGGCACAGCTCCCACCGCGCAATACGGAGCAACTCCGGATTTTAACTACTTTCATTCTGCAATGTGGGGCTTGAGTGCTCGAGAGAAATGACGAACAAATGTGTATGGGATGAAGACTGAACCGCCATTGATGAATCAGAATGCTCTGTCATGAGATCGTTTCCTGTTAGGAGGGAATCATAATTGGACGTGTTCGAGGTTCAGGTAGTATACGTGCAACTGGTAGCAACTCGAGATTCCTCAACATGGGGACTCGCCGTTCTCTCCTTGATATCATGCTATAACCAGAAATTGAAGTTGGCATGTGTGAGAACAATCCAAGATACGAGCAATTCACGGAGCCATGTAGTAGACGGCGTATAAACACCAACACGCAAACCCACCCTCTCTCCTCACCCCTTAAACTTCTCCTCCCCCTCCGCAAAGATCTGATCATGCTCGTACTCAGTCCACCGGATATCAGGCTCGATGCCCGCAAACTTCCACGCCCCCTCCACCCTGCGGTACCACACCGTCGCCCTGCCGTGCGCGTGGCCCCTCGCCGCGACCTCAGCCATCTTGTCGTCCGCGTACCTCTGGTGCGCGACCCGCATCTGGTGGAAGCCCGTCACCTCGTCCTCGTTGGCCCCGCGGGCCCACCTCGCCGCCCCGCCCACGAGGTGCTGCGTCCTCAGCCGCGGGTCCCCCAGGACTTTCGGGTCCGACGCCATCGCAACAAAGTCGGCGCGCGGCATCGCCTCCCAGAGGCGGCCGAGGAAGGGGCGGTAGTCGATCTGGACGGGCACGCGGCGCGCGCGTGTGTCAGCCCTTTGGTGGACAAAATAATAGTGCGACCATAATTTATGAAGATAGACGTACTCGGAGGGTAGGCGCCGCCGCCCTCGCCAGGCGCTCCCAGTCCTTCGTGTCGTAGCTCTCTGCCCACTCGTAGAGCGCCGCCTGGCAGCCGAGTACATCTGCCCCGGACCTGGTGTCAGCGAGGGGCCGATCGCGCCGTCGTGAGCAGGGCTCACGAGCCGTGGGGGGGGGGGGGGGGGGGAGAAGGCCTGCTGCTCACCTTCGTGCGCAGGAAAGCCGGCCATGGTTCGTGTTGAAGAGCAAATGTTTTCCCTTCCCTGCCCGCAGCGCCACGGGAGCGAGGAGAAAAGCGTCGTCTCCTGCGCTTGGCGATATAATACACTCGGGCACATTTTTTAGGAACGATCTATTTGCATCGGCGCGCGCGGGCCATACTCGGGCCAGAGCCCCGAGACGTTTATTTACACCGAATATAATCTCAGAGTGGTCGGGACATTTGCAGCTGAACCGCCGATATGCCCGACATTGACCACGCCGAGATTCTAGGACACATTTATTTGTCATCGGCCGATTGCATGTCGCTTAAATAGTTCCAATGACGCAGTCACCGAGTTGTTGTCTGGCCTCCACATCGACACGACTAACAAGTCCATGAGAATCCTCATGAAAGAAAAGCCATAACACAAACCACAGCAGAACAAAATAACAAGGTATTGAATACTTAAATGGCCTGCCATAACATGAGTGGGGGGTATCTAGTAATGAGAGCTATTGCACAGCACATACGACTGAGCCGCTCCAACTTCGTGACCAAGTCCTCTCTTGCAATGCCCGATCTGACTCCCTCATTCGGGGCAACGTCTTGGTGATAATTCTATCCAAGGGCCGCGCATTCATCACTGACCAGTTCGAAGTTCTGCCACCGCCGCCGGGCCACCGAATAGCTCCAAGGCCAGCAGCACCTTTCGGATGAGAAACAGAGCAGTGCCAACAAGGCTGTGATCTGCAAAACACGAGCTGAGCTCCTACAAGTCATGGGGCAAATCTAGATCTCGCAACAACTGGTCGGCCGGTCGCATTTCGCAACCCGCTGCCGTCCCCAAACACCACCAGACGCTTCGTCTTTGGAGAATTCTCTGATCATCTCCTTGGCTGTCTAGAGCAACTCGAACCCAGCTTCCGCCAACGCGTCCCCGGTCGGCATGATCGGCCGGCCTTGCATTGGGAAAGGCCAGAAAAGCGGGTTCTCCATCGAGTCGCCCGACCTCGCCGTTGGCGGGCTTGCTGGCACTGGTGCGACCGGTAAGGCCATCGAGTTCCCCCAAGTAGTGATAAAGTCATTTTCTGTCATGTTGGGCGCGAAGAAATTGAGGCTGTTTGTGGCCGGCCGTGTTCCGTAATCGGGGTCCTTCATTCTCGTGAGTTCTGATGTACGCGTCGCTTCGCCCCCCGCCCGCTGCACCTTTTCCTTCTCTCTTTTCACACTCCGTGGGACATCCATTTCGATCTCGATGTTCCACTTCTTCGCGAGGTATCGTAGAATATTCAAAGCCTGTTCCGCAAAGTGATGACACGGTGCCATCTCTGTCAAGTCGGCGATGCCCTGGTTAATGGATTTGGTAACACTGGGCTTAAGATGCGGCGGACCACGGCCGGCCGGTGGATGACCCGCTTGTGACTCTTGTGTTGGGATTCTTCCAGTAGCTCCCGCCTGGTGGTCTGATGACGGTGTTCCCGACGCTGCGATTGCCAGATGCATAATCGAAGAGGTAAGAACAAAGTAAGGGACGAAGGAGGGTGTACGCTGGAGCGTGTACAAATCTGAATATGACTTGGCTAGACCCTGAATAGCGTCTGCGGATTCGGCGCAGATATCTTTCGGTAAGAACTGCGTCGTTGTGATCCGCAGTTTGATAAAAGGTCGGAATAGAAGCAATGTGGCGAAATGGTAGTACATGCTGCACGTTGTGCGATGTCAGTAGTGCGGTCTAGGCACCCCAGAAGAAGACTTACTGCGCGAAGAGGACTGCGGGAGTGAAGTTCTGTCCAAGTTTGAGAGCCACCGGTACCTTCTCGTACCAGTTCATGAACCGCGTGTAGATATCCAGAACGTCAGGACCCCTGAGTGGTCGGCCCGGTGTGTGGAGTGTGTAAAGGGATTCGTGAACTAGTTCGCTCAGTTCGCAGAAGCACTTGTACACAGATCTGACATTAGATGGCTGCTCGCAGGACTTATGTAACGGGGCACCTGGTCTCATGTCAGCATGGCCAGGCTCAAGGCGACCTATGACACAGTATTTACCGTCATCTGTGTACGGGATCCATACAGAAGCCTCGATATCTGGCATGATGGCTGGTTTGGGCGGTAAATGCGCGAAGCGGGAGCACTGGGGCAAAGAGCCAGTGGCCAGAGACCAGGCACTGAAGACCAATCAGTCAGCAGGCCCAAGGCCAGGGCGCATAGCAGTCAGCTGAAGATACTCACTGGTCCAGCGCGAAGGCGCCCCAGAATGTAGCTGCCTGGACAGCAACCTCGTCGCTATCTCCCGAATCGTCACTCACACGATGCAGGCCCATCTCAACCGCAAGACGGATGCTTTGCCCTGCGTAATACCAACTTTCGGAATCCCTACCACAGCTAGCCTCGCGAATTGACATGATGCCAAGAGCCTGAATTGTAGTGAGACTGTGGTGATCCTCCTCCAAGAAAAAGAGACGGAGGCTCTCCTGGAAAAAGTGGTCCCCCGATGAGTATGGGTCGTCTGGATTCGCACGCGTACTAGGCTGGGTCGAAAACCGGCATCCTAGCGCAAGTAGGGCGTTGACGAGGATCGAAGAGCAGTACCGAGGCCGCCCGGAGTGGAAGTCCTTTAGGAAGTGTTCCTTGCTCAAGGACGCAAACGTCGGATACTCCCAGCAAAAGTAGAGAGCAAGGAGGTGCTGAACCAAGCTTCTGTCTGAGCTGATTTCGGTCCAGGTGGTAGGCAGTCCCGAGGGAGGGGGCATCTCCGGTGTCAATACCTGGTCAAGGCCGCGATAAGTTCCCTCAGAAGGCGGCAGCTGCGACAGATTGTCTGCAACCCACGATCCAACTCTTGTTTGAGGAGGTCCGGAGCGGCTCCAGCTCATCATGTCAGGCTGTGAGTTGCTGCTGTTGGAGTGCGCCTGGCTGGCCCCCGAGTAGTGATTCCACTGACTATTAGGGTCCATGTCCTGTCTGGAGCTCAACGGATGAACCGTCGACGTCGGGCTGACAGTGGCGACTGACATTGCCACGTTGGATATACCAGGGGTGTACGAGGCGGCGCTCGCACCAGCGAAGTTCGCCAGGTTGGTGAGATTTGTACCCGTGCCGGAGGGTTGGCCAAACGTAGGTATCGAGCCAGGCCCGGAGGACAGCTGGCTACCCAGCCAGTCCGCTATGGCCTCGACGGACTGGCCATTGCGCAGTCGGCGCAAGACCTCCTCCCATTGCGCGTTGTGCGAGAGGGCGCTGATGACGGATTCGTTCGAGGCTTGTTGGCGGCGCAAATTCTCGATCTCGTTGCGGAGGTTCTCCTTCGACTGTCGCACAGGGACTTCATAGTGGCATTCGACGTCCTTCTGGGCGCTGCATCTGCTACACGGCTGCTGGCCATCGCACTATAGGCCAGAATACCAAACAGTCAGTTCAGGAGACCTGGGCGGCTCGCGCCGTTGGATCACATTGAGGGAAGGTTCGGCTCGGATGGGAATGAGAGCAGTGCAGTGGTACCTTTGCGCGCTTCTTCCGACACTCTGTGCAGGCATTGGGGGTCACCACGCCCAGGCCCCTTCGCCTCTTGGAGGCGGCCGTGCTGGAGAGGGAGGTCGGAGGCGGCGCATTGGGGGTGCCGGCGGAGGAGGAGGTGTCGGCGGTTTGGGCGGTGCCGGCGGTCGCGGGAGTGCTGGCGGAGGGGTTCGAAGCTGAGGCAGTCGAGGCACCTGTGGTCTGTGTGGTAGAGACCGGAGTTGCGCCAGAATCGTGAGGGTTGGATGAGGGTGTGTCTTCAGGAGCAGGAGAGTCCTGGTCCATGGAATCATCCATGCTGGATGTGCGGGCTCGTTTTTCGGACGCCATTGGGAGGCGGCCGTGCCTGAGTGGGTAGTGGATAGCGGGGGTCGAGGCAAAAGAGGGGGGGGGGGGGTGGTTCGGGGGAAAATCAGGTCGGGGGCGCGACGGCGCGTAACGTCATTCTTGGAAAATCGAGATTGGGCAGAAGGTATTCGCGTGGGTGCTGCGCTGCGCTGCGGTGGACCAGATAGACGGCCAGGTGAATTGTGTGTCGCAAAAGACGGCGCGAGCTAGTCTGGCTCCTCTTCTATAGCCCCCTTTTCTGCTGTCGCGAAAGCTTTTGTGTCTGGGAACGGGCAAAGAGTTCGAATCGAGACACGGAAATCAAGGATGGCCGGTAGCTTCAAGAGCTACGGGATGATATGACAAAATGCAAGCTGCTGTTGCTGCACCTCGGAACATGGCCCCCCCCGCAAGCAGACTGTCAGTACCGTCTGGACTGTTTGAGGGGTGAGGGGTGCCAGCTGCCGAGCTGCAGGAATGGAGGGGCGTGAGCGTGCCCAGGTGGGTCGAGGTGGGCTCTCTGGGGCCAGCTCAGGGCCAGTTCTGGGTCGGGGATTGGCTGCAGGTAGTCTATACACATGGGATTCTGGGAGGGTTGTGCCTGGGGATTTTCTCAATCCGATGTCAGGATGTGGATGTGATAACGGGATGTTAGGCTAGATAAGCTGGGATTTCAAGACAAGGCACCCACACCACATAGCACTGTCTCTCTCTACTTCTCTTACACGCTCAAAAGGCCATTCGCCACCTGCTTGCTGCCCAAGAGCTTCCGGCTGCCCAGTCCTATACGTTGTGGTCGAGTCGTCTGGCCCGCTCCTGCGGCTCAGGACATGCAGGGACCGGCCTGGAGTCTATCAGTTGTGCCGTTCCGTGGTTGGGCAGTTAGGCTTGGCGTGAGGGAGAATGCTTTTTTGCAGCCATGTGCGGAGGCAGGCTGGTAGGCACGTGAATAAACACGTCGTCTCCGTCTCGGCTTCGGTCTCTGCTCTGCAATGTGGTCGACTGACTGAGAAGACGCCTGGCCAGTGTTCGATGGCTGGGGCGCAAGTTGCACGGCAGGGCCTGATGCACGCACACGCTTCGTCACAAGAGTTGAGGCCGCCGCCGCCGCCGCCGCCGCAGTCGACCAGGGAAGCGTCCCTGGCGGATGCCATCCGTCGTCGACCAACAAGGCCGACCAAGAGTGTGAAGCGGAGGAGGGCCGTGGGTTAGGGGTTGTCGAGTCGCGCCGGGCCTAGAACACAAGTCTGTGTGCTAGGACAGCTCGAGGGCCAAGAATAAGGTGGCCGAGGCGGCCGACATGTTGCTGATAGACAACTGTAAATACCTGCTGATGCTGCAATTGTCGTGTATCTGCTCCTAGGAAGTTGAGGCAGAAGGTCCAGATTTCCTTGCGCTGCTGAGACGACGGACGGCGAGGGGCGTCCCCCATCAGGAGCGCGCTTGTCGTCCCTCCGGTTGTCGTGGTTCAGCCGAGTCGAGTCGGGCCCAGTCCGCAGAGGCTCAAGCACGAGAATAACGGTCTGACATATATGCGTGTCTTGGTGTGCTGGCCGTGCTGGCCGTGCTGCGTGCTGGAGATATTGTACAACACACCAAGAGCAGCAGGAGCAGCCACTCTGCATGCAAGCAATGAGCGCTTTCCCCCCTACCCCAGCCTTGGACCCTGCACTGTGACACAAGAACACCGGGCACCTGTTGTTTTCTGCTTGCGAGATGAACCCTTTTCCCGACTGGGGTTCTCGTCATCTAGGCGGGTAAGCTATCTCATGGGTTGCGCTGCGTTGTTATGTCTAGGTACCTAGTACCCTAGGTGGTGTGTGTTAGATGTTTGGATATCAAGCATATGCAGCCTGACAGTCTCTCCATCTTCAACCCTGCCCCGTTTCCCACTTCTATCTCGGTGTGTCCATATCTGCTTGCTTCTTCCCGCTCACTCCTGCCGTGTCAGATAGCGTGCGCACAAGCAACTCCGCAGCCATGTGGGCCTCCTACAAAAGCCCAAACCAACGAGTATTGCCTAGCTGCTGGCCCGGAGCAAAAGCTCCGCCCTCCCTCGCTTGCGCGTTCCCGGGTTCGACGAAGACGGGTCGAGGATGGACGAGCACGCGCGCCTGGCACGTTGATGAAATCTCTTCATTTGCGTATCTTCTAGCATTGAATGCAAGATCAGATCCCTGGGCGTGCAGATCGTCAAGATCTAATCTGGTTCACAACACCAATTAGCCCGTCCTGAGGGTCGACCGAAGCAGGACCACTGCGTTCTTCGATTCGCTGGCCTCTGATTGCGACCTACATCAGGTTCCAAATCGTAAGCGCCTGTCACTCACTCATCCTGATCTACAGGGTCTGGTCTAGATCCTGCAGTACTCAGGCCCAGGCTCGCTCGGGAAAAGCCTCGGGAAGAAAGACCGTAACCTGCCATCTCACGGCCGTTACAGAAGCCCTATTCACTCAGGTACCCTGTCGAATCGCTTCCCATTGGTAGGGATCCAGTCCTGGTAGCTAAATGGAACTTGCATCTCCGTGGAAGGATTTTCCTCTTTTCGCGACGTCCAGTTGGGGCTTTGCAAATGACTTGAACACGCCCATCTCAGTCAGTCAAGGCACGAAGACTGTCAAAATCACTGGCAGTGAAACAGGGCAAGTCTAAGCGAAAAGAGCATCCATGACTGTTTCAAAATCCAGATATCGAACAGCGACTTGGATTGTCGAAGATGCTCAAAAGAAAGTTGAATGACTTGTAAATATTATCAACCGCCCCAAAATGGTACAGGCCTCTATCGTGCCTTCTAGAAGCACCCAGGAAAGACTCCAGACCGATAGAAAGCGGCAAATCATTGCATTTAAGCTCCATGATCATGGCTCTGCCCATCTTTTTCAAGAAAATAATGGCTGCCAAGGCGACTCCCCAGCCAGACCTGGCCACTTCTCGGAGACTCATAATCGCAAACCAACTTTTCACATAGTACTCCTTATCCGAGCCGGTGACAGATGGACAAAAAGGAGACACAGCCCTCATCGCCGCAGAATTTCAGGTAGTACTGCATCGCCTCCTGGACCCTAAACATTGAAGCTCGTCGCGCCGGGATTACGGCACGAACCGTAACTGAGGCCACGTATTCCAAAAAGTCCTGTTCCGCCCACAATTATTGTGCGCGTCGCCGCCGTGCTGTAGACACGCCACGCCTTGCGAGGACCAGGCCCGCACGCCGGAGTGCTGCGTCTTCCTGTAGAGGCCACCGCGTCAGCCTATTTGTTTCTTTCCTGTGGGAATCGATGGGCCACTGAAGAGGGACCCTTGTGATGATCGGGCTGGACCTTACGTCAATGAATGATGGATTCGGGTTAGGCACCGATTGTTCTGGGGGGGTTGCCCCGGGGTATACGGTCGTGGTCTTCACGCCTGCCCATGTCGTCTTGATGGGGTCTTCAACGTCTGTGTTGGAGACACTTCGGTCCCGGGGTACAGCTAGGCCCGCGACCGATGAAATAACCAGGAAGGCGGTGAGGGCGTGGAACTGCATTCTGTGCTTGAGGCTTGGAAGGGCTTGGAAGGGCTTGGATGGTGTTTGAGGATGTGAACGAGCGAGCGACAAATCAATTTAATGACTGCTTCTTGCAAGCTCAGTGCCAGGCCCAAGTGAGGAAGCCGTGGAGGGACTCGAATTCAAGAATGCAATAGCGTTAGTCTGTCTATGCTCTTTATATCGAGTCTTCTCTCTTCGGCACAATACTAGATCAGAGGCGCAGTCTTGTGTTGCAATCCGAGCGCAACGCCCACCCAACAACCAATTCTGGCCGAGACGTCCCCTTTCGGAGCCGCACAAACCCCAACCACATCGTATAATCCATCACAAAACATCAATATTGGAACCAGGGAGTTACACCAACCCGGCTTACATAGCCTCATTCGACCCCGTGTTCAGGGCGCCCGGTCCTCGACCCGGAATCGGTTGTGTAATCTCGCTACCTTGGTCGCCCGGGGTGGCTTCGGCCGAGAGATACCAAGCCCGCCCCCGGCCCCACGGGCCCCGGAGATGTCAGCCGGATTGGGCAGATATTGGGTGGGAGGACCAGAAGAACGGAAGATTATATCGTAAGTTTGAGCCCTGGTGCTGAGTGTTGCTAATTTGGACCTCTCCGGCTGAGTGAACATATCTCATAAACTGCCTCTCATATAACCCGATCAACCACTCGAGTAGCCTATTGACTTCAGAGCCCGGTACCAATGGGAGCATATTTACCATTGTCATGCTCCGCATGCCCCAAGTGTCACACGGTCATAAGCAGTGGGAACCAGTCCAACCTCTTCGTCTAGTACTACTTGTATATTATCCAGGCATCTCAAAGTAGACTGCCTAGTCGCTATTGCTCAATTCCGGCCCAAAATCCCCATGCCTAACGCTTTTCGTGGGTATCCATATACTCCTTGGGCCTGTCTTTGTACAGAAATGAGTTCGCCCTTTCCTTTCCGTTCCTTGCCTTCCCTCACCAGTTTGAGTCCCACATGCTGTCATGTCCTGGCTGACCCTAGCCGATCAATTTATTGTACATATCTTCACCTCAGCTCTTCAGATAGCTTTGCATCCTCCCAGACACTGATGCCTTCCGGCCGCTATTTATCATTCCACTCAATCCTCCTGGCCGTGCTTCTCTTTGATGGACTCCTACTACGTTCCCCCTTGCTAGGGCTCCTGTCCACTTTGATAGGGCTGCTCCTGTCCCCTTTGCTTGGGCTCCTCCGTGACGGTGTGACGGGCGGCGGCAGGAATCTGGCATCTGGCGAGGCCTCGGACTCCGTGTCGTCCTGCAGAAAAGCCCGTCTGATGTGTTTCGGCGTGTGCCCAATTGGAGCAAAAATGTAAGCCTGGCTCTTATCCGGTGACATAGGAAAGCCCATTGGACCCAGACTCTGGTACTGTGCCCCGGGATTCGCCTGGGGGAGGCTGTGCTCCCGGTAGTTGTGACGGAATTTGCTGAAAGCAATGTTGCAGGCAAACATGGCGATGATGGAAGGAGGACAGCGTCACAGTCGCCTTCCAGGAGAGCCGAGAGAAGAACTCGTTCAGAATATCGGCCAGGTGCCCAGCCGACGCCTTGACGCCGGCCACCACGTTTGAATCTTGGCTCATGCAGGTCTCCCACTCATTACACATTCCTTCCAGGGCCGGCAGTCTGTCCTGGATCGGAGAGCATTTGTTCTCAATGTACCTCCGAGAGCACGCGTTCATCTCTTCGAGAAGTTGCGCTCTGGCCTTCTCAGATGAGTAGAGCACCTCGCCACGTATTGCAGAGATTATGCCCCAGGCCATCCACAAGACCACGCCCCCGCAAGCAGCATTGAAGAGCACCTGTAGGTACCATGAGATTATCATGGGCGCGTTGGGGTTGGAGGAGATGGACGTCAGGATGTGGTGTAGCCACCCCATGTCTCGCTTCCGCCTATTCCGCCAGCCGGTCGGTTCGTCGTCGTCGTCGTCACTGTCATCCTCGTCGCGGCCGTCTGGCAGTCGTGACCTCGTGCTTCCGATGTCCCTGTCTCTCTCCATCCTGACTCTCTTGCGCACTTTGTCGCGTTGAAACCAGTCCTGCCGCGGCAGCTCGCCCTTGCCCGACTTTTTCTCGGAGAACAGATTGCGCCTGACGGCGTGATCAGGCGTTGATATAGACATGGGGTCAAGGAAGGCCGAGTCGTCGAAATCTGGGGTGTCGGCGGGTCCAGAAGCGTCGGTCATCGCGGGACTATCGTCGATGGGAGTCTCTGACATAACAGAGTCTTCGAAGCGGTCTCTCTGGGGTGTGGTGAAAGCAGGCGTGCTCGGTCTGGCAGTTGTGAATGCTGGGTTGCGCAGTGGCGGGGCAGTATACTGCCTAGTCAGGGACGGGCTGAACATGTTTCTCCCAGGTGGGCGTGGGAAGCTCTGTTGCCTCAAAGGGCTGCCATTCTTGGGCGCGCCGGGCTTAGTGAAGGGGTTTACGCCAAAGCTAGCAAAAGACGGCGCTGCTGAGTTATGAGAAGCTGTAGGTGGTGTGTCTCTGTCAGTATAAGAAGCCTGGCGGGGGTAGGCGACAAGCTGCTGGTCGCGTGATCCGAGGACATGGACAAAGACGTGAACGTACGAAGTGCTGGAGGTTGTTGCGCAAACTGGAAAAAGGGACTCGACTTGTCGACTTGGACGTTCTGGAACTCGAGCCCGTCCATGGGACCCTCAGCTCCGCGTCTGTTCATGATGAAGCGGCGCAGGTTACGGAATGCGAATTCGTTCCAGGTTCAACAGCGCAGGGCTGTTCAGTCAACTGCAGCAGGATGGGGGAGTGATGGTGGGATGCAGCTCCCATGCGCAAAGAAGCGGACACTGGTGGGTCTTTAAAGGAAAGCTAGGAACGGTTGCGAGAGAGCCTGAGTGCGACGGTCGGTCGTGTTGTCCAAGGGGCCAAAGAGAGAGGGGTGGGCGATGGACGTTGTGGATGGCAACCTGCAAAGCCTCTGCAGCTCTGCAGTCATGTCAACAATAAACAAGAGAAACGTTGTGCACTAGCGTCCTTCCGCTGCAGCCAGAAGCGAGCGGCCGACAAAAGGCCAGGTCCAGGGGTAGTGGCTCAGTCAGCAACCGTAAACTAGGTACCTGGACACCTGGGAACTTGGGTACACCCTAGCCCCCAACCCCTGCTGTGTGCACGGGCCCTGCCCATCAATCAGCCTCCAAACCCAGAAGCTAATCACCCAGAGCCAGACAACAGCCAACGTACCTGCGGGTAGTCCAGCCAGCACCTTGCAGGCCAGCCCAAAAAGTCAAAGGAATTCCTGCCCGTTTTCCAACTTGGAGCTTTTCGAATTGCACTTCTACAGTAGCATTCAAACAACGACAGATCGGGCCTGACTGACTCCACCAGTGCCCACCTCCTCCGGCCTTGAAGTTCCTCCCCATACTTTGCTGCCTTCTCAATCAGGACGAGCCCCGGCCGCCCAAACGAATCCGCTTTCCCGCAGCTCCCAGACACCCACGACACCTCTCACCTCAATTGCTCCCATATCGTCTGGGTCGACTCCACCAACCGTACAAAGACACAATGTCCGACATCGAGGACAACGACTCCCGCCAGGCGTCAGCCGCGCCTGAGGACGATGCCATGTCCGACCGCGACTCCGATATCCTGTCCGACGTCGACGTCGGCGACCTCGAGGAGTACGATCCCCTCAAGGCCAACATCGAGCAGCGGCCCGTGGACATCGACGAGGACGTCGCCAAATCTCTCAAGGCTACCAAGCGGAAGCGCGCCGAGGGCGAGACGGCAAAGAGGCCCAAGGAGGGCCGAAGGCCCAAGAAGCGCCGCACCGAGGACGGCGACGAGGTTAGCGCCGCCGACGGCACCATAATCGAGGGCAAGAGGCGGCGCGCCGGCGCTGGGGAGGGCGGCGGTGGCGAGAAGAAGTCCAAGGCCCGCTCCAAGCGGCCGACGCCGGAGCCGGAGAACGACGAGCACCTGACGCCCGAGCAGAGGCGGGCGAGGGCCATCGAGAAGGCGATGGATGCGGCCATCAAGGGCAAGAGCAACAAGAGGCGTACCAAGAAGGACGAAGTGGTATGTCGCTTCAGACTGCATAATTCACCGTGTAGGTTCGTTCGGGGGATCATGAGCTAACGCTACAACGTGTAGGATCTGGAAGAGGAGCTCGACGATATCATCGCGGACCTGAAGGTCAGGATGGAGACCGCGTGCCAGGAGGACAACTTGGCGCGCGACGACGATCGCGCCGCCGTGGCCAAGATCAAGCTGCTGCCTGAGGTCATGACACTGCTGAACCGGCAGCACATCCAGCACGCCATTCTGGACCCAGAGACGAACTTCCTGCAGGCGGTCAAGTACTTCCTCGAGCCCCTGCGGGCCGACGGGAGCTTGCCCGCCTACAACATCCAGCGCGAGATCTTCACCGCCCTGACCAAGATGCCCATCGAGAAGGAGGCCCTGTCGTCCAGCGGCATCGGCCAGGTCGTGCTCTTCTACACCAAGACCAAGCGCGCCCAGCCAGAGATCAAGCGCATGGCTGAGCGGCTCATGGGCGAGTGGAGCAGGCCCATCCTCCAGCGGACCGATGACTACAAGAAGAGGCAGATCGAGGCGCGCTATATCGACCCAGAGTACGTCGTCCACCCCTGTCACATCTCTAGAAAAGACCCGTTTACTAACCAGCCACCTCCACAACCACAGCGCCCTCAAGTACAGAGGCCCCGGCTCCCAGTCGGCCCCCTCATCGCAACAGTCCCTCGCCCACCGCCCTGGGAACAACGGCAAGAAGCAGAGCTCTGTGTCCGAGAGGCTGGCGGCCAAGCGAGCCGCCGCCCTCGAGCCCGTACGGGCGAACCCGAACCGTGCCCGCCCCGCCGGCATGCCAGTCAGCTACACCATCGCGCCCATTTCGCAGCTCGGCAGCGGCAGCGGGCCCGAACACAGGCCCGTCGGCGCGGGCAGCATGGAGGCGTTCAGGAAGATCACGCAGGGCAAGAAGAAGAACTAGGCACCTTGTCCTCGAAGGTTCGAAGGGAAGATGGTGGTTTGGTGCGTGGTCGAGGGCGGAGGGCGCTGGGCGCTTGGTCTGGCGGCTGCGCGGGCTCTTTGGCGGACTGCTGGTTTCGGGTACGGTGGGCGGTGGCATGCCTGCCTGCTCGCTGCGTATGCGTGGTTGCAGCCGACGCAACCCCTGCTGTGGCACGAGCGGAGGAGGCAACGAACATGACGCGGTTTTGGTTCCACAAGCAGGAGTCATGGGGAACAGAGAAGGGGCCTGGCGGAAGAGTGGGCGTAATGCGTGAAATGGGACGTTCAACGTGAAGTTCGGTGAACGTAGCTCGGTGAGCGCAAGCATCTGGACCGAGGCGATTGCTTGATCGGGCCGGATTACTTGGTCGGTCCATCAGGGTGCACTCGCCAGGTTGAGTTTTCTGTCATGTTCTGCCCCAAAAACAAAGACGAAGCATAGTACTGCATATGGAGGCAAGAGCGAGGCTAGAGGGATCAGTTCAGATACAATGCGATCCAAACCTCCAAACCCATGGCCCTCTGCAGACTGGAAGCTGTGCATATTTCTGGTGTAGGCTACTGGTCGTCCCAGACGGTGAGCCAGCCACGTAAATCCGGATCAATATATACATCATATCAACACTCGTACGTGCTGGCATAGAGAAAGGATTTAAGTAAATTCCAAGTAGGTTCAATGAAATTATACTGTGCTATCGTCATTTATTGTAATATGATATGATGTGATGTGTATATATATATATATGTGTGTGTTAGTGTTCTGTTATTGTTGACTTCCATGATCCATCCAACTCCATACATGAGTGATGATGCTCCCCATTCCCGTCCATCCGGCTGAAAAGGTCATGCCATCATTACAACTACTTCACATCACGGGGGCCGGCCATGACATGCCCCCGCCGCCCCCCCAAGACTTCTTCCCCCGAGGACAATAGCAGCAGTGACCGTCGGCTTGCGGTCTTCGTGGTTTCGAGGACACCCCACAACCCTACTTCCCTGCCTCTGTGACGCACCTCACCCTGGTGCCATGCCTCGCCGTGCCAAGCCCACGGATCTAGCCTGGCTGTTCCGCCCTGTGGCTGTCTTGGTGTGCTTGCTTCAAGAGACATTATGTTCAGCAACAATCAAATGGCAACAAAGGCTTCGAGTTTTCGTCACCGTCCGACCCTTGGCAAAGAACGCTCACTCTCGAGTTTTCTGCTCTCGTTGTCTGTCTCTCTCTTGCCTCTTCTCATCTTTCTTTGTCTATTCAGGGGAAGGGCCATGGCTTGACCCCGATGATCTGGATCGGTGCTCCTCCTCTTCCTCCTCGCCTCTCGTCTCCTGCAGACCCCTTGAGACTTGTAGTACTAGCTTCTTCATCTGAGCAACGGTCCTCACCAACACGAAGACTCACACCGCCATCGGCATCGCTGTCCTCATCGACCAGGGGACTTTCGCCACCTTCTTGTTGGTCATCACTCTCTTTCACGTTATCACCGTCGTCTGTCTCGGCCTCGGTTGGCGGAGTGCGACGGGGCAGCAGGTAGTCGAGCCCATCCCTTAGAGACAGTCCCTACCGCCTCCGGATCTCGTTCGCCCACCCGTCTATCCCCTCGCCCCGGGAGCCGACCTCCAGTCCCTCGATCTTGATGCCCTTCATCCCTGCCGTATCCTCCAGCCAGACGTGACCGGCCATACCGCCGGCGTTGGCCCGCTTCTCCGGAACGAGCTCCAGCATGGGTACCAGGAAATCCGCAATGCGCTTCGCCTCCTCCTCCTTGAAGTGGTACTTCTCCCTCAGGACGTCGGGCAGCGCCCAGTGGCGCAGCCGGTGGATATTGCGCAGCTCGCCTTTGCGATTGAATATCTCCTGTGACCACTTGCCTGACAGGCACAGTGACTTCGGGAATGGCCCCATTAACTCTATTATCTGGGCTATGTGATCGTCGTCCTTGCCATACTTAGTGCCGGACTGAGGGTCGAAGAGATAGTCGCCAGTTATGAGTTCGAACACCTGCAGGAATAACGGTGGTCAACTCATGGCTACATCGAAGTGGCTGCGCACGCGGGCTTTGTGGATTAACTCACCATGGCAGCCATGCTCCATACATCCGTGCTGGCCCCCCATTTCGAACCAAGTATCACCTCCGGTGACCGGTATTGTCTTGTCTGGATATCGTTTGTGAAGTGGTGGTTCACCCAGCAGGCATTGCCGAGGTCCGCAATCTTGACGCTGATGACGTCCAAACCGAAATCTTCGGCCTTCCGCTTTTCACCTGTCGATGACGAAGAGGAATTGGAAGACTTGTCCAGGGAAATGCCAGATACTTCTTTCGTTAGGAGATCCCTGAAGCCAAGGAAGCTGTCAGTACGGGCAGCTACAGTGAGTGGGCAATAGAGCAGTGCGGCTCAAGCGTCAATTTCAAAGGCATACTTACGCTGTCTTTTCCCGCTGTTTCTGCTTGATCTCGTCGGTCGGTGATGCTTCTTTCGGTTTGTTGCCTGCAAAGAGTTAATTGTTAGCGAGACAGGCTCAGACTGGTGACGCGACACGCGGCAGATTGACGTGGATAGTCTCTGGGTCTGCACGCCCAGAGTGTGGCGCGGGGGACACGGCGCGGGGCTGGTTGGCCTCTTGGTGGCGGGTTTGGGGGCCGATTACGCGGTGCGGAGCAAAGCCGGCAGAGGAGCTGGGGACTCACCTTCGTTCAGCATCTGGCCAAGGCTGGAATGTGAATTTGGTGATGGGAAGAGGTTGTTGTGGTTGAAAGATGCGTTGAGTGGCGAGGGTAATGGCTGGCTGCCGGTGATCAACGTCCTACGTCTCCTCCGACCGTTGCGATTGTTCTCCTTATCTGATGGCTCGCTTTTGACAACCTTCTTGACGATCTGCTCGACGTCGCCGATCTCAATCAATACGTTCTCGGGCTTGAGGTCGGTGTGAATGATGCCGCACTCCCGGTGGAGATAGTCGAGCCCCAGCAGAACTTGCTTCGTGATTTGCTTGACCAACGGCATGGGTATGCCTCGATGGTTCCATTTCTTGATCAGACCCAACAGATTCTCGCCTAGAACCTCAAAAACCATGCAGACGTGCGTTCCGTTGGGGCCCTTGTGTTCGAAGGAGTCGAGGAGGCTGACGACGTGTTTCCGGCCGGGATGCTCAGGCTTCGCGGTGACAATCTTCTGGAGTAACTTGATCTCGTCGATGGCGGTCTCTGTGTAGTGTGCGGCGGAGCGCACGACCTTGAGGGCGACATGCTTGCCGGTGGTGTTGTCGCGCGACAGCCAGACGGTGGAGAAATGGCCCCAGCCCAGCTTGCGCACGACTGTGTATTTGCCATCCTTGAATTTTTCGCCAATGGAGACGGGGTGGTAGCCTCCCTTGCAGTAGTCCTCAGAATCCTCCTCGTCGGCTGTGTTTTCGGCGGCGTCCTCTGGGGAGGATGAGGATGTGGGGGATGCTTGCATGGCGGAGAGTTGGGCGGTCCTGTGGATGGGCGCAGACTGTCAGCAATGTGGGAATGGGCCAAGTTGAGATGGGTCGGGGCAGTCAACAAGGTTATCGCAAAGCGGGAGTGGTAGTCGCGCGGTATTGGGCACTAGCGGTCGACGGGACCAGATAGGCAAGGCTTGTGCTCTCTGGGGTCGGAATGTGGTAGTGCGAGGCAAAGTAAAGTGAAGTGGCGGGTGAGCGCGGGCGGTGGGGATGCCTGGTTGTGGCTTTTTTTTGCCCGGGTTGCGCCCAACTATGAGGCAATACGGAGCGGAGCGAAGCGAATCTGATCGAAAGTGAAATGAAGTGCGGTGCCGGCGCTCGCACTCGTAACCAAAGCGGGTGCTGACAAGGCAGGACAGGCGCACTCGCACTCGCACTCTGGAGCTTGACATGCACACCTGCACTCATTACGGGGAGGGTCTGGAAGGGGCCAGTGGGTGTGGGTGTCAGACGCAAAGTGGGCGGGCGGTAAAAACCTTGTTTTCAACATTGGGTCCTTCTTGTCGGTTTCGCGCAGAGGTGGAAGAGTGTTCTTGGACTTGAACATGGTCATAGTCTCGCAGTATTCTAGGAGGATGGCAGAGGGCGGTCGGTCGGTCGAAAAGGGTGGAGGCTGAGGAGGCGGGAGGGAAATCCTGGAGACGCAATTGGCATCTCCAGAGTGGATGTGGCTGTGGATGCGGATGCGGATGCGAATGTGGATGTATGTTGTTGTTGGAGGTGGAGGAGGAGCAAGACAAGGTAAGGAACGAAGACGAGGACCGAGGACAAGGGCGAGGGCGAAGGCATGCAGGTGCAGTTGCAGGTGCAATCCGGTCCAGAGCAGTCCAGGTTGCAGATGCAAGAGTGCCCAGCCCGAGTGGGAGTGGGATGGGGAGAGTTGGGGATGGAGATGAGATGGGATGGGGATGGGGATGTTTGAGATGGCAAGTCAAGCTAGGTCAAGTCATCGCATCAGGTCAAGGCAGGTCAAGAGATGCGGTAGTCCAGACCACCGCAGTTTAGCCCACTCCAGTCCTGTCCTCATATGCTCAAGTCCGACCAGGAAGATCAATCAAGTGTGCAGCGCAGTGCAGTGCCGTCCACTCGTCGAGTTGGGGATGGAACATGGAGGCGGGCGGCAGGGAGCGATATGCGCAGGTGGATGGATCATAGTAAATGACCGACCATTGACTGCGAGTGACATGGGTGTTGGGTGGGGTTGGAGGGGGACCAAGGTCAAGCGCCTGCACTGGGACTGGGCTCACTCGGGCTCAGGTCCAGGTCCAGGGCCGGGTCAAGGCTCAGGCGCAAGGCTCAGGCGCAACGCTCAGGTGCCAGTTGCCAGGTGCGACTGGTGCAGGGTGCAGAATTAAGGTGAGGGCCATCCCGTCCTGTCGCATCGCATCGCACGGCATCGTGTGTACCCAAGGCACCAGACCAAACCAGACCAGGACCAGCCGCAGCCCAAGACCCAGGCAGGCCTGGCCGGCTCTGTTCCAGTCTCAGTCTGTGGTTGCGCGGATAGCAGAGCAGGCGGGGCCAAGAGACAAGCAGGCAGGCGCAAGCGCAGGCAGGAGGCAGGCAGGCAGGGCGGGCGGGTAAGGCAAGCGGGAAGGCACCAGTCAGCGGGGTCCTCATTCCGCGCCGGTCCTGATTCAGCAGCGACTGACTGCGGCTGCTGCCAGCCAGGCTTCCCTCCCTCTGGCGCTGCGGAAGTCACCATACCATCCCGCTCTCTTAGCACCGGTTTGGCCCCCATGAACATATTTCCTCCTCAATGCCACTCCCTTCCTCCTCCTCCCATCTCAAACTTTTGGAGGGAGAAGGCGGGGTTCGGGGGTTGGGAGGGATGCTTGTTGAGGATGCTGCTCATCAAAACGTATCAAGAGGCAGACAGATGCCCTGTCCAGCCCAGCCCAGCCCAGCCATGACCTTTCGAAGCTTGTCTCGTCCTGTCATGGGCCGGGAGGGTGCCCATGATACAAAGCCTCACCCCTCCCCATAGCACTGACCTCATATCGGCCTGCTCCACTTTTGTGCAGCTGCCGCCCTCGAATGAGATGACACAATGGTCTACCCCGCCACTCTGAGCAGCACCGAGGGGCAACAGCGAGCCAGGCAACACACCGTACCACGGCACAGCATAGCACTTGCATATGTATGCGAGGCATATCAGGACGGCCAGACAGATAAACAGCCAGAACGACAGGCTCAGGCTCAGGCTCATGCTCAGAGACAGACTCGGGAGACACCCGCGAGGGACCCAAGACCCAAGACACACAACGGCCCACCAGCATGAACGGCCACACAGCTGCCCACTCCCACCAGTGACGGCTGCAGTCGGTGACCAAGCTCAGCAGACATTGTCGCCACAGCCTCAGATCCAGATCCCATGGGAGTGGTGGTTGGGAGCCAAGGGTCTTCCGTTCTCGCAGCTCTTCTCTCTCGGCCGCAATGAACTCGTGGCCACAACCTTGCCCTGCTCTGCTTTGCATGCTTCCATCTGAGCTCATTCTCCCTGTTTCCGCCACCCGTGCGCCCCCAGCTTTGAACCGTCCGGCTGGTTGACTTGACTGACTGACTGACCCGCGATCCTGAACCAGAATGCGACCTGTGCTCAACTCACTTCCCATGCTGCGGAACACAGCACAGCACAACACAGGACGAGCAGCGGCACACAGACCAGATCCAGATTCAGATCCCGACAAGACAGGGTTGGCCTGCGCAGCAAAACTGACGAGAAGAGAACGACAAAACAATACCATGCAACGATCCAGCAACACAGACAGCAGGAAAGAAAATAGAACCAGGAAAAGCATATACATACCCTGTCGCTGGGTTGTCCGTCGTGATGATTGGCTTCAGACCCTCCTTCTTCCGTTTCTTGTTGATAGCCGCCACCGTCTGCGCCGCCGTCGTCGGCGAACTGCTTCCGATCCCATTGTTATTACCACCGCTCCCGTTTGCCCCAGAAGCAGTGGCGTCGGCGGCAGCCGTGGCGGCGGCGGCAGCAGCCACGGCTGTTGCCGCTGCTGAAGCAGTCGTCATCGATGGTGCCGCCGCCGCGGTCACCATCGCGGGCGTGATGGCCGGCGCCTCCTGCCGGGACTGTTGCATCTTGACAGTCGGCGTCGCGCCGCTTCCGCCCGTCGTCAGTCCCACGCCCCCGGACACTGCGGCGCCTCCTCTGGTGCTGTCTTCGTTGTTCGTCGTGGTCGCCGTCTTGGACGCGGGTTGCGGTTGGGAAGATTGGTGCGCCTCTGGTTCTTGCTGATGCTGTGTCTGCTGCTGCTGCCCGCCGTTCATGGTCGGTCGTTTATCTATAGATCGATTTCGGTACGATTATCAAAAGGAGCGAGATCGATGGAGCTTCGTGGCTTCGTCAACGCCTGGCTGGCTCTGCAATCGGAGCGGAGACGGCCGCGGTCGCTTTTTGTGGTGTTGTGTGAAAATGTCTCGGTCTTGTTGTTTCCAATGTTCCAAGGCGGGCTAAATGTGGTAGGCCTTTTGGAAGAAAGGTTATGTCTGACCCGTGTTTTATGGATGGTGCTGAGGTTGGTATTGTTGCCCCTTGTTGTTGTTATTGACAGAGGCAAATTTTTGTCGAGCTGCAAAGGTAGGTAAGATGGGAAGATGCTGATGCGAACATGCAATACGCTGGCGCTGAGCTGCGGTGGATGGCAATGATGATGATGCTGACAATGCTGGTGCCGCTGATGCCGCTGATGCTGCTAGTACACTGAAAGGAAATGGGCAGCGGTGGTGAGTGGCAGGGGCTGCCCGATTGCGATTGGCGATCAATCTGAGCTTTATTATTTTGGTCCTGTCTCTGTCCTGATGTGCCTGGTGCTGCTGCTTGTGTCGAGGGGCAACGCTGCGGCTGCACGGCGGGTCGCGTCAGGCTGATCTTCAATTTGTCCTTCCCTCTCTTGGCCACAATCTTGATCTGGAGGAGGGGCTGGGTCCCCTTGTTGGGCTGGGCTTTTTTCTCTGTCTCCTCCCGCTTCCAAGGTTGTTGACTTTGGCAGGGTTCCTGGGCCGCGAAGGATTTATCTGGGGAACCGCGGGTTGGGACAGGCGCGGAAGAGCATGCCAGGATCGAGCTGATTAGACCTGGGTGGGCGGCGAAAAGATGGCCTAGATGCAGTAGATGCGATATGTAAATTGATGGCTGGGGGGCTGGTTCGAATCCGTCCGAGGGTTCGAGCGCGAATATCAAAACACAACGGTGATAGCAGATCAAGCAACAAGCAGATTGGAGAGGAAGAAGGCAGCGCTGCGTTGCACGTTTCGGGGCTACCTTGGGCTCTGGATTTGTGCAGTGCACGATCAATTCGGCGGCGTGGCTACCGAAGAGCGGTGGGTCGGGGCCAAAGCTCCTGGTGGTGACGCAACAGCAGAGGAGCGAGGATGTCCAGTCGATCTAGGTCGTGGTAGATGGAGGGTGGCCGGTAGGCGAGCCAGCCAGGAGACAGATAGATTACTGGGTACCTAGGCAGGTGTTTGGTCCAGGAGTGTCAGACAGACCGAACAGAACTTGTCCTTCTTGTCTCGTCAAACAGAGCCTTGAAGCAATTAGAAGTTGATGGTCGGGGGATGCGCGTGGGTTCCTGCTGATGGCCCGTGAGGGAGCTCCGGGGATCGAAGTCGCGTTGCAGGTCGCCAAGAGTGGATGGGTACTTGGACCGTCGGTCGTATCGGCGGGCTGACTGACATGTACGTCAAGGTCGACTGTGATGAGGGTAGGACCGACAGGATGAGGATGACATGATAACGCTGCCGGTCGCACAGGGAGTAGACTGCTGCATCTGGGGAGGAGGAGCAAAAAGAAGAGATGTCTGGCAAAAAAGATTAGACTATTGTACATGGCGGGAACCAGTCTCGCCTCGTTTTAGAGCCCGCCAGAATCCCAAGCCCGTGGAGGGGCAGCTCCTGCCCAGAGTGTGCCATTCCTGCGCAGTTGAGCCGGGCTGCCCAATCCTTTCCCAACCCATCAATCATCGTCAATTATCAACCATTAATCATCATCCCATTGGCAGTCCCTACCCGGATCGAAATCCAGTCCAGTCTCGTCTGCGCCGTATTATCGCCGCCCAAACGCCTTGAGAGTGTGTGCTCGCTCCCGGGGCGCGAAGGACAATAATTCGGGTCACACAACAACAAAAACAACATTGACAAGTCGACGTGCTCGCGCTTGCCCAGGTGGTTGTTAGTCTACGGCAGGAAGCTGCTCACCGTCCATGGCGCGACCAAGGAGGACCCTGTGGGCAAGTAGCACAAGCGCCTGCCAATTGTCCTGGGCTGGAGGCACCTCGCCCGTGGCTCCCGCAGCTGCCCCTCCATTTTGGTGTAGGTCGCTGCTGCCCATAAAAGCATCGCAACTTATTCCCCAGGGCGGCGGGTTGCCCAATGGGGCAAGTGCGCAGGGCCAGAATCGCAAGCCATGCCTGGAGGGGAGGGAGGGTCTTTGTTAGGTCGTCGGCCGGTATACGCCAGTCTCGAACCAGACACGGATGGATTTATCACTGCTAGTAGGTAGACTATGCATCTACCCAGGTTCTGCCTTTCTTCCTCGCAAGACTGAGCACGATGATCCCCTCTACCACATGTCAATCCCAACTGATCAGTCCCGCCCGCCCCTTGAGATGATATCCGGGAAACCTTAAAAAGCGCACCAACCCGCCGGCCGCCCAACCAAGAACAGGAAAGGGCTGGGCTGCTGGGACGCCCACTAAAATGACCTCATCGTGGCACCGTGGCTCCCTGACACCACCGGGCCTGTCATCCAACAGCCACGACCCACCCCCGGTGCGACCCTGCGATTTCGACCACAGATGGCTGGCTGACCCCACGCAGCCCACGCAGCCCGCGATGGATGGGTGTGGGTAGTAGTGTAGCAAAGCAGCCAGAGCAGCTCACCTCAACAACACCATGACTTACACACCGTCTATCAGTCCACACCACAGTCCACAAAGGTCAGCGAGCCAGCCTGTCACACACCGTCCGTCATGCCGCATCCCCTTGCGGCGGGGGCGCCAACCCCGACCTTTATTCAAGACTAGCTTTCATGAGGACCGCCCGCCAAGCAAATAGCCAGATCTCGCAAATCTCGAATAGATAGATGACCCCTTGCGGTACTGCTGGCTCGTTCAATGGTCGCACGCGTGACACGCGACGTACAAGCGTAACCGTACCGCACAGGATGCTTCCGTCTCTTTTCTCCTGAGGACCGCTATCGGTTTTGCATACTCCTCTACAGCCCAAGAGGGAAAGGTAAATCACCATCACATGATGCTGTCCCTAGTACAGGCACATATGCTCTCAAACGGCTCTTTATCGGCGTGGGGGCAAGGCTCGCCCGTGAATCTTCTGACCTGAGACAATCTTGGGTGGCGACATGGGAAGATCACGAGACGAGCCACGATACACAGGGCCACCCGAAAGTGAAGACGTCACGGCATGATTCACTCAGGCTGGCCTGTCTCGTTTGGTTCATTAATTTTTCGCTGCTCCTTCCTGCGACTGACTCGATCCGCCGCTGTATCAGGCATTCCGGTTGGGAGAGTCGGGATGCCTGCCTCGGTTGGCTCGGGTGAGCAATTCCTGCGTGATTGCTGTACAACCTCATTTTGACAACCGCGACGTGCACTGTTGAAGACTGCACTCCGTAACCTTTTCACTTGTCATTTCTTGCAAGGGATATAACCCAGGAGCACTCATGGAGAGATCACTCAGAGCAGGCTACCTAGGCACTCCAAGGGTGGTAACAAAAACCATCCCGGCTTTGAGTGCGGATTCAAGAAGAATTGATACAACAGAGTGAATTTATGGGTGGCGTGTACGATATGTCTTCTATAATCTTCGCATAGTCTACCGTTTTACGTTGTTCGCGGCAAGATCCGACCTAGCCACGGGCGAGCGCTAGATGTCCAAAGCCTTCGAGGCGTATGTGTCACCAGCTTTGAACAATACCGTAACTTAATTGTCAGTACCGAAGGCATCCCGCGTCTATCTGTATCGTGATAGAATTGGATTTCCATAGTGGGGCGTTCTCAGTACCTAGGTCCATAAGTTCCTAAGCTTCACACGTCGTCGCAGGTTGCCAAACAGGTTGAGGAGTATTATTCTGTTTCTACTTGCCACAACCTAGTCACTGTCATCGCTACTGGTATCCACGTCGCTGTCAGAGCTCGCCGACTCCTCACTGGAACTCCCAAAATCGCTGGCAGAGCCACCACCGCGGCGCCGCGCCTCGAACCGCCCGATGGAAGCCTTGGACACCTCGTGCAAGTACTCCGTGTTCAGCCCCTGGCCGCCGACGTCGACACGATCCGGCACGTACAGCTCGTCTCCGTCGGCCGAAAGCTGTGGCGTGTGATCGGGGAGGAGGTCCGTCAGCAGGACCTTGACCAAAGGTGCTGCGGACCGGTCGACGAGCCGGGAAATGCACCTGATGGCCTGCCCTTCGTCTTCTGCGTCGCCGCTCATCCGGGACAGTGAGTCGATGATGATGAACACCGACTCATTTTCTGAGACCTCGTCCACCAGGCGCTTGAGCAACTTCAGTGCCGGACGCAGGCGTGTCTGGCTCCTCCCGCAGTATTTGTTCGTCCCGAGGAAGGACAGGTCCGTATGGTTCTGAAGCTGGTGGGCAAGTTGCGAGTTGAGGCTGTTTATGACGGCGATTGTGCCCGATGTGTCAGCCCTGCGGGGGCCCTCTTCGGTGCGCAGCCCGCAGGAGTGATGTAAGACGGGGCTGTCGTGGCTCTGACGAAGGCTCTGTGCCAGGAAGGCGGACGAGAGCGACATTGCGTTCGCCTGGGTCTGCGGTGCGGTCTGGCATTGTCTAACAAGTAGGCCTAATTCGGGCTTTTCGAGCCAGGACAGGAGCTTCTCCGATGTCATGATATACTGAACCTGATCCTGATGCGTCCGGTGCAAGTTGTGTTGGAGTGACTCGCGCATGTCTCTCTCGCCTGCCGAGACAAAATCGAGCGGAAGCCGCGCCGACCACTGCTTGAGTGCCTTCTTGTCAAGTCGTGGTGACGGCTCAGGCGTAACTGATCGAGATGATATCAATATTGGCTGGTCGTTGTCACGAACTAAGAGGTAGTCCAGTCCGCGAGCTGTGTCAAAGAATTAGCAACTCTGTACTTCGCATATGGCGTGCGGTCGACTCACCCTTTCCAGTGCGGGAGTCGAAGGCTTTGCTGCTGGTCAGAAGTTTGTGCGTCATGTTGAGGACGCCCAAGTTCGCTCCTTCATTCGAATCTCCTCGCTGGCATGTCCGCGTTTTTCTCCGTCCTCGCTAGTCTTCCGCGCCTTGGGTTCCAACGCGTCCAGTCTATTTGCCTCTTGTTGATTTCCTTCCAGTCGGGCTAAGCTTCTCTTGACTGAAAGAATGTGGTCTTCCAGTCCTCCCAGCCTTTGCTCACTGCAAATGTGCGCCTGTCCTTTGAAATTACTCAACGCCTCTTCGAGATCGTTGAAGCCTTCAGCAATCTCCTTTCCGTAACTTTTGCCTTTAATTACGGCCTGAAATCCCTTCTCTAAAGTATTTTGTCAGAAGACTCAGACAAAACGACTTTCATGTAAAGAGGTAGCAGAGGTGATCACCTACTGGCGATGTTCCTCGAGAGTTCCTCCACAATTCTGTCAAGAACCTTGAATAGGCATACGGACACCGAGAAAGACAGAAAGCAGGCCGACCACATTTTGAGCGACAAGTCTACGACCAGGCACCTGATGCAGGGGACGAAACCGGGGATGTAGCCAATTTGTCCAAGAGAGACAGATACACTCCCTTCTCCATTGATTCCTATTTTGTTTACTTCGACGGTACGAGGTTCAGCCCTGGGCAGACTTGGTTCGAGTTCAAGCCGTTTGAAGGAGTCCTCAAGGTTCAGTCTCTCCGTGCGTATCCAATGCGCTACAGACCTACTAGCGATTTGAGTGGGTCTATGGATCTATGTGAGCGTGGACGCCAATTCTTGGACCTCACCGTCGTGGATCACAGACACTACGATGGTGTCACGCTGGGGAAAGACAAGGAAGACATCAACAGCCCAGTTATTATAGACTTTAAGATGGGACTTGAGAACAACAAACAATGGGACCCGAATTTCCCATGGTATTTCATGGCCAGCTGGAAAGCCGAACCAAGACAAATCCTTGAAATACCCACGCGCTCATGTTCCCACGTCGATTGCCACAAGTCTGGCTGCCTGGAGGACGCCTATCCAGCCCATCAGACGGAAGGGTGTGAGAAGAAGATGCGCAGCTTGGTCAGTCAGCTTGACGAGCTCGAGATCCCGACCTCTAGGTCTGGGCCTGGGCTGGAGAAGTTGAGGTCCGATATGGCGAAGATGGGCTTCCTGGATCTGCTGCTAGGCTACGGCTTGGCATACGTCTTGCGTGGTCTCAAATGGGGTACGTTATCCGTCCATTACTGCTGAAACATGGCTCACAAATATCTGCATTCAAGGTAGATATTACAAGCCTTGGAGAAATCCGACAAGAGGAAGGCTGGGACGACCTTGTTCTGCCACAAAGGCACAAGAATCTTGTGCAGGAAATGGTTCAAACACATGCCGCTGGCTCTAGGTCTGCGTCTGGACACACGCAGGCGAACTTTGAGGTGGACTTGGTTCGTGGAAAAGGTATGCATCTCCCTCATATTTATGTAATAGTCAGTTCCTGTCACTTGTGGCTTGTTGTGCTTACAGTTTTCAGGCAAAGGATGCATTCTTTTGTTGCATGGCGAGCCAGGAGTTGGCAAGACAAGTACTGCAGGTCAGTCGTATTCAAAGCTCCGAAGGAGTCTCATCTTCATGATGAAATCTGTAGTTGACCTTTGCAGAATGTGTTGCTTTATACACGAAGCGACCACTATATCCGATCACATGCGGTCAGTCCGAATTTAACGCGGTTTTCAGAGCGTTCGCGGAGCTGTTCTAAACACTTACTCGTACAGGGGATATTGGGACTGATCCCGGGGAGCTTGAGCAGAACCTGGAGAAACATTTCACTCTAGCCCACAAGCGGGGCTGCGTCTGACTTCTTGATGAAGCAGACGTGTTCCTAGCGAAGAGAGATGTAAGTATATGGAGGCGTCATTCAAGTTTTCTTCACATATCTGGGAACGGTTAATGTCAGTATTCTCACACTAGGCTATGGAAATTTGATGTTGCAAGGAATGGTCTCGTCTCCGGTAAGTAAGAACAAATGGATCGTGTTCTGAAATCTCTAAGATCTGGCCACCATAGTGTTCCTCCGAATTCTGGAGTACTACTCTGGGATACTGTTTCTCACGACAAATCGCGTGGGTACCTTGGACCCTGCGTTCAGATCAAGAATCCACGTCACACTTTACTACCGCAAGCTGAACAGAAAGCGGGCCATCATGATCTGGAAGACAAACATTAGGAGACTCCACAAGCCAAACGAAGACCGTGCTGAACAAGGTCTGAAAACAGTCGAATTTGACGAGAAGAGTATCGTCAAGTACGCGGAGAAGCACTTGGCGGATCTGAAGTGGAACGGCAGACAGATTCGCAATGCCTTCTAGACAGCGATTGCCCTGGCCGACTTTGAAGCAAGCGACTCCGCGGAAAAGGTTCCAATCATGACCAAGAATCATTTCGCCAGGCTCGGAAAAGCTGCGGCAGAATTCGATGAGTATTTGGAGTCGGTACACGGCATGGACGAGGACAAGATGGCGAGGAGAGACCAGGAGCGGGCCACATTCTCCCGGAAGCTTGGGAAGAGGAGATCAAAGCGGGATTCAGACGACGACGACAGCGACACCTCCGACGAAAGCGATACCTCCGACGAAAGCGATACCTCTGACGAAAGCGATTCGGACAGCTCTTCCGAAAGCTCGAGCTCCGATTCTTCTGACAGCGACTCGGCTGACTCTCGTGCGAAATCTAAGAAGAAAAAATCAAAGTCGAAGTCGAGCAAGATTAAGAGCAAGGACAAGAGGAAGCAGAAGCAGAAGGACAAGGCACCGAGCGGCAAGAGCAGCAGGAGCGGTCATGCGAAGGATAAACGGCCATCGATGAAGACTGATTTAAGGGATTGATGAGATTTGGGTCAACACATGGCGCGTGAGTATTGTAAGCCCCTGGGGCATCTTACAACTGAGAGTTTCCGTTCGAGCATCTAGAGCAGATTCATGCTTTGCTACCTCTCCGTCACCTTGTCAACAGATTACGTCAATACAAAGTCAATAAACTGTTCACAATAAGCGTCTGCAAAAGTAAATAGGCCACAATGACCTGAAAAGGACCAAGGGACGTTCGCAGACAGCCAAAAAGTGGGAATCGCATAGACCCCCAACAGCTCGGTGCCAGTGAACACAAAATCAGCCTGCTGACCCAACATCATTTGTTGGAAGGTGCGAGGGTCGTATGCCCATACGCTAGCGCTAGCCTACAAATAGGCTCCTTCTAAGCGTTCAATAGCGGGAGATTTCTCTCCTTAATAATATAATAATCAACTATTATTTGCTTTATTACTTTATTAGATTATAAGCTTAGCATTGCTTAAAATATCTTAAAATATTAGGAAATATTAATACCCTTATTTTTATAATTATTTTTATACTTAAATTATTAAGATTTTAATATTACTAGCCTTTGCTTATATATTATTATTATACTTTATAATAGCTATTATAGCTAATAATAACTTATAATAATTTAGCATTCCTACCTTATTTAATATTTTAATTATTTACTTCTTTTTATTTATTTATTTATATTAATTAATGTTAATTATTATAAATAAATAAATATATAAATATTATTTAAAATATATTTAAAGATATATAAATATTATTTAAAAGATATTAAATATATTTAATTTTAAGCTTAACTTATTATTTTTCTTAAAGTTAAACTTAAAAGGGAAGAACTTTTTAAATTAAAGAATAGCATAAAGTTATAGCTTTTAATTTATTAATCTTAGTAAGTATATTATAAGCATTAAGGAATAATTAAGAGAAAGTATAGCCTTTATAAAATAAGAAAAGCTTAATAATTAAGCCTTTATTATATTTTTAAGCTTAATATATTTAAGCCTTATAATATTTATTATATTATATAAAAAATCTTTTAATGCTTAAAGAATATTAATTAATTAATTTAATTATAATATTAGCAACTTAATTATTTATTTCTTTTATTAATTAATAAACTTATAATATAAGAATAGCTTTAATTTATAAAGCTATTTAAATGCCTTTTAAAACCTTTAAATAAAACTTTATATTAAAATCTTAATATTAAGATAATTAATTAAGAAATTAATAAAGTTACTTTTTAAAAGTAATAAGGTTAAAGGCTCTTTTTTCTTAATAATATTATTAAATATTATAAATAATATTATTAATAACCTAAGCAATTAAAACCTTATAATATTTTTTAAAATTAAACTTAAGATAATAAATATTATTTCTTATATAAAGATTAAATAATTTAAAGCTTATTTTATTTTTACTTAAAAAAAGTTAATATTAAAGAGTATAAAAAAGGCTATAAAGTTTATATTAATAGGTATTAACTTTATATTAAATAATAAAAAATGCATTTAATGCTATATATAAAACTTTATATTTATTAATTATTTATATATTAATTATATAAAGCTTATTAAATATAAAGCTAATTAAAAATAAAAAAAAGTAAAAAATAAGTTATTATAAATTAAGCTATAAATAAAGAAGTTATTAAAATTTTTAATAATAAGAAAGAAATAATAATATTATATATTTAAATTAAAATTTAAAAAATAAAGATATTAATAAATATAATAAATAAAATAAACTTAATAAAAGGATATTTTATTAAGAAATAAATATTATAAAATTATGGATTTTTAATTTTAATGCTTTAAAGTATATAATAAGATATATAAAAAACTTTAGCTTTTTATAATTATATTTAAATATAATTATTATTATAAATAATAATTAACTTATTATAAAAAGCATTAATTTTATAAAAATCTTTTTATAATTATTAAATAAATTAATTATTAAAAGCATTTTTATTAATATTTTATATAATTATATGCTAAGAAATATTTATTTATTTAATTAAATTATAATTTAAAAAAGGTTTTAATTAAATATATAAAGAAATAATATTTTTTTATTATTAAAAGATAATAAATTTTATAAAATATTATAAGCAAAGTTTTAATATAGAAATTTTAAAATTTAAATAATAAAAAATAACTTTATAATATTTATAATATATAGCGAATTTTATAAAGCTTTTAGTTATAGCAATTTATTAAAATTAATTACTTAATGTTTATATAAAGATAAAAATATTATATTAAATAAATTAATGAATTTTTATTATAAATTATATTAATTTATAAAATTTATTAAAAAATGCTTATATTTATTATTAAAATAATAATTTATATAATTATTTAAGTATATTTAATTTAATTTATTAAGTAAATTTTTAATAAAATTATTAAAAGGTTTTTAATACTTTATTTTATTTATTAATAATTATATTTAATTTTATTAAGTTTACTTTATTATTTAAAAGAATAATATTTTAAAATTATTAAGAAATTCTTAAATATAATTAAAACTTAATTTAATATAAAAGTTAAGATATTTAACTTAAATAATAAAAATAAATATATAAATAAGATAATTATTATAATATTTTAAAGATATAGAATTATTTATAAGAAATTACTTCTTTATTATTATAAGTTAAATAATATACTTAAAAGGTTTATATATATTATTATTATTAATGCTTATATAATAATTTATAATAAAAACTACTTATTTTTATAGCTTAAAGTAATTTCCTATATAATATACTTATAAAATTAAAAATTATACTTAACCTTATTATATTAAATAATATTATTTAAAATGCTTTATAAATAAAAGCTTAATATTAAATATTTTTAATTATATTTTTACCTTATATATCTTTATATTTTTATTAAAGCTTATAAATTAAAAATAAAATTATTAAATAAAGTTAGAAAGATATATTTTATAAGATTTAAGGTTAAAAATAAAAATATTTTTTATTTATTTATATTACTTTAAAAAGTTATTATAATTATAATATTAAGCTATATTATTTAATTTAATTTAATAATAAAGATTATATAAATAATTAATTAATTAAATAAAAATATATTATTTAAAATAAAGATATTATTAATATTTTAATTAATAAAATTTATTAATAATATAAGACTTATAAATAAATTTATAAATAAATTACTTAAATTTATAAGATTTATTAATAAATTACTTAAATTTATAAAATTTATATAATTATATAATTATTAAAAATAATAAATTTAGCCTTTATAAAAAGCAAAAGAAAATATAAATATTATTATAAAATATTTTAAAGATTTTAATAACTTAATATTAATTAATATAAACCTTATATTAAATCTTATTTAATTAATATTAATTAATGCTAATTATTTTAATTAAATCTTTATTTAAGCATTATTTATTAATATAATAAATATTAATAATATTTTTAATATATATATATAAGTTATAAAAAGTAATAAAAAAAATGCTTAATAATAAGCTATTAAAAGAAAACTTAAATTACTTTTAAATATAAGTATATAAATTAAAGTATTTATTATTATAAATTAATATATTATTAATTTTTATTAAGTATATATAAAGAAATTTAATGCTTTTAATAAATTTATTTATTATAAAGCTTAATTTATTACTTATAAATATATTATTAATAAGTATAAGGAATTATATAAGAAATAATATTGCATTAAATTTTAATTAATTATAAAAAGCTAGCTTTTATATTTATTTTAAATATTCTTTTAAGAAATTAACTTTTCTTTTTTCTTATATATTTAATGCTTTAATTAAGCTTTTTTTATTTTTAAGAATTTTTAAAATATTTATCTTTTTTCTTTTTTTAATTTTCTTTTATTTTTATTTTCTCTTTTTATTATATTAAAGCTTTTCCTTAAGTTATTTTTAAAAGGATTTAGCAAAATTTATTTTTATTTATTTAAGTAGCTTATTTTTATTAATAATTTAACTTAAGCTTAATTTTAATCTTATATATTTTTAATTAATAATAAGAAAAATAAAAAGTTAGCTATAAGTTAATTATTTATTAATTTTATTTTTTTTTTATTTTTATATTAAATATTATTAAATTATTTTATATTTTAATTTAAAGCTTTAATTAAAGCTTATATTTATTTTTAATTTATTATAAAAAAGAATTAAATATAATTAAATTTATAATAATATTATAAATATTTTAAAATTATTTTTTAATTTTAAAATACTTTTTATAATTTTAAGATTTAAATAAAATATTACTTTAATTTTATATTTATATATTATTAAGCTTTAAATTTATTTTAAGTTTTTTATTAAAAACTATATTTAAATATAATAATAATATAAACTTAAAATTAAAATAATAAATTTAAACTTTATAAATATTATTTAATATTAATTAAAAATACTTTAAATTTTTAATTAATATTTATTATTATTATTATAATTTTAAGTTTAAAATAAAGGGAATTATAATATAAAATTAAGGTATTTATTTTATTTATTTATAAATTTAATAAATAATATTATATTATATATTTTTATATTAATTAAATTATATAAAAGGCTTAAATTTAAAATATAATTTTATTTAAGCTTTAATTAAATTTAAATTTAAATTATTAAGAATTTAATATAATATTAATAAATAAAGCATTAAATATAAATTTAAAAAACTTTTTTTATTATAATTTTATAATATTTATTTCTTAATAAAATATTTTTTTATTAAGTTTATTTTATTTATTATATTTATTAATATCTTTATTTTTTAAATTTTAATTTAAATATTTTATAATAATATTAAAAATAAATTCTTTAAAAATAATTATTTTAATTAAAAATATTATTACTTTTAAGTTTCTTTATTTTTTTATTATTTTAATAAAAATTATTATAATATATATATTATATTTTTAAGCTTAAAGCTTTTTTAAATTTACTTTTATTTTAAAAGTATTTTTAAACCT